GCAAAGAAAATCTGACTCGTCCGGACCATAGACTGTAAATATTAACGGATGCAGTCAGCTCCACCGTTGAAACTAATGTGCCACTACTTGTGCCTTCTCTGGGATTTTTGCCAACGTTTAGTCCAAATGTATACATAAAACATTAAAAAAGCATTAACAAACAGCGTATGGCCAGCTTTAGGGCTCACTGCGAGTGCAGTGGATTTGGGCATAAAAAGTGTATGTTGTGGTCAGAGAGTGTGGAGGCGATGATAGAAACGTTATTTGATGGGAATGAAGGACTTCAACAAAAATGTCTGCCAGATCCCCTTTTCCTCCACAATTAACTTGTGTTGCACCCTCTGCTCTGAGAGTTTGGGAGAGCTTTGTGGTGTGTTGTGTAGAAATAAATGAGATTAATGTTATGTGTGAATTATATCTATATCTATTTTAATTTTTTATTAATTCTTACTACTGTAGTTGTTGTTGTTAAAGGTTTTTAAATATTTTAATATGAAATTGCTTGAATGGATTTCTATGAAATCAAATATTTGTATGATGTCCGGACCCTAATCTATTGAACTGTAAGTGGACCTCTTGCCAATTTAATTGGGGACCCCTGTTTTAAACCCTGCACTACATACTCTGTCTCCTACTCTCTTCATGCCGTGACCAGTGGCCTGCAGCTGCCCCCTGGCACTTTCTCCTGACCGATGTCCAGAGACAGTTGTGTGTTTGTCTGAGAGCCATCTGCCTGAACTAAAGAGCGGCTCATAACACGCACATTCCTCTGCTGGATCCCACTTCCTCCGGCCGGACCACTCCTGCATGTACTGTACGCCTGTTTGTTTTCTGTGCTGCACTTGTACACAGAGAGACAACTTATGTAATACTCAACATCCAGCAGCTGAGGAAATGAAAGTGCAACAAGAATCTGACCTGTCTGGACCATAGACAAATAATAAATATTAACGGATGCAATCAGGCCTAGCTCGCCGTTGAAACTAATGTGCCATCACTCATGCCTTCTGTGGGATTTTTCAAAATGGCACATGGATTAGTCGACATGAGCCACATTCATTTAACGAGTGCATTCAAAAGTCCTCAGCGGCTAAACTAGACAGGTCCAAAGATAAAAAAATAAAAGAAAACACCCCTCAGCATCAACAGCATATGGAACATAGTGTTGGGCCAAGAGCCACTTTTAGCATCCTGTAAAGACGTTTTAGAGAGGAAAAAAGACGGCATACAAAAGCATCGGGTAATTCTCTCTCCGGGTACACCCCCACCGGCAAGGTCTGGACCCCTTGTCAACACGAGTCCTTGTAGTTTTGGCGAGTGCCGACAGATTTACCAACCTTTACTAACCCTAACATAAAAGGAGTCCTGGAAAATTGGTTGAAATCAAACCTTATTGATGCTAGTTTTCCTTGGACTTTCTCTTCTCTTTTGAATTCTTTTAGTTGTGCTTTTTGTACTTGTTTGTACTGTTTCCTAACTGTGTGTTTGGACAATGGATGAAATTAATATGTACTGTCCTAAATTCAAATAAATGAAAATAATAAAAAAAATGTATTATGATTATAAATTGTAAACATTTGTGAACAGAGGAAAATCACATTTAATTAGTGTCTCACTTTTATTTGACATATAGCAGAATGATGTAGAATGTAATAATTCATAATTCATGCCAGAATGGTTGGTTTGAGGTTTTACACGGCCAGGCGGTTCATCATTTTGTCGGACGAAAACAAACTGATCAAAAAAATGTAATTGATTACTTGGATCAAAGCAAAAATCTCCAGATGTCATGGCAACCACCTGTAACCTGAAATTAAGCACTATACTCAATACTGTCCAAAAAGAAATGGGGCCGGACTGTGATGTGTCTAACGTGGGAAACAGGAAGCACTTGTCTGCCGCCTAGACTGGGGAAAGATTGTCCTTTGTTAATTCCTCTGCCCATCCATCCAAAAAGAGAAGGATTCTTTTCAATCATGGCTCTTTCATCATCACAGTATATAGGTACAATGACAACACGGATCTGTCCTTCAAGTGGCATCTCCTTTGAGAGCTGCTGGACAACAAAACAATTCATAATTTCTTTTTTCGTGTTAATGAAGCAAAAGCTGAAATGTGAAGCTAGAGGATGGAGGTTAGATTCCCATAGCACTTAAAGCCCCTAGTCTCTAATCCTGGCTTGGTAATACGCTTTGTTGGCCTGTAAATCCATTTGAAGTCTGGTGCCCTTTCACAGATCCCTTACAGTAGAAATGTATTTATGTACTAATCTTTTTGATTATAATGTATTTGGACTAAAGATTTTCCTTTTTCTTTCTTGCCATGTTAACCTTGTCAACAGCAGTGACTTACACACATTAAAAGCATCAAGAATAATTGAGATTTTTTTTTTTAAAGATGCAGTCAATGATTTATTCAGACGCAATTTTTTACCCCAAAAGTAGTCAAGTTATCATGTGTTTTCAAATAGGAATGGACATGAAGATTATGGAGCGGACCGATAGAATGAAACCAATGGGATGCGTTCACACTCCCCCCTGCTTAACAATTGTCTGAGTTGTTATTGAGTGGGATTTTCTAAAACACCTACAATGTCTGAATCATAAATCCCCAAAGTGCCAATTTCAAAGTAGAGAAAATCTGATGAGGAAAAGGCGTTGTATATGAAGATTCAGTACGAAGCCAGGGCTAAGTAATACAGCGGCGGTCGAGTTTTTCTAATTTGGGGAAGCTTGCATTTGTCAAGTATGGCTGGCAAATCGCTCACAGTCTTCAGCCCTCATGTAGTGTAACACTTTCACATTTCAAGCTGCGAGGCTTCGTCACATACTGTGTTATTACAGAAACGGCATTCATGTTTGCTGGGAGTTGGTTTTGATGGAGGACAGGGGGGAGGGGTTTTGACTCAGTCCTACTCGGATGCTACTGCTAAAAGCTAACCTGGATCCTTTACTGCACCTTTAAGTCAGTTTTCCAACCAATTTGCTCTGTTCTTATCTTGAATTACGTCCAAAATCATTCTCTTCTTGCCCTCGGGAGCCTTGGGTGGAGTCTAATTTAGGGAGACCTTTTATAAGCATAAATCATCATATCATTTTGCAACAAGAGAGATCTCAGGAAATAGCATCTCTGTATAAGATATAAGATTTAAACAGTTTGAGAGGTTCTATTTTAACTGCATGAGGTTGAATTCTTTGTGCAGCTGTGAGTCTCATATCTTTGCATGTCCCTCCGGATACCCCTGAAAACAAAGGACCCTCCCCTCTCCCCTGCACAGGACCAGAGGACATCCTGCCAGCAGCGCGGTCTCTTCCTCTGTTACAGGCCACTATATATATAGAACCTTTCTGCTGTTTACATGGGCCTAGTGGAATATTCAAAAGGATTCTGACACATATTTACTGTATCTGAATGCAAGTCATCATTTGATTTAGAAATATAAGATAAGATAAGATAAGAAATTGTTTTATTTGTCCCACAGTGGGGAAATTTCAGTGTCATTGTTGCGCACAATACAGCACAATACAGACCTCCAATTGCACATATCAAGCAGGGTCTATTATTTAAGATAATAGACAGTGGAATTAAAATAATAAGATGGTAAAATAGAATGAACCAAAATAAACTCGGGAGCTATAATTGCACGTGGTTCAGAAGTATCAACAGATGTTTATATTGTACTTTAGCAGCAGAGAATATGAGCAGAATAAAGTATAGTAACAATATCAGCAGGTAAAGTGACTAGTGAATGACAGAATATCGGATGGATGAATAATAATGCAGTAATAAGAACAACAGGTAAAGTGACTAAGTTACTAGTGAATTATCATCAGTGACACTTGTACAGACTCAGCAGTTCTCATTATACAGTCTCGTCACACACGTTTTGGTCACGACCATCTCTTTAGATCATACTTGAATTTGCCCACTGGAAAATGTAAAACTGGTTTAATGTATGTGGTTTTGCCAATTGCTACTCATTAATTGCAGGGTTTGGCACAAAACTAACTTCATGGAGATTTTCCATCTGAAATGTTCCACAATATGGAATTACTATTACTATAAATGTGTGTTGTGTGTTAAATGTATATTAGTCAGATTTGTGTATTTATTTTTATGCCTTTTTCGATTTGTACTTTGTTAATTTGTTTGCACTGAGAGCCAAAGTAATTTACTAGTCAGTGACTTTCTGTTACCCACAATGCCAATGTAAATACTTCTGATTCTGATTACAATTGCTTTCATCATGTTTGGAACAAGGAGGTGGTGTTACCATCGGCAACAAGTCAGATCTGTGGTGAGGCAAATCTGATGGGTAGAATATTCTATAGTTTGTGCTCAGAGGATAAAACGCTTGTAATTGAATGGAAGATCGATACAAAGCAAAACAATAACACCTCGGTTTAACAACAATCAAGTATTGGACCCTTCACCAAAAAGTTAGAGCTGAAGTATCTAACTTTCAATAAACAAAATATGGAACTGCATAATAAAATCCATCTAACTTGGTCCTCACTTTCAAAATAGTTCAGCTGTCACTAGATTTCACAAGCATTTCTTTTCTTTAGACTCTGTAACATCTTTAGATCAGCTTTTGTCGAAACAAAAGTTAAAAAGAGACCAAAAAAAAAAAGGCCCTCTCCTGCTCAGCCAATCAGGTGGTAACAAGTATACAAAAAATAAAATGCATTCTATTGTGATAAAAACAAGATGCTGTGGTCTGATTTGTTCACAACATTTTACATTTACAAGATTATTTTCTGTTGGGGCAAACAAAATGTATTATTTATCAAACAAATAGTCACATAAGATGCAGTTATTTACACAACATTTCAATAATCCGATAACTCCATGAATCAGACAATGACCACATTATTACTGTGCACATAAACACGCCACTGTTGTGTGTCTGGCTGCGTGTGTGTTTGTGTGTGTGCGTGTGTGTGGGTTCATCGCTGCTGTGGCCAGTCTGACACAAACACACTCCTGGGAACATGTACCTTGTGTCCAGCTGTGTTGGTCCCACTGTCCACTGCTCTGAATCTGGGAAAACTCTGAGAAATGTTTGACTGGAAAAAACAGGAAAGAGCAGATAAGATGCAAACTAATCCAAACACCAACACCCTTCGTCAAGCGTGCGGTTCTTACCATAGGGCGTAGTCGGGGACACAGGGAAGGCCGGTGTCGGGGGGACCGGGTCACTGATGAGGGCTTGTCCAGCATAGTCCACACTGGTAGTTTTGCAGAGATTCCCATGCTTTGGAGAAAACGCAAAGAAAGAATAAAATTAGGCAGTGTTACGATGTGACAAGCCCACACACACACACACACACACACAGACACGCACACACACGCACACACATGCAGAAAGCCCAGTAGACATCTTGTGATCTGTAAAGGGCCACAGCCTGTGTTTTGGTGTAAACAATTCAACTATTCATGCCACACTGCAGCAGGAAGTAGAACTGATTTTGGTTTGGATGAAATAAGACATATTTATATTCACAATCATGCAAAAAAAAAAAAAAAGTACAAGCAGAGCTGGGTTTATAAAGGAAACAAATCTATTTAGCAACGTGGCTAAAAATGTGGGTTGGCGAGAAAAGTATATTTATTCTACATAGTGCAATCAAGCAATCTGATCTTGAAATAGTATGGCCTTTTTTTTAAGTAAGTAAGTAATCTTTATTTATATACCGCCTTTTGTGAGGCATGATCCTGGCACTAATACAATCACATGCTAAAAAAAAGCTCAAACATTATTAACCGCGACAACATACTTTGTTCTCCAAATCACAATACATTAACTGCTGATAGAATACTGATTATCCAAACTAGAACATTTCACAGTAGCAAATGCGATTTACAAAATATCTGTCAAAACTTGAAATACTTATATGGGTAAGATTAAGATTAAGAGATCCTTAAATCGTCTCACAGTGGGGAAATGTCAGTGTTGCATTACAAGTTACAGAACAGTAGGAATGAGGAGCATAAAGCACAAGAGAAAATAATAATAACTGTACTATAATACAATAAACTAAAATAAAATCTCTATAAAAAGGAAAGAAATGCTTTAAAATGTCCAACTTTCGCATGATGAAGAAGCATTACTTAAACAAAAACCCCTGACTTTAGCATAGTAAAATGCTGTCTATTCTAGTGCAAGTGATATATAGCTGTGTGTATACATCTGGGTAATATTGTGTATAGATTTAGTGCGGTTTTAAATACATGAGGATTTACCTGTTTTGCAAAAGGAGGACTACAGAGCGGAGAGTTCCTTAGACTTTGGGCTTTCCATTCAGGACTGTAGTCTGTCACATCACTGAACTGCTTCTGTTGATTCCATCCTGCACACACACACGTACACACACATGCAAACACAAAAAAATCATGAGCTTAACCACACACATACATACACCCGCACACATTGGTGGTTATGGCTAGTGCTTGTACATGACCAGGCCCAGGTGGAAAGCTGTATTTGTTATGCTGAGGCCCAGACAAAAGCGCCCTATCACCAGGACCATCAGCGGAGGTGTATATAGTTCCCATCAGGGCCCTGTGTGTGTGACTGAGGAATACTTCAGTGTGAACAGATGGTGGAACATCATGGTGTCTTATCTGGAAAACATCTGCTAGAACAATCAGGGGCTCGTTTCAGACGCCCCCTCGAGCTGTGGGTCAGCGAAGTACAAAAGACTGCACCATTCACAAAGACCCTAGTATTACTTAACATGTTCAGCATCTGGGCTCTGTAAGTCAAAGATGAGAAATCTGTTTGTCTAAAGATGTGACTGTCTGCATTTTAATAATTGTTTCTGATATTAAATTAAGATGTTATATGTGTGGTTTGGGGTGGGTCTGTTGGGTGCTTGAGTTGGAGGGTCACAGGAATGTGGGATTTAACCAAACTGTAAATCAGTTTGTGTACTATTTTCTGAATGAAAAGTGCTTTTAAATAAAATTGGATTGATTGATAAGGGTGTAATGGAGGATTATCCCAAATTTTATTTTTGAACAAAACTCTCTGGTCTTATTTGACGAGCACGTATCACAAGAATGAAAAGAAAATCCTCCTATATTTTAAGTCATTCTTGATTCTAATTTAACTCAATCCAGTCCATTTTTTTCTTAAAAAACCTGAACTCTTTGAAGTCTGAACGCAAGATTTTCATTGTGCTGTGCTCAGCAGCATAATTATATCAAAATGTCAATGAATTATTACATGAAAATCAAATTTATTTGATTTTTCTTTTTCTATTTAAAAGTTTAGAAGAAACGCCAGCTTGCTAAGGCAACCATCTGAGCAACTGCCCCTAACACTGTGTGAAACAAAAGGCTAAGGGACCTGGCTCCAGTCATCCTATGTTCAAATCGGCTTCTTCCACATTCGGCAAACACCACAGCAGCAGTCCACTCCTAGTCTAGGGTTTCAATCCATTGAAAAATTGTTTGCTGTAAAAGCTGAATGATTTTACCAAATGTAAACATGTAAACTCCACACAGAGGCCTGGACCAAACCAACGACCAACTTCTTGCAGTGCCACCCACTCAGCTGCCATGAGGCAGAAGTTGGCTTAGTAGTAGTAGAAGTAATTGTACAACACTTTGAATTGTGTACAAGTAGTGTTCTACAAACAGGTTAGCGGCACTGGCTTTAAGGCGCCATAATCATAGTAGAACCATGTCTCCAGGGGAAACTGAAAATAATTATAGCTCATATGTGCATACCAAAACCTCCTCACTTTAGGTAAATACGACAAAGCTTTGTGATGGGTGTGAATGACTGTCGACTATGTCTCTGGAATGCTTAGGTCAACAATAGAAGGTCTTTTTAGGGAACAATGCACATATACATGTTTTTCATTTATTGACTCTTATTTATTTATTTATATTTTTAAACTTTATTTGATTTTGCAAAAGAACAAAAATATGTGGAGGGATACATACAACAGATAACATGTGTGTCCATAATGTATGGACATTTTCTTCTGTGTGTGCTTTATATTTTTCATGTGTTTTAACTGTTGATTCTCTGACCTGTGTTGGTGATTTCAAGGATTGAAATTGACCTAGGGCTATACAAGAATAAATTGTATTGTATTGTGTGTGTGTGTGTCCAGTAAACCAAAATATATATACATACAAAAGTTTGGACACACTTTCTTTTCATGACTATTGACTGTAGATCCAAACCAGGCTGTGTAAGGGCTGTTTGACCAATAAGGAGAGTGATGGTGCTGGGCCACATGACCTCCACAGTCACCGGACCTGAACCCAGTCCAGATGGTTTTGGGGCTGGACCACAGAGTGAAGGGGCCATCAAGTGCTAAGCATCATGGGAACTCCTTCAAGACTGTTGAAGACCATTTCAGGTCCTCTTGAAGCTCATCAAAAGAATGCCAAGAGTGAAGCAGTATCAGAGCAAAAGGTGCTACTTTGAAGAACCGAGAATATAAGACATATTTTCAGTTGTTTCATTGTTTTTATTTTTAGTACGTACATCATTCCACATGAGTGAATTCATAGTTTTGATGCCTTCAGTGTGAATCAACAATTTTCATAATCATGAAAATAAAAACAATCTTTCAATGAGAAGGTGTTTCCAAACATTTGGCCTGTTAGAAGGGCCAGATTGAAGTTGAACGTTGGTCTTACACCATTCAGTTCAAGTTTTTTTTACCGCATTCATTTTTACCACATTTAAACGTCTTATAAATTCCATCATAAGATTCTGGGATCCTGCAGGTTTACCATCTCTGGCTCTGTATCAGGGGCCCTGTCTCTGGCTCTGTATCTTCACTGTGAGCTGAAAACAGTGCTGTGGCAGGGGGGCCAAGACTGGACCTGTGCCCACCAAAACAGTCCGAAAGCCCACCACAATCAAACACACACGCTTCAGAAAAGTGATTTACTATAAAAGGAGTTACGTTCAACAGTGAATTGACTCCAAACAGTGACGGTGAGGCCGATGTGCGCCGTGGTTTTACTGGGGGGCATCAATCATCCTTAAAATCACATGAAAGCCAGGCCTGTCCAAGTGAAACTAATCCACTTACACCAGCGGCTTCACATGGGGAACTTCCACTCAGTCTGTTACTGTGTAGACTATCACTTGATACCAGCTGTACTGTATATAGTCTAAAGAGGTCCTTTTGTCCCGGTGCAAACGATGACGAGAAACAAATAGAGCATGATGCAAGTGCACGGTCAAACTTCAAACACATTCCTCATGCCTTACCGACTCCCGAACCCGCGCTCCAAAACATGTTACAAACAGTCAGTGTCAGCATCTAACCACACGCTGAAATATTGCGTTTGAAATGATACCTGGGGGAAATGTAAAAACCTGCTGACCTGTGTAGAAAGACGAGCACATATGTTTCATTTCCTGCGCTCCAAATATGATTAAGTGAATGAGAATACTGAAAAGCCAGTGTAGAATTTGTAGTGAAGATTCAGGAAGTTGAACAGAATGGACAAAAAGTTATAAGGGGCAGCTCAACTATTAATCTACAAACTGATATAATGTAGATATACAGTAGTGAATGTCCTCCCATTTACAGTATGAGTGCTTGGATAGGGCTTAAATCTAGATGTTTGGATACTCCTTTCTCTCACCTCTCCGGACATCACATGGAGATAGCCCATTGGCAGTTTGAGGGAATTTTTTTCTCTTTCTGATACAGTTATCCATGTGTTTCCTGTGACTGTCCGTTATTTTATTGATAACTGACAGGAAACTGTGATCCTGGCTCAGTCAGCTGCTGTGTGACTTCAAAAAACACATACAATACAAAATCTTATGGTGGGATCAAATAATTATTACATACAATTTGAAGTTAAACAGGGGATAAGTTTGACAACACATAATATATGATATTTTTAGGAAGGTTATTAATTTGCATTGGTAAATACACTTCCATGCTGAATATGCTAATGCAAACTGTTTACTGTACGTGTTTTTGAATGTTGGTTGTATCCGTCCAGCTGCAGTGAGCCGCTGCTCGTTCCCATAGTGTACCGACTGGGTTACTTGCCAAGTTCATATTTGCTTTCTGGGAGGTTATGAAAAGTCCATGGTATGATAATCGTAATCTTAGTTCTGCTCACAACTGTGCAAAGATTTGACCAGGGCCTTCATCCCCACCGCTGTCAGACTGTACAATAAGTCACTTTAATGACCTGCATTAGGACTGAGAAAACTTGCACTGCTCTCGTCACTTTTCGTCACTTTTCATTATTTTATTGTACATAATATATCTTGTTTGCACACTTCCCGTCTTTTTGCACAACCTGAGTCTATTGCAAATGTGATATGTACGTTTCTCCATTGTGAGATCAATAAAGTATCTTATCTCAACTGAAAATGCAGTATAATTCTGGTAGAAAGAAAACACACACTATACAAACTAAAGATATAACAGGACAGGTAAAAATCTAATGGACTCCAGGGAATAATTTTAGACATTATTTGTGCCTTGACAAACCTATAATAGGGCAATATCTTTCACTCCTGCGAATAAATAGAACAATAATTTCTGCTTATGAAATGCTAAATAAATTATAAATACAATAAATTCCGTCCCTATTTGAATATAAAGCATATTAACAGTGTCAAGCCTTTTCTGAAACCACAAAAGTCTCTTACACATAGACCTGGCTGGTTTGGTCAAAGGTTAAATGTTACTATAGCTCAAAGCAGTTTGCAAACTCTGCCAAACATCATTCAAGAGCTGTCACCATGGTCATGATTGGCGGCTGGTTCCTAAGCGCCTCATGGGCCATTGCGAGGTTAGCTTTGATGGGACAGCTGTAGGAGAACTGTGTACTGATGGTGTACGCACAACACCTCTGACCCCGAGTGTGAGACTATGGAGCCCGCTAGAGGACGGGGGTCACTCGAGAAATGTGGTTCCTGCCTTCCAGCCCTGTGCCGGTGGAAACCAGAGCACGTAAATCTGGCTGACACTGAGTGAGCAGACACAGAGACAGAAGGTCAGGAGAATGTTCTGCTTCGTGTTGACTGTGTCCTGATACCACAAGAACTATGTTTACGTTTGCACCGAGGTATGGACTGTGGAAGTCAACCCATGAATGACCATGCCCCAAGGATAATTCATTCAGAATTATATAAGGCAGGCCAAAGGTTAGGAGTTACACAGATTTTTTCCTGTAGAAAGATATTTAGATTATTGTTTAACATTGTTTAGGTACAAAAAGAGTTTTAGAGTTGCTCCTTGCCGATGCAGGAGGGTTTGTTAGACTGTTCGAGGGTCTAACAAAAAGGACACATCTATGGACATTTATCAACCCTCATGGACATTGGTCAACTCCCTATGGACCAATACCTTTGTGTTTTATATTTCTTTTGTTTGGACTGTTTGATTCTCTGATCTGTGTTGGCGATTACAACTGGTTTGTTAAAGTAGCGATATGTAAGATTTTCATGTCAAGTCATCTCTAAAGGGCCTTTAATATGTCAAAAGGTATAATAAATCATGATCTTTTCTTATACTTCTTTAACTGACAGTATTTCAGGGATATTCAAATCTTATTATTGTTTTAATTTTGATGTCCCGCCCTCCGCCGTTTCACGAATCAGAAAGTCCGTGACCCAGGTTGCCAGAACTCACCACGTGGAGCTAATCTCACTGGTAAAGTACCACGTGGCCACAGAACTAAAAAAGGTCTTGTTATGATTCCATCCATCCATCCATCCATTTTCTTCCGCTTTATCCGTTGTCGGGTCGCGGGGGCAGCAGTCTAAGCAGAGACGCCCAGACTTCCCTATCCACACACACTTCCTCCAGCTCGTCCGGGGGGACCCCAAGGCGTTCCCAGGCCAGCTGAGAGACATAGTCCCTCCAGCGTGTCCTAGGTCTTCCGCGGGGCCTCCTCCCGGTGGGACGTGCCCGGAACACCTCCCCAGGGAGGCGTCCAGGAGGCATCCGGAACAGATGCCCGAGCCACCTCAACTGGTTCCTCTCGACGTGGAGAAGCAGCGGCTCTACTCCGAGCTCCTCTCGTGTGACTGAGCTCCTCACCCTATCTCTAAGGGAGCGCCCAGCCACTCTGCGGAGGAAGCTCATTTCGGCCGCTTGTATCCGCGATCTCGTTCTTTCGGTCATTACCCAAAGTTCATGACCATAGGTGAGGGAGGGAACGAAGATTGACCGGTAAATTGAGAGCTTTGCCTTTCGGCTCAGCTCCCTCTTTACCACAACGGTCCGATACAGCGACCGCATCACTGCGCACGCTGCACCGATCCGCCTGTCAATCTCACGCTCCATTCTTCCCTCACTCGTGAACAAGACCCCGAGATACTTGAACTCCTCCACTTGAGAAAGGACCTCTCCACCCACCTGCAGAGGGCAAGGCACCTTTTTTCCGGTCGAGCACCATGGCCTCGGATTTGGAGGTGCTGATTCTCATCCCAGCCGCTTCACACTCGGCTGCAAACCGCTCCAGTGCATGTTGCAGGTCCTGGTTCGTTGGAGCCAACAGGACAACATCGTCCGCAAACAGCAGAGATGAAATCCTGTGGTCTCCGAACCGGACCCCCTCCGACCCCTGGCTGCGCCTAAATATTCTGTCCATAAATACAGTGAACAGAACCGGTGACAAAGGGCAGCCCTGTCGGAGGCCAACATTCACCGGGAATAGGTCTGACTTACTGCCGGCAATGCGAACACAGCTCTGGCTCCGGTCATACAGGGATCGGATGGCCCTCAGCAGAGGACCCCCGACCCCGTACTCCCGGAGAACCCCCCAAAGGACACCCCGGGGAACACAGTCGAACGCCTTCTCCAAATCCACAAAACACATGTGGACAGGTTGGGCGAACTCCCATGAACCCTCGAGTATCCGATGGAGAGTATAGAGCTGGTCCAGTGTTCCGCGACCGGGACGAAAACCACACTGCTCCTCCTGGATCCGAGATTCGACCATCGGCCGTAAACTCCTCTCCAGTACCCTGGAGTAGACCTTACCGGGGAGGCTGAGGAGTGTGATCCCACGATAATTGGAACACACCCTCCGGTCCCCCTTCTTGTAGAGAGGGACCACCACCCCGGTCTGCCACTCCATTGGCACTGCCCCCGATCGCCACACGATGTTGCAGAGACGTGTCAGCCAAGACAGTCCTACAACATCCAGAGACTTTAGATAATCAGGGCGGATCTCATCCACACCCGGAGCCTTGCCACCATGGAGGCTACCAACCACCTTGGTGACCTCAGCCAGGGAGATGGATGTATCCGCCCCAACATCCTCAGCCTCTGCCTCTGTAACAGAGGACGTGACGGGGGGATTGAGGAGAACCTCAAAGTATTCCTTCCACCGCCCGACAATATCCCCAGTCGAGGTCAGCAGCTCTCCACCCGCACCGTACATGGTGTTGGCAAAGAACTGCTTCCCCCTCCTGAGGCGCCGGATGGTTTGCCAGAATCTCTTCGAGGCCGACCGATAGTCATGCTCCATGGACTCTCCGAACTCCTCCCAGTCCCGGGTTTTTGCCTCTGCAACAGCCCGGGCCGCGGCACGCTTGGCCTGCCGGTACTGGACAGCTGCCTCAGGAGTCCCCCGAACCATCATGGCTCGATAGGACTCCTTCTTCAGCCTGACAGCATCCCTTACTGCCGGTGTCCACCACCGGGTTCGGGGGTTGCCGCCGGGACCAGCACCAGAGACCTTGCGACCACAGCTACGAGCCGCCGCATCGGCGATTGAGGCAGAGAACATGGTCCACTCGGACTCCATGTCCCCCTCCTCCGCCGGGACCTGGGAGAAACTCTCCCGGAGGTGCGAGTTGAAAGTCCATCTGACACGCTGGGGGGCTCACGATCCCAGGTGATGATCGGTTGACAGCTCCGCCCCTCTCTTTACCCGAGTGTCCGAGACACGCGGTCGAAGGTCAGATGATACGACAACAAAGTCGATCATCGACTTCCGGCCTAGGGTGTCCTGGTGCCACGTGCACTGGTGGACACCCTTGTGCTCGAACATGGTGTTCGTGATGGACAAACTGTGACTGGCACAGAAGTCCAACAACTGAACACCGCTCGGGTTCAGATCAGGGGGGCCGTTCTTTCCGATCACCCCTCTCCAAGTGTCACTGGCGACTCCCACATGGGCGTTGAAGTCCCCCAGGAGAATAACGGAGTCCCCGGGCGGTGCACCGTCCAGTACCCCTCCCAAGGACTCCAAGAAGGCCGGGTACTCTGCACTGCTGTTAGGCCCATAGGCCGTCACAACAATGAGAGACTTGTCCCCCACCCGGAGGCGGAGGGACGCGACCCTCTCATTCACCGGGGAGAACTCCAACACATGGCGGCTGAGATGGGGGGCAATGAGAATGGCCACCCCAGCTCGCCGCCTCTCCCCGCGGGAAACTCCAGAAAAGTGGAGCGTCCAAGTCCAGGGGGGAGCCCCTGGACTGGGTGATTCTCAAATCATTAACGACAAAACAAGGAATAAAACCAAGATTCCTATCTCTATGTCTATTCAGCTCTTATGGTCCCAGCTGCATTTGTCTGCATATCTGGCAACCTGAGTCAGGGAGAGTGGGAGAGGACTACAGAATATTGGCCGCGGTTGTAAAAAGTACCACTTTTGGCCAGATGTTTTTTATATATTGCTCCTTTAAGTCCTCTGAATAAATGGAACTGATTTGGATTGAACACAAATAGATAAAGATTGAAGTTAAATGTATTGCTGTCTCAGACCTGGTGTGACACGCAAACAAGCACTACAGGCGGTCATACAGTTGAAGAGTATACATTTAAACACACACACATCAAGCAGAGGAGACTGTACATCACTTGGACAATATTTTTGATGCATGACACACACTTGGTCCCTACAGGATCCTGACATCACGCAACATCTTTAGTAGTTATTTCTGTGAAGAAGTGGCTTTAGGACAACCAGACATGTGAACACGACATGACATTGTGGCTTAGCATATTTCCTTACACATGACATGACATTAAAATTCTCTGCCTGATAAAGTCTTTATGAATATGTGTTTGCTCCTGGTTGGCATGAAGCAAATTCTGTATTTTCTGGTGCAGTACAATTAAAATATAAATATGAACTATTGCACTAGTTTTGTGGTTTTTCCCTTTCCCTCGTCTGATTCCTGACGTCACTAATAAGATTATTCTCCACTATCTTTGCTCAAATAAATGCTTCACGATTGGAGCCTTCAGTATATTTCCGTTATATCACAGCCGACACGCTCATGTTGTTTATACACCTTTCTGAAACTACAATATACACTGATAAATAGTTATTGTGTGTTGTAGAAATAGTTACATCTTAGTTCAAGGACATCTGCAACTTTTCCCTTCATTTAAAGACACATCATCACTTTTGTCAGTCGCAGGTAATTATGTTTTTGCGGTGAGTACTTGTTTTGTTCTCACACTACTCACCAGACTTTTAATTAAATATGGTTATTTTTAGAAATGTTAGCGGGTGGAAATCAACGGTGTTTACATGTCTATCTGCTCTGGTATTATTGGTATTGGTGATAATAAGAATTCAGAAACTACCTTACAGAGCTCAACAAAAAGTTTCTTTACAATTGCATAATGTTTTAATACAAACCACTTAGGGTAATAGGTTTTTTTCCAATAAATGTTTTATGATCTACAATAGCCTCTTGACCAAGTCCAGCTCAAGATCTGAAGTTGGGTCCCTGAGAGCTGGTGGAAAGATTTCTAAAGTGAGACAATCTAGAAACTTGCTATTTGGCAAATTAAGAATAGCTTTGTCTATTATGATCATTTGAGTTTAAAATGATCAGAATACAGTGTGGCCATGCCTTCTTGTTTAAGCCTGATCCTGTCATGTTGAGAAGTTAAGCACTGCGAGACCTGGTTAGTACCGTGATGGGGGACCACTAGGAACACCAGGTGCCACAGTAAAACGTGGCTGTGAAATATTGTTGTGTTCTAAGGCAAAACACCTCATCCAGAGTGTGTGCATGAACGATTGGTGTTGGGCAGGGTTTGATGCTGCAGATTAATGCCCTAGCTTCAGTCAGTCTGTCCTAGGGCAGCTGTTGCTACAGTAGCAACAGCTACAGTGTTTATGGAGTGAATGAATAGTTGAGCGTTTTTGAGTGTCCAATCAAGTGCTTAAGACTCAAAAATACTAATACTAAAAACAGAATCATAAGCGCCTTCTGTAGTCACAGCAGCTCTGGAGTCTCTACAGTCCTTCCACCCCAAGTCATATAAAAAACATGTAGGTAAGCGTTTTGATGGTTAACCTAACGTTACAATATAATAACTAAACATTAAGCGCTGTAGTTGCTCTTACCTGTCAGATGTGTCAGTCCTTTGTGGCTCAGGCCGTTGCTGTGAAGAGAAGCTGACCGGGACAGGGGGGAGCACTTGGTCGGGACAGGGACAAACGTGGGGTCTAAATCCAGGATGAGCTGGTTTAACTGCTCAATGGATTCATCGATATCTGTAGCGAGAGATGCCAGCTCTTCGTCTTGACACGGCGACTGCGTGTGGTCTGTAGCGTCCTCATGTAAGCCCCTCTGCACTGCTTCTCTGCTGCTGGAGCCTCTGACAGGTGCATGTGGAGCTGCTGAAGAACTAGCATGGTCATCTTCTCCCTCAGTAACTTTGTGATTGCCATTCACTTTAAAGTCTCTTGTCACTACAGCGTTATCTATTTGCTGCCGTTGCTGCTGAACCCAAGATTGAGTGGAGTCCTCCTCACTTTGCAATGGCCGCTCTTCAGAAGACAGAGAGCACATGCTACTAGAACTAGGCCTCTCTAGAGCAGACTCCTCCACATCCTCCAAAATGTCCGTCTCTCGCTCCGTGGGTGATGTGCCCCCATTTACGGTCTGCCCCAATCCAGACTCGTCACCAGCGATCTCACCCTCGCCACCGCTGGACAATGTCAGTTCTGTCATTACACGGAAAGAAGATTGAGCCAATTCCAGATCCGGAAAGCAAGATTGAACCTTTGTGAGTGTGTATGGTCTGCACAGGGGAGTCCTGGTCGGGCCCTGGGAGGCCACTGATAGTCCAGAGTCACTGCTTCCAGAGGGGAAGCGCTCACTGCAGCTGGGAGAGCCGGGCGACAGAACGAAGGGTAGACGCTCTTTAGAGATGGACTTTCTCACTTTTGCGTATAGGCTTCCATTCAATGAGTCACCTGCAAAAAGGACAAAATGTTAGAAAAAGTTGGATACATTTCTTCTTTGTTTTTATATACTGTACTTGTTCAGTGCTTTTGATTTGATTATATCTGGTGCACAGATACTTTTGCACAAGCATTGCATGGTATAAAACCAGGATCTCTCCAGTCCAGGTAAGTCTCTTGATGTTGTCACCTGCTTTTCTCTATAGACATACAGTATATACAGCATCATTGTAACGGTAAAATTCCATTTAAAGCACAAATATGACTGCAAATTTAATATACTTAAGAAGAAGACAGCATATTATACAGCTTTTCTAATTCATTCACATTATTTTACTTTTTCAACTATACTTATGGACATTTATCAACACTTATGGACATTGGTCATCTGCCCCTTATGGACCAATACCAACATGATTTCAGTTGGATTCTCTGTGTTGGCAAATTCATCGGTTGTGTTAAGTCCGAGATGACTACTGTGATTTACGGCTATACAAGAATAAATTGAATTGAATTGAATTGAGACTCTTTCTGTTGGGACAAACAATATGCAATAACAATGAGCAAAACTTGTGCGCCCAGAATTAAGAAGTATACTTGTGCTTTGGTTGTGTGCTTCTCTACCAGCATCTTGTTAAGTTGTGATGACAAAAATGCACGCCAGCAGCAGCAGCACACTACCTGTTGGAGAAGAGCCATCTCTCCATACACACACACAAACACACACACACACACACACTTCTAGTTTGATAACACAGGGGCTCTTTGTGTGGTGCTGGCGGATACATGCATGTCCTCCTGTACATGTGCATATGTCACGTAAAGGACATGTCACTCATTGAGGTCAGGTCGAGCTGATTACGCACACTTTTATCCCACACTGCCTGACTGACTGACTGCACTAACGCCATAAAACAACCCCCACAGTATAATCTTACAACGAAGGCTGCTTCTTCAAAACAGACAATCATATTTACCACAACAATACAATACAGTCCCGTGCATACCAGAGCAGTGTGCAGAAGCCTCCGAGGTCCAAAGAGGCAATAAAATTCAAATACCAGACACGCATGGTAAAAACTTCACAGCTGGACACACATCGAGGCATTGAGGAGAGCGTTTATAAACACTGGAAGCTTGGGAAACGGTGCAAGTTGCGTGAAAAGTTGCTGAACTTTCACTGCTGCAAACTAGAAACAGGATGCCACCGGTTTAGAAATCCTGTAGGGGTGAGTACAAGAGGAAGGTGAAGCAGATGACCAGCAGAGAGGAAGCAAGGACAAGGACAGATAAAGGCACCAAAAGTTAACCAAAAGTCCAGACCCTGCTTTGGATGAATCTTCCCATGGGTTCTAGGAGTCCATCTCTGTGTTATTTGGGCTGCAACCAGAAGAAGACCAGACAAGCAGTAGAAATTCCTCCTCTTCTTAAGGTGCTAACAGCCCCCTCCAGTGTCTCTACCTCTCCCACTCACTCATGCACACAGCTCTGTTTTGCCTCTCTGTCACAGCTAAAACGCCAAGCAATCCCCGCCTCCAAAATCACTTTTTCAAACTGGCCTGGCCTCCTCCTCCTCCTCTTCTGCCTTCCCGTCTCAAGCCAAGCACATACAACCCCCTCCTCTCACTCGCATCTTGCCCCATTACACAGGTATAACACAGTGGGTGGGAGGGGGGGACTTTTACGCCTGCAGGAAAGAAGGAGGGATGAAGAATTTGTGAGCGTTGGGAGATCATTCACCAGCCAGCAGGCATGTGGAGAGAGGGGCAGGTGGGACAGAGAAAAACACAAAACGCTTTAAGACCTTGAGCTGGGATATTATGAAGCGGGGAATGTAAACACAGAGGCGGGTTTGCGTGTGCGTGGTTTTGTGTGTGTGTGTGTGTAGAAGGGGGTTGGGCATGCAACCTGCAACTTGAACCTGGAAGCTTGGACAGAGATAAAGGACAAGAGGAGGAACAAGAGATGAAGCGATAAGAAAAAGTACTGTACATAGGGGAGATTTTTTTTATTTAAGTTAACCTTTTTTAACTAGGAAAGTCCCATTTACATTAAGAAACTGCTTTTACAAGGAGTCCCAGAGATAGCACCTGCTGCAAAAAAACATAATATACAAAAAATGACATGGATTTCTAAAGTTAACTTTCATTTCAATGATAAAAGGTGCATTCCTCAGCTGTCCTGGAGGTGATCCGCTTTATGCTTCTTGCTCAGTTTGGTTAAAAACATGTGACATTCCTCAATTATTTGTATGGCTTAAAAAACTGATTTTCACAGCGATAAGATTGGCTGGAGTCACATGCTTTGTCCCATGTAAAAGGAAAGTTTTGTGATAAACTATGTCTAGAAATTTCAACTGTATAAAAATCGAAGCAAAACAACATCCTTTAGATAAAACAATTCCAGTCAACCAGGACATCTTTAACTTATTAGCCAACAGGACTCGTTCACTTCAGGAGCAAAGGCAACAATTTCCATTTGTCAAAGATTTATATCAAAATAAGCGGACTGACTGAAGGAGCAAGTAGTATGTACACTGTGTAGACTGGTTTGGTCCTTCACTAATAAAGCATAATTACTGCCAAATGCACCAGAAATAGTCCCAAATGAACCTTGGAGTTTTCACACACCCTCAGATTCGATCAGCTTTTAGCCCGGGACCTTATTAACTATGGACAATGGCCTTAACTCTTTTTTCTCTATTCTCCTTTTTCTCTATTCTGGCCGTAACACTATTTTCTCTGTTCTAATAAAGAACAAGGAGAGTAGAGAAAAAAGTGTTACGGCCAGAATAGCAGGGCAGGACCTGGTTAGTCAGGACTGTGATAGGAGAGCTCTGGGAACACCAGGTGCCACATTGGGGCGGCTGCGGCTGCAAAGTGATTTTATCTTTACTCTTTTTAATGCACTGTGGCTACCATGTTTTAAGGTTTTGAACTACTTGTATGTTTTTTTGTGTTTTAACATTTCTTGTGCTCTAATTGTGTGTTTTTAATAGCCTTTTGGATTTGATTTGTATTATTATTATTATTTATTTTATTCATTTTTGAATGTAGATTTTAATGTTTGATGATTTATGCATGATATGATATGGGTTGTGAGGCTCTTTGTGTTTCCTTGTGTAGGAAAGGTGCTCTACAAATAAAAGTTGGTTGATTGATTAAAGTGCCAAACTGTCATTGTGTCCTTAGGCAAGACACCTCACCCACATTGCCTAGAATGTGTCTAGTGTTTGCATGAATGGTTGGTGGTGGTCAGATGGCACTTACTGGTATCCTTGCTTCCGTCAGTCTACCCCAGGGCAGCTGCGGCTACTGTAATAGTTTATCATCACCGTGTATGAAGTGAATAAATAATGTCATAAGAAGCGTCTTTGAGTGTCCCAAAAGTGCTGTATAGAACTTCTGCATTATCATAATTCTGAAATCAATCATGACCAGTAAAAATGTCTACTTTAATTTCAACAAATCTAATGAAAACAACAGTGCGGGTTCAAAACAACATTCTTGGTAACAGAGCTGGTGCATGCGTGAGTGCCTGTGGTTAGCATAATGGTTGTGTATGTGTGCGTCTATGTGTGTTTACATGGCACTTTTGAGGCATGTCTCTCCCCAAAAGTCGGTGTGTCCAAATTACATGGCTGGACTGTGCAGATTTAGCAATGGCATAAAACAGCTGGAGCCGTCGCCACTAAACCTCTTCTTAGTGTGATTGTGTCCTTCTCCATGTGTGCGTCTTTTGTGTTTATTCCCAGTGAAGAAAGACGCCTGAAAACCAGCCAGCCGCCTCCCAAATATATAGGTCTGCCTGGTCTGGCTTCTGTCTCGATGAGAAAGCTGAGTGTCATTCGGCCGCTTCTGAAAAAAACATTTCAGACCACAACAGTTGTCGGGAGAGCAGACCCGAGCCCACAACTCTGACCGCACAATCTCAGCCATTAAAGAAACCACTCATCAGGAATACAAATACTGACATACAATAACATGAGTGTGCGCTACAGCTGCACTTGTCAAAGCAACAAACAGACACATGATCAAATGTAAACAACAGGAAAATGAAAGTAACCAGCCGTTGTGGCCTTTTGCGAATGTACAGAGAAATGTGCCTCTTGTGGTGGAGGATGTACAACGCTCCAAAGCCAGAGATTTACAGAGAACAGCTGCATCTGCTGCTGGATCGAATGTTAAACAAAACTAAAGCTCATTTGAAGAGGAATAAATCCAAACGCTTAGAAAAGTTGGAACGGTCTGAGAGAATTTAAACACCAGCCCAGTAACAAATGTATACAGTAGAGGGGCTTGTTCACACTAAAGGGTACAAAAGTGTGACTAAAGGCCAAAAAATAGATTTTAATAATCAGAAGATGTATTATAAATGTTTTACTTTTATCCAAATACCTCCTCTGTCCATTAGAACATGTTTTATGAATTATTCAAGTTTGGCTCTGTTTATTTTTTGTAACGGACCTGATGTTTTGACGGAATGAGCTACACAGTTTATTACATATTTTCAGATCCACCTTTGATTAATAGATTTTCTTTTTACACAGAGCAGAAACAAAGTGATTACATGTCGCTAAAATCTGGAACAATCTTCCTGAAGATGTGAGACAGGCCTCTTCTCTGACAATGTTTAAAACCAGGTTCTGTTTAGCTGTGCATACAACTGAGGGATTTTATATTTTTATCTTTCTTATTAATGTTCTGTGATTATTTATGATTTTATTGCTTTCTTATTTTGTTCAGCACTTTGAATTGCCTCCCCCCTGGACTGCCACCTTAACGTGGTGGGGGAGTTTGAGTACTCGGATGATCCTGGGAGCTATGCTGTCTGGGGCTTCATGCCCCTGGTAGGGCCTCCCATGGCAGACAGGTCTCGTGTGACGAGTCAGACAAAGAGCAGTCCAGAAGACACCATGGACAGCACTCATACGAAACCAGTGACGTCGCCCGGCATGGCGCAGCCGGGGCCCCACCCTGGAGCCAGGCCTGGGGTCGGGGCTCGTAGGCGAGCGCCTGGTGGCCGGGCCTTAGCCCACGGGGCCCGGCCGGGCTCAGCCCGAATGGACGACGTGGGCAGTCCCTCCTGTGGGCCCACCACCTGCAGAGAGGGGTCCGTGGTGGCATGGTGCAGAGAGGACTGGGCAGCAGTCGAAGGCGGAGACCTCGACGACCCAGTCCACACACACAACAGCTGGCTCTCGGGACGTGGAACGTCACCTCACTGGGGGGGAAGGAGCCCGAGCTTGTGGGGGAGGTTGAGCGATACCGACTAGAGATAGTCGGCCTCACCTCCACACACAGCTTGGGCTCTGGAACCCAACTCCTTGAGAGGGGTTGGACGCTCCACTTTTCTGGTGTTTCCCGCGGGGAGAGGCGGCGAGCTGGGGTGGCCATTCTCATTGCCCCCCATCTCAGCCGCCACGTGTTGGAGTTCTCCCCGGTGAATGAGAGGGTCGCGTCCCTCCGCCTCCGGGTGGGGGACAAGTCTCTCACTGTTGTGACGGCCTACGGGCCTAACAGCAGTGCAGAGTACCCGGCCTTCTTGGAGTCCTTGGGAGGGGTACTGGACGGTGCACCGCCCGGGGACTCCGTTATTCTCCTGGGGGACTTCAACGCCCATGTGGGAAACGCCAGTGACACTTGGAGAGGGGTGATCGGGAAGAGCGGCCCCCCTGATCTGAACCCGAGCGGTGTTCAGTTGTTGGACTTCTGTGCCAGTCACAGTTTGTCCATCACGAACACCATGTTCGAGCACAAGGGTGTCCACCAGTGCACGTGGCACCAGGACACCCTAGGCCGGAGGTCGATGATCGACTTTGTTGTCGTATCATCTGACCTTCGACCGCGTGTCTCGGACACTCGGGTAAAGAGAGGGGCGGAGCTGTCAACCGATCATCACCTGGTCGTGAGTTGGATCCGCTGGCAGGGGAAGAAGCCGGTCAGACCTGGCAGACCCAAGCGTATAGTGAGGGTCTGCTGGGAACGTCTCGCTGAGCCCCCTGTCAGACGGACTTTCAACTCACACCTCCGGGAGAGTTTCTCCCAGGTCCCGGTGGAGGAGGGGGACATGGAGTCCGAGTGGACCATGTTCTCTGCCTCAATCGCCGATGCGGCGGCCCGTAGCTGTGGTCGCAAGGTCTCTGGTGCTGGTCCCGGCGGCAACCCCCGAACCCGGTGGTGGACACCGGCAGTAAGGGAAGCTGTCAGGCTGAAGAAGGAGTCCTATCGAGCCATGATGGTTCGGGGGACTCCTGAGGCAGCTGTCCAGTACCGGCAGGCCAAGCGTGCCGCGGCCCGGGCTGTTGCAGAGGCAAAAACCCGGGACTGGGAGGAGTTCGGAGAGTCCATGGAGCATGACTATTGGTCGGCCTCAAAGAAATTCTGGCAAACCGTCCGGCGCCTCAGGAGGGGGAAGCAGTTCTTTGCCAACACCATGTACGGTGCGGGTGGAGAGCTGCTGACCTCAACGGGGGATATTGTCGGGCGGTGGAAGGAATACTTTGAGGTTCTCCTCAATCCCCCCGTCACGTCCTCTGTCTCAGAGGCGGAGGCTGAGGATGCTGGGGCGGATACATCCATCTCCCTGGCTGAGGTCACCAAGGTGGTTGGTAGCCTCCATGGTGGCAAGGCTCCGGGTGTGGATGAGATCCGCCCTGATTATCTAAAGTCTCTGGATGTTGTAGGACTGTCTTGGCTGACACGTCTCTGCAACATCGCGTGGCGATCGGGGGCGGTGCCAATGGAGTGGCAGACCGGGGTGGTGGTCCCTCTCTATAAGAAGGGGGACCGGAGGGTGTGTTCCAATTATCGTGGGATCACACTCCTCAGCCTCCCCGGTAAGGTCTACTCCAAGGTACTGGAGAGGAGGCTACGGCCGATGGTCGAATCTCGGATCCAGGAGGAGCAGTGTGGTTTTCGTCCCGGTCGCGGAACACTGGACCAGCTCTATACTCTCCATCGGATACTCGAGGGTTCATGGGAGTTCGCCCAACCTGTCCACATGTGCTTTGTGGATTTGGAGAAGTTCCCCGGGGTGTCCTTTGGGGGGTTCTCCGGGAGTACGGGGTCGGGGGTCCTCTGCTGAGGGCCATCCGGTCCCTGTATGACCGGAGCCAGAGCTGTGTTCGCATTGCCGGCAGTAAGTCAGACCTGTTCCCGGTGAATGTTGGCCTCCGACAGGGCTGCCCTTTGTCACCGGTTCTGTTCACTGTATTTATGGACAGAATATCTAGGCGCAGCCAGGGGTCGGAGGGGGTCCGGTTCGGGGACCACAGGATTTCATCTCTGCTGTTTGCGGACGATGTTGTCCTGTTGGCTCCAACGAACCAGGACCTGCAGCATTCACTGGGACGGTTTGCAGCCGAGTGTGAAGCGGCTGGGATGAGAATCAGCACCTCCAAATCTGAGGCCATGGTGCTCGACCGGAAAAAGGTGCCCTGCCCTCTTCAGGTGGGTGGAGAGGTCCTTCCTCAAGTGGAGGAGTTCAAGTATCTCGGGGTCTTGTTCACGAGTGAGGGAAGAATGGAGCGTGAGATTGACAGGCGGATCGGTGCAGCGTGCGCAGTGATGCGGTCGCTGTATCGGACCGTTGTGGTAAAGAGGGAGCTGAGCCGAAAGGCAAAGCTCTCGATTTACCGGTCAATCTTCGTTCCCTCCCTCACCTATGGTCATGAGCTTTGGGTAATGACCGAAAGAACGAGATCGCGGATACAAGCGGTCGAAATGAGCTTCCTCCGCAGAGTGGCTGGGCGCTCCCTTAGAGATAGGGTGAGGAGCTCAGTCACACGGGAGGAGCTCGGAGTAGAGCCGCTGCTTCTCCACGTCGAGAGGAACCAGTTGAGGTGGCTCGGGCATCTGTTCCGGATGCCTCCTGGACGCCTCCCTGGGGAGGTGTTCCGGGCACGTCCCACCGGGAGGAGGCCCCGCGGAAGACCTAGGACACGCTGGAGGGACTATGTCTCTCAGCTGGCCTGGGAACGCCTTGGGGTCCCCCCGGACGAGCTGGAGGAAGTGTGTGTGGATAGGGAAGTCTGGGCGTCTCTACTTAGACTGCTGCCCCCGCGACCCGGCAACGGATAAAGCGGAAGAAAATGGATGGATGGACTTTGAATTGCCTTGTGTATGAATTGTGCTATACAAATAAACTTCCCTTGCCTTTCTTTCAATTGAATGTGAAACTAGTCCATACATTTTTTTTCTCAAGTTTAATTTAAAAAAAGAAAATTGACGGAACCCATTGCATCCATTACACATTTATCAAGGTTCTTTAATTTTTTTTTTATTATTCCTTTTTAATCTTGTGGCTGTCACTTTTTCTGACCTTTTTTTTTGCCAATCTATGATAGTTTAGTTTTTGAGTTATAACCTTTTAAAGTCCAGATATTTTAATTGACACTTTATCGAGAACACAATATCTGTGGTGAAAATGTTGTATGAGATTACTTTTACACACTGTCATTCCAGACATTTACATTTAAATTGTGGCACTAAGGGCATTCAGTGTTTTCTTTGGATGTGGTGAAAGAACATGGCCTTTCAAACACACTGACAATTAGTATAAAGTATTAGTTTATGCTTAAAACATCATCACGTTTTAAGCATAAACGCAGCTTTTTCCAGCTTGCCCTTTTGACCAAGGTGAAGCCCTTTCTCTCACGCCAAGACCTCGAGAAGGCAACGCACGCATTTATCAGTTCTCGGTTGGACTATTGCAACGCTCTCTACTCTGGTCTCCCACAGTCGTCACTCAACCGGTTACAGTTGGTGCAGAATGCAGCAGCCCGTCTTCTCACCGGTTCATCTAGATACAGCCACATCACTCCTGTCCTCTCCTCCCTGCACTGGCTCCCGGTCCGTTTTCGGATTGATTTTAAAATGTTAATGCTTGTTTTTAAAGCTCTTCATGGTCTCGCTCCGTTATATTTAACTGAGTTGTTGACTGTACATCGCCCCAGCAGAGCTCTCCGGTCTGCCAATCAAATGGTTCTGGATGTGCCCAGGTCCCACTACAAACAGTGGGGCGAACGTTCCTTCAGGGTTGCAGCGCCTAAACTGTGGAACAGCTTGCCACTCAGTCTGCGTGTTCTCACGGACCTGTCCCTTTTTAAGTCCAGATTAAAGACTCATCTTTTTAAACTTGCTTTTAATACTTAGGGCACACTGAATTGTGTCTTGGTTGTTTTCATTTTGTGTTTTAAATTGTTTTAATCTCTCTGTGAAGCACTTTGGTCCTCCTGGTGTTGTTGTAAAGTGCTATACAAATAAACTTTGATTGATTGATTGATTGATCACGTCTAAAATTAAGAGATTAAGGGTCTTTTTAATTAGTCTCAGTGCGGAAAATGTCAGTGTTGCATCACCAGTCACAGGTTGAAACACTGAAATTGAAAAGATAAATGAACAATAGATAACTCTTTACTAAATAAAATACAATATCTAACTCTAGCATCAAAAGAAACAAGTATAAAATCCCTATCATTATCATAATAAGAAGTATAAATCTCTACCTATTTTAGCATAATAAGCAAGTATAGTGTATTTTAGTGCAAGCAATATGTAGAAGTCTGTTTACATCTGTACATGTCAGCAGCACTAACACATGTGGTTCTTTACTGCACATTCTGACATTAGTTCAAGATATTGCACCAATGCACATGTGAGGTCAGGTTTTAGCCACAAAATGCACTTTTTAAGCAGACTTTTTGCACACTGTGAGCAGACTTGCACTTGACCTGCAGAGGGGCCTTATATTGCTTGTTTCCATTTGTTTGGCTCTCAGCTAAAGTAAAATCAACCCTCACCAATAGATCAAATGCATATACCGTAAAGAAGTTAAATTGCACCCAAACATGCAAACTTCACCAGATAACATACATTTTATCTAAACAACAAGAAAAGTTGTCTGCAAATAAGCTAAAGCTAGCATAAAAAAACTCGGTGCTCAGACTTAGGAGTATTATTATCTTAAAACTAGTAAAATAATCTTACATGACAAACTAAATTCAAGCAAAAAAGATATTGACACTGTCTTTTTTCAGTGTTATTGAAGGCTTAGTGTTTTATAAATAGGTCATTTGTTGTGTACTTTGACCAAAATTGTATCCAAATTGTGACATGCTATTAAAAAGCTTTGGAATTTATCTCAAAATCATCAACATAAACCTATCTCTGTAGAATTTTCCAGTGTTGTTTAACTGTTGTATTTCCATGGAATCCTGCAGTTATTTCATGATCACCAGGACTCTGACTTGAAAAGGTCATAAAAAGTAAAATCACTGAGAAACCCTATAACTTGACATTTTAACTCAACATTTCACAAGCCTGAAAGGTCACCTGGTTGTCCAACAAAGCAGTTTATTTATGTCCCATTGTGTCCCAGTGTTTTCACATCTCTGCCTTTCCTGTTCAATCCAGGCTGATAAGAGTGAGAACACAGCCTCAGCCGCTACAGAGACAGAACTTTTCTCTTTACCTGCTCCCAAACTGTGGATGTCCTGGTAGGAGTCCCGTCTGACCACAGGGTCCAAGGTGTCATAGTCCACTGTGACGGAGCGCCCGTTGTGCCACAGCTCTCTGCCTGAAATATAAGTAACAACACAGCATGTAGTTTTACAAAGCATTTTTATCTATTTCACTGTGATATAAACAGTAGCAACCAAAGCCATTATTACCTAGACATTTTGCAAAGGGGAAAAAAGTCTACTGGTTACAAAAAAGCATGTGTCCTTGTTACCTTTAAAACAGGGAATTGTGTGATTCCTTGTTATACTGTCTACAATCTGGATTCCAGTCAGATGAGTTTGTGGGATAAAGTCTCAAATGACTTCCTGCATGTGTGGGAGTTGGACAATGGGGCATGTGGCGTTCTGGACAAGGCTCTGGACTAGTGCAACGCTGCCCTCTTCAGTCCTCTCACAGATTTTGTTTGGTCAGAAAAATATGTTATCTGTATGTTTTAAATGTGAAGCGCTTTGTGATCCTGGTCTGTGAAAAGTGCTATACAAATAAACTTTACTTACTTACTTACTTACTTAGAAGGACTGATACTGAAAAAAATACCGGGGTGAATAGTTAGGTAAAAATACTCTGTGACTTGCCACCTTAATATCGGGACGGATTGTTATATTTCTGGTAGGATCTTATTTATTAATTACAAGTAATATCATTACTTAACGTATTATGTTGCACTTGAAGGTCTTTGGGTTCACACATATTTTGTATACTCTTAAAGGTGATGTCTGCAACAGTTGTATGTAAAAATAATGCTTTTTTTTTTTTCTTTTTCTTTTTCCTCATATTGAGGAAATTTGATACAGTCCCTCTCCTTGGTATAACCACCTACGATAAGCTTTGCTGGAGGAGAATAGCTGGGCAAGAACTGGAAAAGGTCTTTCTAATTCAAACAGTATCTGTTATTTACCTTAAATAATATTTTCAATACACTTGAATTGAACAGAAACATTAAATTACTTGCTAATGATTCTAAGAAAGTTGAATGATATTTTCACGTGGAGTTCCAAAATGATCTCGTTTTTGATATTTAATATCTTTGAATGTCTGCTTGCACTTAGCAATATGTAAGTTTTTCATGTCAAGTCATCATTAAATGGCCCTAATCTGTCAAAAGGCATTAATAACCTGAGTCAGGGAGAGTGGGAGAGGACTACAGAATATTGACCGGGATTGCAGTTTCACTTTGGGCCAGATTTTTGCATATTGCTCCTTTATAATAATGCATGAAATATTGTGGAACTGGACCTACCTGCCATCTTCTCCGGACTGTCTGAAAAGAACAACTCCACTTTTCCATTTTCAGGGAAACGGGAATCTGGAATAAAATCCCAAAATGAGACAGTTACACATGGGTTGTGTTTTTGTGTGCAGCTCACACATGGGCCGCAGTACACTGATAAGAACTGCGTAGTTGGGCCAGGGGAAGATTTATACTGTTGCACGTTGATAATTCAATGCGGTGGAGCTGGCCGGGTGTAAAAGAAGCAGCAGCAGGTCATAAATACCTTCACTGGCACAGTCCAAGTCGGCTTTAAAAAAGGTGAGTGAGTGTCCGTGCACCAGGCCTGTGTGGAACTGCAGCCGGAAGACTATCTGACGACTCGACAACCGCCAGTTTTTGTCATAGCAAACAATCTGGAAAGAAATAAAACAATAAATTAAGTTTCTGTGTTACGGGCACAACAGTGGCTCAGTTGGAAGAGCATTGGCCTCTGAGTCTGAAGGTTGTGGGTTCGAGCCCACCATGAGACCTACTTCATGACTCCCACTGATGACTGCTGTCGTTGTGTCCTTGGTCAAGACACTTAACCCCACTTTGCCTGAAGCCCCCACTGAAAGATCACGGCTCCTGTGGACTCACCACCTGCAGGAGGATCAGTGAGGGGCTGGTGCTCTGTGTACTGGGTGCAATTCTGACTGCCTGTGGTTTGACTGAAAATGGCAAATAAATTCTTGAATCTTGAAAAGTATGTCAAATGTTTCATTGTTGAGGGGTGATTGATGGTTGTAGTTTGGGCAGTGAATGTGATAGTAAAGTCTTCTGTTCTGGTTCAGCTCCAATGGAAGTCAAAGCAAGAGGAATGTTTGGCAAATGTCATCGATGCAAAGATGTTGTGCCTCTACTCCCCACGGACTCTGTTAGTGGAAAAGGAGATGGCTAAAGCTAGGCTAAATGCTAAAGCTAGGCTAAATGCTAAATGCCTCACTTACTCGGGTACATTTCAAACATCACGGTAAACTCAGATCCAAACATTTCGATCTGCAAAAGGATTTAACCCCTCCCACCGGCAGACGGAGCTCAATGGAGCATAAATTGACCTTAGTGCAAAAGGAAATTAGTACGATGGTGTGGTAAGACCAGGCTACCCCTGGACACCCCAAAATAATTCAGGTGTGTAGAAATGCTTTGACAAACACCCTTTAACTTGACGATGAAAACTAATATTTTATGATCAAACTGAACAAACAACAAACGCTGAGCGCTGCACAATAAGAGTTTGTGTAGAAAAATATGCATTGCTTTTTGTACCATGATGTCCCCTTTGAGCAGCTGAGCGGGCTGGAGCACAAAGTAAAGCCGGTCCGTGTGAGATGCGTTAACGTGGCTGAAACACAATGACAGTGATTATTTCATGTCACAAAGATTAGTCACTGGAACAAATGTGAAAGCCTAACCTCATGTGACTTACTAAACAGCAGATGTGCACACCACCTGCAGACTTTGGTAAACTCGCACAAAAAGACTGCACCCTGAAATAACAACAAATAGACAAAAGGCATAGAATGTATTTAAAATAGAAATATGTAAGATTTTCAAGTCAAGTCTTCATTAAAGGGCCCTAATCCGTCAAAAGGTATTAATAAACCATGCTCTTGTCCAATACTTCTTTTACTGATAACAGTAGTTCAAGGATAATTGAATTTCAAAATTAGTTTTACAGCCCATAAATATTATTATTGTTTTAATTCCGATGTTCCGCCCTCCACCGTTATACCGATCAGAAAGTCCGTGATCCGGGTTGCCAGAACTCACTGCGTCGAGCAAAGGTCTCGTTAGGATTCTCAAATCATTATCGAAAAAACAAGAAATAAAACCAGGATTTCTATCTTTGTGAAAAAGGTGTTGGTTATAGATTTGTTGTTGACAAAACTCTTGTCTATTCAGCTGTTATGGTCCCAGCTGGATTCATCTGCATATCTGGCAACCTGAGTCAGGGAGAGTGGGAGAGGACTACAGAATATGTGATTGCAGTACCGGATTTTACATATTGCTCCTATAATTAAAACAGGTGTATTGTAATTGTCTGGTGTTGGCAAGATTGTGCCAAAACGAATGGACGGATTCAGCTGTGATGTTGGCGGGGTATGTGCTCTCCAAGATATAATGTGATCATATTAACCACAGTTTTGCACACTTATTAACTAAATGTGCTGTAAATTATAATATGGCCTCTGTCTATGTCTACTCTAAACAGCTTTGTAGATTTGCACATTAGGGACAGAAATGTAAGAGTCTCCTCCTCCTGACCTTCAATATTTATTTTTTAATTTTGAATGTGGAAAAAAATGAATCAGCAAATAACACAGGATCTCCAACTCTACATTTAAAAAAGCATTCATGGATTATACTTATTTAAGACAAATGTTCTCTAAATATTTCAGTTTGGTTTTTAACTTATGTGTTTCAAAGGAAGCATGCTAATATTGCCACCACACCATTCTGCCGAGGCTACAAAGAATGTCTATCATCTAACTAGTAAGATTTCATTCTGTGGTGAAATGTTGTCTCTAATGATTATGTTGATACTCAAATAACCTAGTGATTAATCAGTCAATTAATCAATTAGTTGTTAGATAAGATATTTAGTCTCGGTTTGACCCAGATAAAGTTGAAGTAAAGCCACTGGAGAATGACTTTTATCCAGAACCAACTATTTCATCATTTGTTGAAGTTTGTGTAGAGCGGTTTATTAATTTCCTGTGTTCAAACTGTTTGATTCTCTGATCTGTTGTTGAGGAATCAACAATGTTGTAATTTCCTCTGAGATTACTGCTGTTGTGTTCTAGGGCTCTACTGAAAAAATAGTGAATTCCAGGCATGTGTTGCAGATTTGCAACAACTTCTAAATATCAGATTTTTCTTGTCATTCAAATTGAATTGGGCCCTGAGAGGGTTAACTGAATCGCCAAAAGACTATAGCTGTTGAATATTGAACAAAACACATTCATTCTTACGTCCTAGTTAAAACGTCCCATGTCAAAACATCCTACCAGAGAATCACAGTCAGTTGGTGCTCCTCTTTGTAAGTTTGAGGATGCATCTTTAACATCCTCACACTTTTTGGTAAATGGACCGACCCTGTGTCACTCACCTCCATCAGGTCTCATGTTGGGCAGACTGTTCAGGACCACACAGAGGAGGAAGGAGGGATTAGGACACATCCTCAGGCCTCCCTTCAACATGCTCCCCAGCATCCACACGTACCTGCAGCACACACTGATGTCATTAGAGTCAGCTGAGCCCAAGGCCGGGTCACTCAGGGGCCGCTCAGGGCACGAGGCCGGGTAGGGGGGGTAGGGGGGGGGGGGGGGGGGGGGGGGGGGGGGGGATTGATTTCTCCAATCACACAAACCTTTTCTGGGAGGGGGTCATCACTGGGGCCAGCTTGTTGTGAAAGAATCGTCTCATGGCAAAGTGGTCGAGGGAAAGCTCTGCACTGAGTGAGAAGAAACATTTGTAGTGAGTTTAACTGTGGCGGCATTTGACCACTTCTGAATGTGGAGTTAAAGCTGGGGTTCCTAACTCTTTTCCCACATAAATGATACGTTTTGTTTGTTCAAAAGAAAGAGTCTTGCAAAAGTAAAATTATTTCCACCATTATTCCACCACCTCCTTTTTAATTTTTCTGTCTGAAACATTTGATAGAAAGATGTAATAATGCTTAGATGTGCATGGATTTTTTTATAGAGCTCCATATTTGTTTGAATTTTAGATTTCTTTAAAAGAGAGGCTAAACCAGTGGTCTCCAACCTGTAGCCTGAGAGCCCCCAGTAGCTCTCCACCCTCGTAGCTCGCCGAAGGATTTATAAATGAACAAATCAAATAATACACTTCATATTTTAGATTGTATTATCAATTATCATTATATATTATTGTAAATGCACTTACTTTTTTAGTATCAAATATGCGATGGTAAATAATGACTGTGCTTAATAATAGGCTTGTTTGCACCAATATATCAACAAAAGAAAATCCCAGGCCGCTTAACAGACTAGATCTCTAGCGTCCTGAGAAAGTAGCTCTCTGGGTGAAAAAGGTTGGAGACACCTGGGTTAAACTGCATTGATTGTATAATTGATAACTGGTTGTATTTTGGTCTTCACATCAACAAAGTTACTGTTCAAACATATGATATGCTATAATGACATGCGACCAGAAAGGAATAAGCAGAAGCAGCTTATTCGAGCCTGTCCTATTCTACACCATCAGTTTAACCCGCTTTTAAGCTATAATCTGCAAAGAATTATCAAATAAAAGGTAATAAATACTGGAATTGAGCGTTTTATTTTATTTTAAATTGAGCAAATTCTGACTGTCTTAACACAACATTCACCAAAAAGTCAAAGCCATTTAGTCTTATTTCAAGAACTGCTGCTTTATTTTCTAATTCCAAAGGAGACATTTCTTGCATGTTTTTAAAACAACATCATTCTGCTTGTCCTGGTGGCAAATCATGTTTTAATGCAGTAAAATTAAGTAAGTAAGAACTTTTTATTTATATTAAAAATGTGCACAAATTGAGATACATTATGCCAAATTTGAGCCATTTTTCACTTGTTTTCGTATCACTTTGTATATTTGTATATGTATACCTTATTTAACAAACATACAAAAAAACACTGTAGCTCTGTGTCTCCAGCTAATGGGGGCAAAAGTGATCCGTTTTCTATTATAGGCACAGAAGAATAACCACAATCAGTATTAAAATTCATAATGGATAGTTTTTGCCTTTTAATCTTAATTACTCAAAGTCTTAGCTCATTGCTGGGCTGCCACTACAGAGAAAGTAAATACATTTGCAGGTGGCGGACAGCAGGATCTTTGGCTCAGAATCAAACAACAGTTCCAGTTCAAAGTCTCCTCAATCACTCGTCCTGCCCTTTCCCTGGAACGACCTCCTCTTAAGAATGTTCAACAGCATATGTCTGTAACCGCTCACTGCAGCTTTCAAAAACACCAGTGAAGTCCGTCCAAACACAAGAGAACGGCCGATCAATAACAACAAGCACTCTGTGGACACCAGGACACAATCTGCATAAAGTATGTTTGTCCAAGATGTTCCAAGAGGCAAAAATGTTGTTGGAGATAAAACAAGGAAGCTTAGATTTTACTCACAAAAGCAGCACAAAAGAAACTAAATGCCAAATCTGCAATCAAGCCATAATCATGATGAATGTGGATTAAACTGCCATTATTTTGTGCTCAGAAAATGCTTTTTATTTAGAATAGGGTTATGTTGTATGCACGGCCCTAATAACCACCACTGAAAATCACAAATAGACGATCAGTGTTATATGTAGTAGTGTTACCTGGACGACAAGTTGCTGAAATGGATGTAGGAAGCCAACAAGACTCCGATCATGCCTTTGCCCCCCTGCCGTGGACAGAAAAAGCGTCAGTGTGTGTGTATGTGTGTGTGTGCGTGTGTGTGTGTGTGTGTGTGCGTGTGTGTGCGTGTGCGTGTGTGTATACGTGTGTGTGTGTGTCATTACACCTCTAATCATTTCCTTTTTATGTGTCCGTTTTGTGGATTTTTGCATATGTATCTTTCTTATTTTTTTTTTATTTTTTTATTTTCTTGTATTATTAGTTTATTTATTTGGGAAATATATTATTTTTATCCTTTTTATTTATTTTTGCCTCTTTACCCTTTATCCTTATCCATACATAATTCTAGGATATATAGTCTGTCAGTCTGGAGGCGAACCCTAACCCTAACTCTCGATAGGTATTTGGGGAGGGGGTGGTGCAGGGGGAGGTTTACGTTTAATGTAGCCTGGAGCCATAAACTCTGGTCCATGATCATTTCCTACATGTACGTCTGGGTCTGATCCTAGTGGCTGCAGTTTCCTCGGTTGAATCCCCTCCGACCAATCAGCGAACGGGGGAGGCAAGTTTTGTAGGGAGGTGTCGGTGACGTCAACAGTTTGCTCCGAATTTGCAGTTTGCAGTTTGGCGGCAAATGTGATAGTAAAAAGATCTGTTCTGGTTTGGCTCCAAATATCAAGAAATTGAAGCCGGAGCAAGAGGAATGTTTAGTAAATGTCATTGCTGCAAAGATGTTATGGCTCTACTCCCAAAAGGCTCCGTTAGCAGCAAAGGAGATGGATAAAGCTAGGCTAAATGCTGAGTTAATGAGTTAACCCCTCCCAACTGTTAACGGAGCTCAATGGAGTGAATCCAGACCTTAGTTCGAAATTAAAATGAGTACAATTGTATGGCAAGACCAGGCTTCATTTAATTGTGTGTAAATAAACAAAACAAAAAAGAATAGAAAGAGAGTCAGAATGGGAAGACTCTATGCAATAAAGTGTAGAGTAAAGATGTCTTTTTACCTGACAATGCAGCACCAGGACGTGTTTGTGGTGCTGCTGCAGCCACTTCTCCATGGCCGTGCACACATTGATGATCTGATCCAGGTTTGGAGCCAGTTGGTCGGTCCATCCTGTGTCCACAACCTCGTGTGGAAAATACAAGAGCGGTCAACACCGTATAATGTGTGTGGATAATAAGAAGTGGAATGATGAAGGAATAAATATTACCTTGTGTGCCACTCTGCTCAAAGAATCATTTCTGTTTGAGAGATTAATAAACTGTAACGTAACAAAAAGGAAGGATTTACATGTATCTCACATGTCATCGAAAAAATCCTGATCATGCATCATTTCACACAAGATTTCTTTGTGAGTGAAGTAATCCTGATGTGCTTTACTAAGTATGTGCCGATGGCACAGACTGGTTGCCTCACTTCTGTCAGTGTCTAATCTTTAGATCAGCCTTTTCAGATATAAATGAAGTGAAAATGAGAGTTCCAGTCTTATCTCAAAGCATCCAATAGTGACTCACAGGGCTTGTCTGCAATAAATATATATAGCATATATAAAAACAGACATACGACTTTTGGATAAGGATAATATCCAGCCTTAATAGTTGCTACAGACTCTTATTTTTTCAATATATGGTTTTACTGCAAATGGCAAATAAAAATGAATCTGAATATATAGTGAGACATTATTATTGTATTCTACTCTGAGGAGCACAGGGACTGGCCTCCTGCTGGGACTCTGAGGAGCACAGGGACTGGCCTCCTGCTGAGTACTATAGTACTGTAGTATTGTAGTGCATGTATTATTGGGCCGTGGCAGACCCTCCCCACAGTATATATTGTGAATACTGCAGGACTCACCATGTAGTTGTGTCCGTGCTTTGAGCGCAGCATGTGTGCAATGTGGCTCAGGTTGTGCAGGTAGGCGTCCTCGGACCGCTCTTTGGGACACACGATGGTGATGATGCGCTCCGTGATGTAGGTCAGATCGATTGGCAGAGCCTCCTCCATGACCGGCACGAGTCACATGGGGCTGACACTGGAAGACCACAGTGGGACAGATAAGTCATATTTATAGTTTCAGAAAATACCAAAACCAAGTCATGGTTGAAAATAGTTAGTGCTGGTTTAATAATAATCTATCTTTATCTGTGTAGCACTTTAAAAAACAGTGTTTACAAAGCACTGCACAGTCAGCATAAAACAGTTGGATCAAAAACAAATAGAGCAAAATGAAGCAGACAGACAACAAGAAAGAAAAATCACTAAAATACAACGAGAGGTTTAAAACCAGCAGCTGTTCGATAAAAGATGTATGATAAAAATAAAAACAATAACAATGTCATAAAAACAATAAAATACCAGTTATCTGATTTAAAAATAAAAGCAAAAGATTACCTACCCACCTATCAATAATGACATACCATACGCTATCATATTATTTCTTCTTTCCTTATATTCATATTACATTATCATTATTATTAGTATTATATTATTATACATATTATGCATGTAAAAACACACAAAAGGCAACAAAAACACTGTGTGTCAATGTCTGATCTTGGTTTAGCACTATTAAAAACATCCATAACTGACCTAAACTGTATCAAAACAATTCTCAGATTCTCACTGGCAAACATTTATATTTCATGTTTGTGTAAAGTGTAATTAACTAAATGTGTAAACATAGTAAGTACAGTATCTTGCTCCAGTGAAGATCAGATAAGTCACATTTGGCATAAATAGTATCAGGTGGTCTCTTCTGTCTCTTTTGTGAAATTATTTATTATGTACAACTAAATTAAAAGTGATCATTTAACGTGACAAGTCCAATCTCCAAATCGGAGCAGTATGTACAAATCTGGCCAAAGGTGGTACTAGCGTCTCTCACTCTCCCTGACTCAGGTTGCCAGATATGCAGATGAATCCAGCTGGGACCATAATAATAGACAAGAGTCAACAATCTATAACTAACACCTTTTTCACAAAAGCCTCGATAGAAATCCTGGTTATATTCCTTGTTTTTTTATTAATTATTTGAGAATCATAACGAGACCTTTTTTAGAACCTCGTCCACATGGTGCTTTACCAGTGAAATTAGCTCGACGCGGTGAGTTCTGTTGCCCGGTATACGGATTTTCTGATTGATAATACGGTGGGGGGCCGGAACAATAACAAGCTGTCAAACTAATTTTGAAATTAAAAAATCTCTGAACTACTGTTATCAGTGAAAGAAGTATTGGAAAAGAGCATGCTTTATTAATGCCTTTGACAGATTATGGCCCTTTAATGATGACTTGACATGAAAATCATACATATAGCTACTTTAAGCTCATCTCCATATTGTTTATCACATCGTACAAGCCGCAGCTGAAACTCCCTGGTCGGTCCTTGCCTTTCCAATGTTTTCCCAGGATGTATTTTTGGTATGACCAGAAAGTGAAAACTCCCACATTCCAGGATAAAACCATGGAAAGCCTGAATAGGCCGGTGTGGCTGGTCCGTTCAGGGCTGAGGCGTTCTGGTTTGTGCGGAGACACGGTTCACCTTGCCTTCACCCTGACCATGTGACCACAGCCGTGTCAACAGCGGGAGTCTGTGTGGGTCACTCCATCACAGCTGATATGAGCTCACACTACAAATGTCATGTCGGATCGATGTTTTCAAAATGTCTTCTGTGTTTAAACGGTTGTAATGCTAATATTAATGCATACTTTCCCCTCATTTCATTTGTTTATTTATTTCAAGCATGCATGAGATGTACACAAAAATACTCACGGGGGAAAAAAAATGTGATGAACTGTGTATGGTTTGAAAAGAGATTGGAACACATACTGCAATACAACACAAAAAAAAGAATCAAATCACTACAATGCCCGCTAACAAAACACATGACCAACCAATGGCAAGAGACAACACAAGAAGGAACTTTTCTAAAGCTGGAGAACCTCACAAAAAACAGCAATAATAAAAATCCATAGTTCCTTGTTCTCAAAACTGTTTTGTTCCATCAAAACGTTTTCACATGGATGTATTTCTGCCCTCTGTCACAAGGATCTTTTCTACATAGACAGATTTTTTTGTGCATACAAGGAAGCCCAGCCGACATGAGCTTATAGAACACCATTAGCAGAAAACACAGAGACAGACCAACATCAAGCACATAAACACATCCAAAAACAAAGGCTCTCATTTAAATAAACGAGTCCGCCGCTTTTTCCAGGCTTTACACAAAAATAGAGACAATTTAAACACTTGATGTTTAAATTGTCTTCTTGATGTTGTCACTGCACCAGAACAGATCAGGATCCTGAGTGAATCTTTCATGAAACAACACGTTTCTAAATTTGTTGTAAAAAGAACAAATAAAACAAAAAATGCCATGTACAAGTCTGCAAAACATAACATGTGTTGTAATGTGTTTGCATTTTCCTTTTACAAGACTATCTCTGTTGGGACAAACAAACTGGATGATTTATCGTGACAATTCCCCAACTTTAGGGCTGGTGCTGGTCATAAAAACGAACGGTTGTGTGAGGAGTTCTTTGAGGTGTGTGTCCGTCACAGAAAACGGTACTTTGACCAGTTTTTAGTAAACAACAAAGACCTCCTGACCGCTGTTCTGTCAATGAACATGGTATTTTTGGGAGCAGTTAGTGCTCTCCGTTCTCAGCCTGAAGGTCTTGGGTTTGATTCCACCACTAGACATTCTGAGTGGCGTTTGCATGTTCTCTTTGTGTCTGCCTAGGTTTTCTCAGGGTGCTCCTGTTTCCACTATAAAAAATATACGATAGTTCCCCTCTCTCTCTGGAGTCTGTACCCACCTGAAACGGAGATTCTGAATTCTCAGTCGGACTTTCCAGGACACTTTAACATTCTACAACATGTATGGATATTTTATTAACATGTGTTCTATATTAGGCGACAGTAGCTCAGTTGGTAGAGCATTGGCCTTAAGGCCAGAAGGTCGTGGGTTCAATTCCCACCTCTGCACCTTCTCCACCGACTCCCACTGATGACTGCTGTCGTTGTGTCCTTGGGCAAGACACTTAACCCCACTTTGCCCAAAGCCCCCACTGAAAGATCAAGGCTATGCTCACACTCAGAGAGCAGCCGTCCTCCTGTGGACTCACCACCTGCAGTGAGGGGCTGGTGCTATGAGACTTGGGTGGCATCTCTGACTGCCACCCCCCTGACCCAGAAATGGATTAAAGGGTAGAAAATGGATGGATGGATGGGTGTTCTATATTCTTTCTGTGTTTTATCTGTTGATTCTCTGATCTGTGTTGGTGATTTCAATGGTTTTGTTAAGTCCTCTGAGATAACTTCTGCTGTGATTTAGGGCTATACAAGAATAAATTGTATTTTATTGTATTGTATAATAATTTGTCTGATTAGTTCTGTTGACTAAAATACTTAGCTGCACAACATGTGACTGCACAAACTTTATAGATTTGCAGACACAGCTGTAGCACTGAAGTCACTTTGGCCATTTCAAGCAGTTTATATACACAATGTGCTATATAAATAAAGATAAAATAAAGATTACGCACTTACTTTTTTAAACAACAAAAAGTTTTGTTTATCATGTATCCCCCAACCATGTAGACAGAGATAAGAAAATAGTGAAAACATACATTGAAATGCATGTATCCTTGTATTAGTTCAGCCTGTCATAGTCATTTACATTTCAAAAGTTAAATGGTGTCTTGAAGATGCACCGGTGAATTTACTTCTTTTTGAGTTAGAACTCCGTGGCCGACCCTTCTAACATCATGCCCCCTGGTCAATTCACAATTCATATTCTATCTTTACTAAATTATCACAATATGATAATTACAAATACAAAAGAGTACTCGTTTGTTATGGTACCAGCATGGTTTTATACCGTTTATACTTCACATATAGTTCAAAATTATATAAACACTGCTGAAGAAATGTCCTACTTTAGAATCCATATTTTGTCAATGAGTAGACCTATCACGTTTTATATGCGTTTTAAAAGCTGAATTTTGTTGTGTGTTTCACAATTTTATAGCATATAACTAGAATCCAATAGAAAGTCCCGCTCGTCGCTGCCAAAACAGACTGTAGAACTGCAGCTGCTCTGTTTTAATGAGTACCTTGTCCCCAATTATGTATTTTGGGTTGTGTTTTTCTGCATTTCGGGATTTCTGTAATCTAAATATGCCAGTGCACGACGGCCTGATCGAGGAACCAAAACAAACGGAAGTGTGTGCCCCTAAACCACACATACATACACGGATACTGTATACTCCCATGTTCCTTAAGGCTGTGCAGTAAAGGCCTTGAGCTGCCCACATCTAATTATAGTCCCTATTTCCTATTCAAAAAGAAAACATTCCAAAAGGGATTAGCCATCTTTTTGTCCTTTCTAACTTTTTGGTTGAGCTTGGCATGGAATGAGAAAAAATGATGGTAAAAACTGTGACAGCATGCATCTGAAATTAATCCGGTAATAAAACATGAAATCTATTTGGTTCTGTATTAACTTAAACATTGTAAAAGTATTATGACTGTATTCTTCTTTTGGAAACATTCATTTGAATTGCCCACTATTGGCCATATCTCACTTCTCATTAGAACGGTGAGCTTGCTTGTAATAATACAGACATGCCCTCTTAAGACACTTTATCTGTCCCAAAGTAAACACCTAAGTCGTTGCGGATCAGAAGTATCAGATTCCGTTTCGTTTGAATTGCCATTTGCAGTAAAACCACATTGGAATACATTTGCCAAAGTCCCCAGAGTGCACCAGACAGGTACATAAATAAAACAAGGTTAAAAGTAAACTAAAACAGTTTAAGTACAAGTGAAAGATCAATCAAAGTACTGGGTTACAGTATATCAGATATTTCAGTGGGGAAGAAGTCCCATTCAAATCATGCCCATCCTACAGCATTTCAGATGAGTCACAAGGACGTCCTCAGTTGATTGGCAAGAATACCCCATGAGTGACAATTGCTCACCAATGTGAAAGTAGTAAAGAAGCAGCCTACCTTTGGAGAAGTAGAAATCCCAGCCACATGAAGCCATGTGAGTGAGAGCCTGTGTGCATGGGGACGGGAGTGAGGTGGAGACTTGATAGTGGGAGGGAGAAAAATCAGAGAAGAGAAGAAGCATGGTCAACTCTGTGCTGATCCAGCCCAGTCCGTACTTTGCCCTCTTGTCAGCTGCACACAGACAACGTTATCTAATGACATAATATGGACAAAAGTTAAGACATCACGAGAAGTTTTGATTGTAGACAGGCTATAGGTCCATGAGAACAGGCTGTATGATCATGTCAATACATCTAATTATATTTACAACAACAAGATGCATAGTCTGAGTGAATTACTGTACCTACACTAAATGAAACAAAAGGAGGCTTGACTAAAACAGGGGCTACATACTTGTTGAACGATTTCAAGCATTCACAAATAACATACCCCAAGAGAAAACATCTGGCCTTGGTTGAACAGTGGACTGCATTACAACTATGGATTTGATCCATGATGATTTCCTCTATCTAAAGCAGATGGTAGTGTAGTCTATATTCCTCTAGAGGGCGTTGTGAGATAGGTTTTAATCATAACAGCAATAGATCACGAGAATGGATGTTCAGGAGTCAGAAACATGTTGTGTGCTTGCGTGTGTTTGAGTGTGTATTTAATTTTTATTTTTTTATAAATCGATAATTAAATCACATTATTTAGTCTGAAAAGCATTGTTGGTAGGGTTATTATTACATCATTATGCTTCCTTGTCAAATACAAAAACAATACAGCTTTACATTCATGGCCAGGCAAGATTTATTGTTATGACATATTGTGAGTATGTTGTCTGTGTTTTTATTTCTATGTATGTTATTTATGGTTTTATGGTTTTTTTTATAATATACTGGTTTGTGCAGCACTTTTGAAACGTGATTGTTGTTTAAATGTGCTATGAAAATAATGTGGATTGGATTGGATTGGATTTTGTGGCTAAAAAAACAATTTAATGATGAAAGTAAAAATAAGAAAAAGAATGTATTGCAGTATATAAATATGTATTGCTGTATATAAATATTGACACAGGTAGAGAACAAAACAAAAACAATTTGTCTGATTAGTATTGATGACAGAAGCAGCTGACTGCTCTCCTGTTTTATAGATTTGCAGACACAGCTGTAGCACTGAAATCACTTTAGTCATCGCATAAGAATCAAAATCAAGAATTAATCAATTTGAATGACAACATGTTAACTTTGTATGCTACATGCCCATAGCAATTGTAAAGCGTTTCGTGATTCTGGTCTGTGAAAGGTGCTTTATATTTCAAGATTACATTCTTCAATTACTACTTTTGTAAACAACAAACTTTTATAAATAACTTCTTAAAACCCACTTTTATCAAACAGCTTTTCACGGTTAGTTTTAAACTTCACATGTTGTATTTTAATGTCTGCTCTTTTTGTTGTTGTCTTTCTTCTTGTGTTTCCTCTGCCTGCTTTGTCTTCCTGTATCTACTTTTCGATCCAATTACTTAGACTTTGTATCATGACAATTATGATTAGATTTGTTTTTATTATTTATTATGGTGACTGTGCAGCAGTTTATAAACACTGTATTTGAAAAATTCATCCTTTGCATTTGACCCATCCTGATCCAGTGGTTGCAGTAGTAGAGCGCCCGGGAACCTGATCTCCAGGTGTTGGAATTCAGCATTGTCAGGGCCAGAGCTGGAGGATTTTTACCTATCGTGCATGTTTTTACTGGTATAGAGAAACTAGAGCACCCGGAGGAAACCTACGCAGACATGGGGAGAACATGCAAACTCCACTCAGAAAGACCCTATTCCGACCAGGATTCGAACCTATACGGCGTTCTTGCTGAAAAGCTATCTACTCAGCATCATGTATCCCCCAACCATGTAGAGAAAAGACAATACTGAAAACATATTGAATGCATGTAATTCTTGTATTAATTCAGTCAGTCTTCCTAATTATTTTTTTAAATCTCTAATTTAGATGCTGTGTGAAGGAGAGGTTCTGCAGGTCTCTCCTTCCTGCTGCTGTCAGACTGTACAACAAACAATGAGGACCAACGAATTCTGCCGACCTGAGAGAATGTGCAGCATAGAACCAAAGACCTCAGCGACTTCAGGCCAGTGGCTCTAACATCCCACTGCATGAAGACACTGGAGAGACTGGTCCTGGGACATCTCCGCTCCACTCTGAGCCCAGCGATGGACCCGCTGCAGTTTGCCTACAGGCCGGGCATCGGAGTCGAGGACGCCATCATCTCCCTCTTCCATCGCTCCCTGTCCCACCTGGAGAAACCCGGCTCCACTGTGAGGATCCTCTTCTTTGATTTCTCCAGTGCCTTCAACACCATCCAGCCGAGGCTTCTCAGGGACAAGATGGAGACAGCCGGTGTGGACTACGACCTGTCCCAGTGGATCCTGGACTACCTCACAGACAGACCCCAGTTTGTGAGAACCAGGGACTTTGTGTCAGAGGTCCTGACCTGCAGTGTGGGGGCCCCCCAGGGAACTGTTCCTCTTCACCCTCTACACTGCGGACTTCAGACACAACACGGACGGTTGTGTTCTACAGAAGTTCTCCGACGACTCTGCCATCATCGGACTCAGCTCCGAGGACGATGACACAGAGTACAGAGGAGTCATACAGGACTTTGTGGACTGGTGTCAGCGGAACCACCTCCTCATCAACGCGGGGAAGACCAAGGAGATGGTGGTGGATTTCCGCAGACGTCACTCTGCCGCTCCAGCTCCAGTGAACATCCAGGGAAAGGACATCGAGAGAGTGGACTCTTACAAGTACCTGGGTGTTCATCTGAACCACAAACTGGACTGGACTCATAACACAGACGCCCTCTTCTATGACTCTGTGGTGGCATCAGCCATCTTGTACGGTGTGGTCTGCTGGAACAGCAGTATCACAGAGAGGGACAGGAAGAAGCTGGACAAGGTCATCAGGAAGTCCAGCTCTGTCCTGGGCTGTTCCCTGGACACAGTGCAGCAGGTGGGGGACAGGAGGGTCCTGAGCAAACTAACATCTATGCTGGTCCATGACTGTCACCCCCTGCAGGACACTCTCTCTGCTCTGGAGAGCAGTTTCAGTGACAGACTAATTCACCCTCGCTGTGTGAAGGAAAGATTCCGTAGGTCTTTCCTTCCTGCTGCTGTCAGACTGTACAATAAGAACTGCTGAGCCTGTTAATTTCATTCATCTGTAATTAAGTAAATTCTTAAATCATGTGCAATGTGCAATACTGCAACTTCAGAATGTCACAGAACAATGTCACTTTACCTCATGTCACTTTACTTATATACTTTTTATCCTGCACTATTTAACTGTACAGTATATAACTGCACTACTACATATATATTTTTTGACTGGTATTGAAGCTTTTTCAGCATCTACAGCTAGTTATGTTGGCTAAGAAACATAGCTACTACTTATTTGTATATAGTGTATATATTGTGTGTGATCCCTATGTGCTCTTACTACTGTCCTATATGTGCGATGCAACATCGAAATTTCCCCACTGTGGGACAAATAAAGGAATTCTTATATTATCTTATCTTACTGTCACTTACTCGTATGCGCAGTAATAACTTTAATAATGTCTGAATGTGCAATATAGAACCACATGATTCACTGTTGCTCTACTTTGTCACTGTGTCCCAGAACCTCAGCTAACAGGTACAGATGTAAAGCATAGATCCATGATGTAAAAGATACAACTACATATTTCTTGCACTAGAATACACAGTACTTTATACTTGCTTCTTATAATGCTAAAGATAGAAAAAAATATATATTTTTATTTCTATTTTATTTAGTATAGCGTTATTGTTAATTTGTCTTGTGTGCTACTCATTTCTACTGTTCTGTAACTGGTGATGCAACACTGATATTTCCCCACGCTCTCTTCACGTTAGCAGTCAGTAGAATTTCTGACGCCCCTTGAACGCGTCATAATTCATATCCAATGAGCCCACGCCCTGTGCACGCCGGGCTGTAGACGGTTGCAGCAGAAGCTCCTCTCTGTGGCTTCACCAGAGCAGGGTTTCCGTCGGGATCAGCCAGTTAGCTCCTGTAACCGGGCTAACGGGCGCACATTGAAATGGGATGATGTAGCGAAGCAAGTCCCTGGACGAACTGCGCACCCCTTTAGCATGCTAGGCTAACGCGAAGAGGGATTTTATTAGAGCCTGGACCAAGCTAGCGGCTGTGAGCTAACGCGGGCTAGCTTTACCTGCGGCTGTAGCTAGCGAGTAGTGGATCTACGGGATGGAAAGTGTGAAGGAAAGAGACGTTGGTGAACATGGAACTCCGACGCCACAGGGGTTAGCGGACTCTAAAAGTGACACGATCCCCGCCAAGGTAAGTGGACCAACCCCGCTGTCCTCTGGGAAGAGAGGCTCGGCTGCGGAGGAGGAGTGTGGAGGCGCAGAGGCGAAACTCTTCGGGAAAGGGCTGGCGGCCACCTCCCTTCTTCAGATCGCGATAAGAAATGGGATTTATCAAAACCAAGTTGCCAACGCTATGGGGGGTGCAGCCAAAAGCCCGAGCATGTCATCCGCTAAAACAGCCAGCATTTATAACCTGACGTCTGCCAATAGCACCACTTCTGTCAACTCTTTATTGGGGAGACGAAAGCAACGACACAAGAGGAATTTATCTCTGGGAGCTTCGCCGAGCACCAGCACGTCCCTGCCCGGGGTGTCCTCTACAGAGGCCAGCCCTGCTCCCAGTGCCTCACCCCTCAGCACCCTCAGCCTGGACAGAAAGACTTTCCTCCGTCAGAAGCAGACTAAGCAGCTTCAAGTGTCTGATAAGGCATGGGTGAGGTCGGATCTCCGGAGAGGGTGTATTCATGTCCATGACTGGCTCACGCCCTCCTACCCCCGGCCAGTCCTGTGCTCCGTGGACACCACTGCACATGAGGTGGCTCTCAAAGTGGCAGGGAGCAAGTCTGGGGCCCTTCTGAGAATATCATGTAAGGCTTCTGGTGTGGCTGACGTGTATGATCGAGACCAGGGACAACGGAGTGACAGTGGAAGTCTAACTGAGGCTTTGGATATCAGAAACCTCAAGAATGACTATAATGACGACTTTGACTTTAGCAAAGGCTCAAAACACTGTTATCACGATGCAAAACTGCCTCCCAGCCTGTTGCTGGAGGACAGGAATGCTAGTAATTCATCCTCAGAGGTGTGTTTGAATGACATTGGCATGGATCTGAGTCTGAGCGCAGCTGACTGTTATGGTGCATATTCAGGCTCTGATATAGAGAGCAGCACATGTGAGGATTTCACTCCCGGGGGATCAGGGAGCATGGAGCACAGAGACTCTCTGAGTGAAGGAGTTGTGGGGACTGACTCTTCAGTGCTAAGTCCAAACTGTGACAGCGCCCCAGAAGATCCGGACCCGTTTGAGAGCTCCTCAGATGAAGTTGACCTGGTGCCTTCTCCAACACATACACCCACCCTCTCTGTCGCTGCCCAACTGCCATCCACCACTGAGCCCTCCAGCGCCTCCAAACCAGAGAGAAGCACATTGGACAATGACGCTCCACTTAGTGATAACGCAGAGGGATTAATCACACTTCCATCCAAGTGTCTCAGCAGCTCCCAAGCCAGGCCCCTCACAAGTCGGGCATCTGTCCAGGCTGACCCAGACATCCCCAGGGGGAGCAGGCTATGGCCGGAGCCTATCAATTCCAGTCCCACCCCGGCCCTCTTCCTCCAGCTGCACGGTGGAGCAGTGCGGAGACTGGAGGATGATGAAAAGCCTCTGCAGATACTAAATGAGTACCTGACCAATCTGGGCTTTGATGACCCGTGGAGGGTGCAGGAGGAGGGCATGAATCCTGAAATTGGCTGTCTCATTCGCTTTTACTTTGGTGAGTTCACTGAATCATTAATGCATTTTGAATGAAAGGAAAAGGCAGGTTGTATTTGACTGGTATATTACTCGTCTTTAAATGGCGTTCTGTTACTGGTATCAAAGCTGATAGTCACACAGCTCAGCTCTGCTTGGCTCGTTCATTGTGCATCCACTCTCATTGTTCCATGAGTGCAGTCATTGTGTTTGGTAAGTCAGACTGTTCAACAAGTACTACATTCAATTGTCCCGCTGTAACAAAGCCCAGTGTAATGTCTCCCCTCAGACACATCTAGATGTAACCGGTGCAGGGTTTAGGTGGGGAAATCCTGAGCTGGTTTAGGTTAGGATAGTGTTGTTATTGATGACTGTTTTGCTGATTTGTCTCTTAAGAGGATGAGAAACAGCCGTGATCTGGGATTAAACGTGTGTTTTTGACCTTGTTTTGACACCAGTACAGAACCAGGATGGCCATACAGTCCGAAGAGTAAAACCTACACTGTACCAATGATCAATATCTGTGCATCTGCCATTGTATCATATTCGTAACAAGTATTTACTTACATGGGTTGGCAAAAGTATTGAATGCTTTAGCTAGTACCATGACTACGGATACTCATTTGGGCAACTATTGATACTAAAAGTCAAAGAACAATTGTATTTAAGACAAAATATTTCTTATTGGATTTATTAAGCATTTCTTGATACATTTTAAATTATACCAGGTAAACTTTCAAAACCGTATGCCCTGTTAAAAACATTATTAATAAGAGGACTTTTTTTTTTTTTGATAATAAAGCCTTCATAAATGATTTCCGTTTGTAGGAAATTGCTTGTATTCTTTTTCTTGTATCAAAATTGAGTTTGAAATTAGACTGTAATGAATAACACGATCATTAACAGGGAGTTAAACAGTCATTTATTTAATTTGATTAAAGGGACCGTATATAATGGGCACTATTTTAATTATAATAATGCATCGGTTTTATATAGCCCTTTTCTGGACACTCGCTTTACATGTCATTATACTTTCACTCCATACACAGTGGTGATAAACTACTACTGTAGCCACAGCTGCCCTGGGGCACACGGACAGAAGCGAGGCAACCAGTATGCGCCATCGGCCCCTCGAATTAATGTAATATGCATTCTTGGTGGTCGAATAATGTCATTACAATTACAACAAACCAACTTTTAATGTCTTACTGCCTGTGTGACACATAAGCACTGATTACTGACACAAAACCCCTCACATATAACTCAAATTCGTATTAAAGTGATTGTCTGGAGTTTGTCAGAAACATAGACTATATATTAACGGACAGAGTCACGCCTATTTCCGCCGTTCTAACTAACGGGCCAAAAAATGTGTTCTGCTGGAGCAATCCAAAATGGCTGCGAGTGGTCCCGCCCACAAGAAAATTGTGAAAAAACGCATCTGCGCATGCGTCAGCCGGCGCAGCTCTATTCATTTGAACGAGAGACTTCAGAAATTCACAGCAAGTAAACTAGAGTGGACCAAAAAAATCCACCCCCCTCAGCATTGACACACATGTGGAACGGAGCTTTGGGCCAAGAGCCAACTTTTGGTCCATCCTGTAAAGACGTTTTTGAGAGGTCTGCCAACGCTATATGTTAGCATTGGCTAATTCTTCTTCTGGGTCCACCCCCATCGGCCCGGGGTGGTATTGCAAGCATGTCAGCGCACGTCATTTTGGCCACTTTTGAGCCGGGACCCGCCCCCACTGGTCAGAAAGAGAGACAGAGAGGTACTTGATTTGAAAAAAACGACGCAAGCTCCCTCCCCCTTCCTTTCTGATTGCTCCGTAACACTTTCAAATGTTAATCAGAGAACACATTATACATGTACATTATTAATACACATGCACAGAGGTTTTCAGAATTATTTGTTCACGTTTTAATGAAAACAATGTTTTTATGCACAAAAAAAGCGATCGCGGCAAACCAGGAAGTGCTATTATCATGACTTGCAAATTATAGGACACATCTGCAGAGGATCTGATTATGGATATAGGTTCAGTATATAAATGATTGGATATAGGTTCAGTATATAAATGATTGGATATAGGTTCAGTATATAAATGATTATGGATATAGGTTCAGTATATACATAAGTACCTCAGCGCGGATGTTCAGAATTCTTTGTTCAGTTTTCATGTAGTTCCAGAGCCTAATAGAGGCTTGATTCGGAGGCTCCGCGAAAACAAACAACTGAGCATGCGTGCAGCTGCGATCATCAGCGCTGATGATTGACAGCCCTTGGCATGACTCGATTGGTTAACCTTGACGGCACCGAGGATTCTGAGCTATAACTAAGAGAAGGGAAGGCGGGACTTACCTGTAATATTAGAATTAATAAAATCACTTATTGTATATCAACATTTAAGGCCAGGAGGTCAATTAAACACATTTCCTAAAATTTGTAATTCATTTAGAGTTACAGACTAGCACTTTAATTAAAAAAAACGACCTTTTATCTGGGACACACATAATAAAAGCTGTAAGTTGGAAAAAAAAATAGTATACAGTGTCCTTTTAATTATGGAATTATGCCTAATAAACCTTTGGTGTAAGCTTCCAGAAAGAGTTGACATCTGGACAAGAGAACTTTAATGTTCTTTGATGCGCTGCACACACTTTTTACATTATTCACATTTTAATTGTATTATGTTTAAATGAAAATGTGGCACAAAGATTGCTCTGTGACAACAATGGACTGTCCCTCCTCATGAAAGAGACGTGTGATTTCTGGGGGTCCTGCTAATGTAGGTTAATTGTTGCAAAAGCTGTTTGATTTTTGATGTAATAGTACAATATTTATCAACATATAAAATTATTAAAAGCTGTTCTTTGGTTCAGGTTTATTAGGTTTAAATGATGCAGATTCGTCTATAAGTCAGGTAGACGGGTTTGGTTTTTTTTAACCAAAAAAAGAGTGGAAACAATTGGTTTTTTTATTTAAAAATGCTTACTTCTGGAGTAATTTCTTTCACAAAACCCTTTTACAGTATTTTTAGATATGTATATAACACAATTATTCAATTTACTCATTCTTTTAATAATAATCATTGTTGTGAGCCTTATGAGAAGCAATCAAAATGCACAAAATTTATCCAAAAACACACGATTATACAATGTGTCAGAATGTAGAAGGGCTTTGCTGGTCAGGCAGCACATGACATGTAGGCAAAGCAAGTTTTATTAGTGTAGCACAATTCATACACGAGGCAACTCAAAGTGCTGAATAAAATAAGATAGAAACCGTCCCACAAGGCATTAGAATAACAAATAATTACAGTACATTAAAAAATATATGCGGCGCTAAACAGCACTGTGTATTCATGGAGCCTCCCAAAAATGTTCTTTATAACATTTCTTGAATGAGAAGTTAGTATTGGCCTAAAACTGCCTCGCCCACTATTGCTTCAATAATAATATGCAAAGCAGCAGCAGCCAGTTAGATTTGTGCAAAAACACTACGCCCTTCAAAATGAAGTTTGGAAACTCAAAGCGAACTAATACAATCAAAAAGGTATTTCCGGTAAATTATTGGATAATTATCCTGTGAAGTTAGAGCTAGGCAGTCCTGTCTTAAAAGACTAGTTGAATCCTTAGGGAACCATGCATAAACAAAACATGAAGTCAAAATGTTACACTATACACCACTGCATCTCTGGTCAGCATTACAGAGGTGTACCTCACTCCCCTGCACCTCGCACACACAATGCTGATGTATGAGTAAAGTGACCTCAGTGGAACTCCGATTTCACCTCCTCAGTGCTTTGACTCAGTGGTCAGAGCAGCACACTCCTCCCGCTCCTCTTCAGAGGTCAAACACTTAATGAAAGCTTGTCTTCAAACTCGCCACAAAAATCATTCTTCTTTACCACTAACAATTTTTAAATTGTTTTTAAAAGTGGTGCACTGCCAAAAGACATTCACTTACTTTCATATGTTCAGCCTTTACAATTACAATATTTGTTTGAATTTTGTTTGACTTTCTTTTCATAAAAAAATGTCCCAGTGCCTTAATCAGTGATGGGATGTTGAGAGAAATGGATGGAAGGAAAGGGCAAGAACAATCCCAAGGTCAGCTGCCAGGTCCTAAAAAGGGTGAACAGCAAATTCCACACCTTTTATTGACAATATTCTACTCTTTCATTAGTCAATCACCCCAGAATCTGTAGCCTTTTCTTGTAAAGATGATGCCATCAGTCCATTACACTGAGAAGTAGCTTCGTACCAGTGAAACCTAAGTGGCGTTTTGTTTAAGCCACCGGAGAAAGGTAGCAGGGAGGATCTGAGCTGGTGTTATAGGCCATTACATAACAGGCTAATCTGATTTCAAGCCTCTTTGTGGTTCAACTCTTCATGTGTCTCCCTTTCCCATGTTGTCATGTGATTGTAATCCTTCATGTAGACAAAGCCCACAGAACCAAAACAAAGATTTTTAATAGCTTTGAATTATTTTTTCAATTATATCTATTGATTTCCGCATGCTGTTTAATCCAGACTCAGAAGAACACAAGAATAGGCAATAAGTGAACCTTTTTCACTCCTGTTTCAGACCTGCTCACAATTTGAAGTTGTGAGCAGGTCTGGACCAAAATGTTTTCACCGCAGAAATTGAGCATTATTCAACTCTAGCAAACAGGGGTGTACACTCGTCATCACATCATCTGCAGCATCTATCTGGGTAGTGTAGAAGTATAGAAGACACTGAACCTGGTGATACTGATGTGTTCTTGTATCACCAGGCTTAAATTGCTCGAACCTGAACTAAACCAGTAATGTCCCGCGTGCTTGAGCCCTGCCCGAGCAGCTCTGTTGTATGACATTGTTGTGTGCACCGCAAAGTTTTCAACACATTACACAGCATCAGCTTCATAAACAAAGTCTATGGGGGACGTGTTTGGCATCTCGCTGCCATTGAGGATAAAGGTTCTATTTTTTACACTCTAAAGGCCATGTTTTTAGGCTTATTGCTGTAGTGAAGGCAAAAAGGCGTAAAATGACTCAAGTGTAAATGTTGCTGTCAACAGTCATGCCTGACTGGCTGCTCACCCTCTGTGCACAGGCTGTTCACTACTGTTCTCTACACAATGGTTAAAGTAAGTGAAGCATAATCTGACAGTAGCAATTCAAGGGTTAGGGTTAGCAAGTCCAACACATGCTATAACAATTAGCCCTGTGAGCATGTGCTAATGTCTCTTGTCTGCACTTTCAGGTAAACCTCGCAGTGTCGGAGGCTCGGAGCGCGTGCAGCTCTCCGGGGTGTTCAACGTGAGGAAAGGGAAGCTGGCTCTGCCTGTGAACCGCTGGTCAAAGAGGCAGGTCACACTGAGTGGAACGTGTCTGATCGTGTCGTCTGTGAAGCACGCCCACACGGGCAAGATGCACATCCTCCCTCTCATTGGAGGAAAGGTACTTAAATGTGCTACGTCCGGAATAGTCACAAATGCAGGAAGTACAGCTGAAGCTTAAAGATATTGCCAAGGTTCTCCCACACTAGAAAAAGTGAATGCTGATGTTTTTGTTTTTTCACATGCTGTTGGGTAGAGGGATCAAACTCAAGTTGTATAAATGTGATTTCACAGGTAGAAGAAGTAAAAAGACACAGTCACTGTCTTGCCTTCAGCTCTGCTGGTCCCCAAAGTCAGACGTACTACATCAGTTATGACTCTTACACAGAGCACCTCCGCTGGCACCGCACTGCGTCCAAGGTACCGCCACACCCTCTGGATCACTGTCTTGTGTTAATGAAAAGATGTTTAGTTATTCATATTTAACATTGTATTGATGCTCTTTTAGATTGCATCTCAGAGGGTGAACTCTGTAGACCTATCATGCTGCAGCCTAGAGGAGCTGCCCACTCAGCTTTTTTACAGCCAGGACCTCACACACCTCAATCTAAAAAACAACTTTCTGTCCATGCACAAAGGCGTTCCAGCACTCACCAGGTGAGCCACTTGTGTCTCAGGAAGACATCTCTTTTATTATGGCCATTTGAGTCGTGGATTATCCCATGGTCACGAGAACCCCAAAGTGGTCCTAGAGGATTCAATGCTGATCAAATGACACAGGACTTGTCTGTGTGAGGTGGCTGTGTGGACTGAAAAGAGCTGCAGTCTTAATGAAAGGATTTGGCATGAATCTGACTGACCCCTGGGGCAGAGGATTTTATTTTCTTTCTGGTTCCAGCTCACTTTATATTGTCTGTGGGCCATAGCTAGCTTTTTGTTTACTGTCTGCGAAGGTAAATGTTTTTCTTGAGATTTTTATTCACTGCAGGGGTTCAGCAGTTGGTCCTTTGGCTTCACAACAAGAAGGTCCTGGGATTGATCCAGTCTCAGACACAGCCTTTCTGAGTGGAGTTTGCATGTTCTTTCCGTGTCTGCGTAGGTTTCCTGTGGACGCTCCTGTTTCCCTACCACTAAAAACATGTAGATTAGATTAGATTAGACTTTATTTGTCACTATGCACATGCATAATGAAATTTTAAAGCAACTCCACCAGTGCAGGAATGTACACACAGAATAAGTTAATGTACAATAGTTCAGAAGGATGAATGAGTGTGTGTTTGTGAAAGCGACTGGGGCTACTATCCGGTGTATTGTACAGCACCTGCGGTTCTTTAATGCACACTGTTCCATCCAAATAAAAAAATAAAACCTTTTAGTCTGGGACCCTAAGATATGTATGGAATTTTCTTGCCGCCCCCACTGCTGACTAAACTTAAATGTATTCAGTAATTGTGTTGATAATGCCAATGTATTATTTGTATTGTGTAATTTATTGTCTTTTTTGATCTTGGTAAATACAGTAAAAGGCCCCTTCCCCTGACGAAGATGCAGATGGATACAAATATAGATCCATTGTTCTTTTTATAAACAGCTACTTCCCAGACGGGGTTTTTGAGGAACATTTTTTTTGAGCTATTTGTGTGTCTTTTCCTCAAAAGGACACTGTACTGTCTCAGCCCCTCACTCTGGCCTCTTACTCACCCCCTGTGAGGCAGATTATAGCACAGTTTACCAGTATCTTTATTTGTATTATTTTGGCAAATCTGTTTTTAAGATGTATGTTTACATAGTGGAGGTACTTGTTTTGTTCCTGACCTGTCCTTGAGATATGGTCAACTTTCTTTTCATGTCATTGCCTGCGTTTGTCAGTTAGCTAAGTTATTTACAATTCTTTCCATGTTTAAAAATGATAACTTTTGTTCGAAGGTTCTGCAAGCTAAGAAGCCTCAGTCTGTCTAATAACACTTTGACCAAATTTCCACTGGCCTTGTGTGATATCGCTTCTCTCACTGAACTCAACTTGTCTGGAAACCAACTCTCGTGCCTCCCATCAGAAGTGGGAACCATGCACAAGTGAGTAGAGTTTCAAAAAGCAATAACAAATACGCTTTTATACATGATGGCGATGATAATTTCCTCCGTAATGCCCAAGAGCCGTGCTTGTCCTCGGTGACCTACTCTTTGCTGACATAGGCTCCAGGCAGAGTTTTTTTGTTTTGAATCCAACAAAGCAGATTAGTTCCTGTGTATTCAATGAAAGGCTGGCATAGCACCAAAATCCCGATGCATGATGCATGAGTCTTGTGCACAGTCAGGCTGCTCCTGATGGCTTACTGTTCATTCATCCATGAGGTGTGGGATTGAAATGCACAGTTTACATATGCAAGCCTTGTTTCTACTTATTATTAGTCCAATTAAAATCTAAAACACAAGTACTATAGATGTTGTGCCTTTGAAGCCAATAGTTACATGTGACAACAATTGCTTAAAGACCACTAATAATTGTGTGTATTTGCATTGTGCAGCCTGCAGACTCTTCTCCTGGATGGGAACTGTCTGAGTTCTTTGCCTGCTGAACTGGGATCTCTGGATAGCCTCACGTACCTAGGTTTATCATTCAACTGCTTCAGCTCTGTCCCTACGATCTTGGAAAAGCTCCGGGGCTTGGAGAGGCTCTGTTTGGCAGGGAACCAACTCTCTGTCCTGGACATGCCGGGCCTCCAATGGCTCCCGGCACGACACATAGACGTGAGGTGAACATGTCATCTTTATATAGAAATAATACCGGGACAACTGCTGATAGAACTGCACTTATTTCCAATGAGCTAGCAACAACGTATTAAGAATACGTTCATGGATCTTTGTTCCTCAGGCTCAACCGGCTCCACACAATCGCAGCAGGAGACGCAGAGCAACTGGTTCACATAGTCCAGCTTGACCTGAGAGACACAGGCCTACGGGATCTGGATGTTAGATGTTTGTCCAAACTTGAAGTCCTACGCTGTGACAGAAACTCTTTATCTGTTCTCCGAGTGAACGGCCAGGCCATCAAGAGCCTGCATGCAGCGCATAATGGTTTATTCTCTTTCTCTTTTGTGGATTAGTTTGACAAGTGTGTGCCACTGACTTCATGTATGTTCTTGGTCTCTGTAGAGCTAAAGCATCTTGAGTTGGCACCTGTCCCAGAGAATCTGACTGTGGTGGATTTATCCAGGTACAAACCAACACATCGCTCATTGTAGTTGTAACTTTGTTTTGTCTAACTTCATGATTATACTCCTAGAAACATGCTGTGCTCTGTGCCTGACTGGCTTTGTGATAGCAGAAAACTTGAAGTGTTGGAGCTTAACCACAATTGTCTTACTGAATTACCAATACAGTAAGTGTTGCACCACGTAATGTACACATTATTTTTACTACCGTATTTTTCGGATAGTATATCGCAGTTTTGGTCATAGTTTGGCCGGGGGTGCAATTTATTTGTGAAATTATTACATTTTAAATGTTATAGTTTATTTACCATAAAATATAAAATAGCCCGGGCTATTAAAGCTATTAAAATTGCGACTCTTTATTATGCATTTTTTTTACAATCCGGTGCAATTTATAATCCAAAAAAACACGGTAATGTGTTTGTGCAAGAATAAAAAGATGGCCTGTAGTGGTGTCCCACAATTACTTGTATGCTGTCATTGTTGGTCTCAGGAAGTAGTGTTGAGCTGGTCAGAAATGTGTTATTTTTAGTGCGGCTCTTCATTCCTCTGGTTGTGTTGCAGACTGCTGTCCTCTGGGAGTTTGAGAAAACTGCTCACTGGCTGGAACAATGTGTGCCGGCTGGCTGAGAGGCTGGAGAGATCACAGCTGGAGGTGCTGGATCTGCAGCACAATCATCTGACTGAACTTCCAAGCAACTTATTCATCAAAGCACAAAGGTATTCATAGTAACATGGATCCTCAGCGGTCCACACAGATTTCCTTACTCCTCAATTGATTTGGACTTTTTTTCTTTGACTTTTGTAGTTTGCGATACCTCAATGTCTCTGCCAATAAGCTGGAAAATCTTCCTCCAGCTTGTTTGTCTGAGGATGGGTTCAGCCTCTTAGAAGAGTTATATTTGACCAACAACTGCTTGACAGAAAAGTGTGTGCCACTCCTCACTGGACACAGCCATCTGAGAGTGCTTCACCTCGCTTACAACCAGCTACAGAGCTTTACAGCCAGGTAGCTCTTCTAAACCTTTATTTCTGCTAGCATAGCTCTTTCTTGTGCTTAGTTTAAATGTGGATTCTGCAGTAAACTGGCACGACTCGAGCAACTAGAGGAACTAGACCTGAGCGGTAACCGGCTACGGTCTGTGCCTACCACCATCCTGAGCTGTCAGCGCCTGCACACTCTCTCGGCCCACTCCAACGGCATCAACGCCTTCCCTGAGGTCCTCCAGCTGCCTGAGATTAAGGTGACATTCATCATCATTATGTGTATAAAATGTATGAAAAGATAGAGGAAGTGATACATTCATGCATAAATCATTCACAATTATCTTACACTTTTCAACTTGCCAGAAAAGGCAAAAGCAAAGTCTTGTGTCACTACTCACTGTACTTTGTCTTTGAAGTGTGTGGACTTGAGCTGCAATGAACTCACAGAAGTATCCCTCCCTGAGAGTCTTCCTGTAAAACTCCAGGAACTGGATCTAACAGGAAATCCTCGCCTCAACTTGGACCACAAGAGCCTAGAGCTGCTTAAGTATGTAGTATAGTGTGTGTAGAAAAAAAGTATTTATGAAAGGCTACTAAAATAATTAACCACTTTTTTTTTTTTTTTTTTTTACCTCTGATGCAGTAACATCCGCTGCTTCAGGGTTGATCCATCTCCATCAGCACCGTGTGTCAGTGAGAGTCGTGGGGCACCTTCAGTCTGGAGCCATAGTTACACAGAGGCCTCCGGAGTCAAAAACAAGTGTGTTTCTGACTGTTGCATTTGAAAACCTACTACACCACCTTTACTCATTTAACTTTTTTTGCAGACTATGTGTGGCAGCTCTGGCTCTGGACAGCTTCTGTGGGATTCGGGAGGCGCTGTATGGAGTGTTTGATGGTGACAAAAATGTGGACATTCCTTATTTACTACAGTGCACAATGGGAGATGTTTTGGCAGAGGAATTTCACAGGGCACAAAGACAAGAAGACTACATGACCAGCACTTTTCTGACAATGCAAAGGTAAGCATTTCTCTGCACACAATGTGAAGTCTAAGGCTCCGAGACTGATGAAGTGTCTGACTGTTCTGTCTGCTGCTTTACAGAAAGCTGGGCACAGCAGGACAGAGGATGGGTGGCTCAGCAGCTTTGTGTCACATTAGGCATGACCCTGTAGCACTTGGGGAGCACTGTGGCTGTTTTACGCTCAAGACGGCCAATGTGGGTCGCTGCCAGGCCGTGCTGTGCCGAGATGGCAAAGCTATGCAACTTACCACTGTGCACACTGTGAAGGAGGAAGTAGAGTACCAGAGGGTACGACACCACAACGCCATCATTACAGAGGTAAGAAAGTCTTAGAAATGCAGAAGTTATTCCATAAAATTATTTTTACAAAAGTGCCTGATCTTGTGTTTAGGACAACAAAGTCAGTGGAGTGACTGACTGTACCAGGATTATGGGCTACTCCTTCCTTTGTCCCTCAGTGTCCCCTCGTCCACATGTGTCCACTGTGACGCTCACGCCTCAAGATGAGTTCTTTCTCCTGGGAAGCCGAGGTTTGTGGGAAATGTTGTCTCCTACTGAAGCTGTGGAGGCGGTCAGGAACGTTCCCGATGCCCTGGCTGCAGCTAAGAAGCTGGTGACTCTGGCTCAGAGCTACGGCTGTGCAGACAGTTTAAGTGCAGTAGTTGTCCGACTGAGTGTGACAGAAGACTGCTGCTGTTTCTGTGAGCCCCCGCCCCCTCCTCCAAGTCCTGGACCAGGGGTACACACAGGCACACACCCCTATCAGACCAGTGATGGAGGCATTCCTCTACCCCCACCATCATCAGGGACTGTGAGTGAGCTGAGCAGTGAGCTGAGCATGTCTGAAATGAGCAGTGAGGTAGGCTCCACGGCCTCCTCGGAGGAGCCTCCTCCACAGACTGAGCCCATGGCGACACACTTGCATCTGCCAGGGCGAATCGGAGTGAGGAGACCCGCAGGAGGAGGCGGCTTCCACAGGCAGTTCTCTGGAGCTCTGTCTGACAATGGTCTGGACAGTGAGGATGAAGAGCCCATTGCAGGAGTTTTCTCTAATGGAAGTCGTGTGGAAGTTGAAGCTGATGTTCACTGTTTGAAAAGTCGGGAACATCCCCTTCCCCAAACTAACTTTCAAACAAACCAGACTAATATTCCTCCCTCCAGCACAGGGCATCAAGAGCCTACACAGGCCTCCTACTCTCCTGTACCCCCATCTTCTCCCTGCCTCAGCGCAGAGTCTCGCTCTGGTACCCTCGGACGCAGGGGCCGGGCCAATGGCTCTGTTGCTTGTCAAGCCCGGAGCCAGGATGTGATTGAGGAGGCAGGGGATGCTCCTGTCAGGAAACAGGGAGGCTACTTCAATGCACCTGCACAGCCAGACCCTGACGATCAGCTGATCATCCCCCCAGAGCTGGAGGAGGAGGTGCGTCAGATCATCCAACAGCAGCAGCAAGAACAAATGCAGGCACACAACCAGCAAACTCATCCCTACCAGAAACCTGCGGACTACTTTGTGACTCCCCTCTAACTTCAGTTTAGGAAGGCCTCCTTCCTAAAAGCACCACTGTCTGCTTCCAGCATCTAAGATTTGACAGTGCTAGTAAGCTTTAGCTTCCACCGAACATGCTTGGGCAATTTACTTTTGTTAGTTTTTTATATTGTATGTCCCCAAAATGCAATGCAATTTTATAACAATTTGTGTTTAATGTCAAGTGAAATTTTATTTTTATATACCATATCATTCGTCAAAAAGCACTTTGAAAAATCTTTCTTCAGAAATTGTAACTGGTTCCATGTCAAATGGTACTTTTAAGAATGGATCATTCCATTGTTGTAGAAGTTGACATTTCTGTTATGACGTTGGCCTTACTGTCGCCAGAGTTAATGAACTCTAGAACTAACTCATAGTTTAATACTTAATAAGTGACATAGTCACTGGAGTGTACTAATATTCTCTAAGAGAAAATGATTATTTCATAGAATTGAAATTCCAGATTTGTGTTTATGGGGCTGGAGTGGAGAGTGGTGCTGCAAGTCCAAACTGAACCGGGGAAACCCAGTGATTACCAGCTCGATGAATGTTCTCTGAACAGTGTTACAAGTCTACACAAATGGCAAAATCGCACAAGAGCTACTTTTGCTATAAAATAAATGAAGATTTCCTATGTTTTGAGCATTTCTTCTTATCCTGTTTTTGATTCACGTGTTTGCGAACTTGTGTCTGTGGATATGTGGTTTCAAACAAAATGTTTTGTGGCTTTACCTGTTCAGAACATGCAACACTGTTTGTCCCTGTGTACCACAATAAGTGCATTGTGTGGTGCGGTACGTTGAGCCATGGCTTTAGAGAATCGCTCTGGAGAATCTCTTGTTAGTAATTATGTCTCGGCTCAACAATTCCATCACTGCTGAGTCTTTGTGTGTGGTGCTTTGTCCAACAGCAGAGGGGACACAGTGAGGTCATGGCTGGCAGGAAGCCTCTGGAGTGGACTGTATGACCAGACTGCGCCCCCTACATACAGTTTAAGGAATTACAATAAAACTGGGTAGTTTTATAGCATTATTTTTAATTCAGATGACTTGCGCATAATGCAGTGATATAAAAACATAACATTTGAGTTAAGTCATAACCCTAAATGTGAATTTTATAATATTATTAAAATACTGTAAAAATCACTAACATAAATCTCACATGAACAAAGACACTCAAGTGAGTAGATGTCTGAATAAACGGCGAGCAGGCATGTGTTCTTCCAGACTTTACACTGCGGTGGTGTCGGCCCTCAGCGGGGCGCCGTGTGGCTGGGACCTGTCCGCGTGTCTCCGCTTCCTCTCCTGCAGGTAGTGCCTCACGGTTCTGATGGTCTGGATGGTGAGCACGGTGCCGGCCGTGTACAGGATGGCTGTGATGAGCCCGAACAGAGCCACAGCTGCGTCTGCACCGCTCACGTCACAGCTCATCCAAGTGTATCCATTTCGAGCGTAAAGCCTCTCCCGCTGCTGGCACACGTCTGTGGAGTTGACCCTGATGATAAAATGTAAGTACAGTCCTACGGCCACAATGTAGGCAACTGCTCCCACAGCTTGGCAAACTAGAGCTCCAACAAGCAACTTTTTGGACATTCGGTGGGGTGGTTTACTGCCAGACACTACAAAAAGGAGGGAGACTACCCCAAAGGTTAAGCTGAAAGGGATTCCGCTGTAGAGGGCTGGCGCCCTCATCTGGCTGTACTGCATGTCCAGCTCACGCACTTTCTGCAGCTCGGTTCCCTGGAGGTTGAAGTTGGAGTTGATGTCGAAGCCCCCCATCCCGGCAGCAGCGGACATGCCCGATGTCACCATGTGAGAGGCTATTACGCAGATCAGCACCAGGGCATTGGTCAGGACTGCACAAATGAGGACAGTGCCTACAAAAGAAACGTTTTATGAAGGCAAATATACAGTCTATTATACAGTGCAATAATCCAATGAAAATGGAACAAAACTAATGACCGTGGGTGACATGAATTGATGAATGAATGATCAATTATAGAAAGTCATTTAGATATAATTGCCAAAAATGTGTATTAAGGACAATTGGGATGAAATAAAGTAACTGATCTGATCTAATCCTCATAGATTGCAAGTTATCTGCTTTCGACAATCATGGGGACAAACCGGTTTTCCCCTGTGGTTGCTGTATGAGGAAAGGGCTTGAAACCAAAGCATTGACATCACTCCCACCTCTCCTGGAGCAAATGTTGGTGCATTTGGAGTCAGATTCACGGTGCTCCAGTCGTGGGTCATTCTTAGGGTGTCTTGCGTCTCTTGGGTAGTAAGGAGGATGAGATGAAGACCTTAAACAAAAACCAAAGTAGTGAACGCTGGGAGATGGCAGTTTTCACTTTATTAAATTCTATGCACATTTATAGGGTATTTTTAAATCACTGTGGTTGGCCAATTCACATGGCTATATCTGGTGCACGCTGAGGTTGTCTTGCATAGATTTTCCAATGTGGTTTCACTGCAAACGGCAAATACATTTAGAATCTTGAATCAATTTGACCGGAGGATTGCACAAGGGTTAAATGGGGGCTGGTGAATACACATAAAATATACTTATAACAACAAAAAACGCTTTGGAAAGAGGAACAAGGAAAGTAGCTCACGGTAGGGCTGCATCTGAATCATTAATCTGTTATAAAACACTTGAAATATCACATTTATCTAATTGTAATTGACATTTCATAACACAGCTGCCAGCTCCAGGTTTCAATTCAAGTGAAATCATTTAGGACTTGTGTAAGAATACATTTCCAAGAAACCTCAAAGTGCCACAGATTAAAATACAGTACAACAGACAAACAAAAACATCAGGAGTACATAAAATATAAAAATGAATCATGGAGTTATAGGCTCACACCAGCAAGGACAAGGAAGGTTTCTTTTTAATGAATTCCATACAGGCCTATATGAACCAATACTACGCACCTGTCTGGGGATGAGCGCCTGTCCTCATGGTCTCTGTGGTATCGTCCGTCTCCGTTCCTGTCTCCGTTCCTGTCCCGCGGTCCCCGGTTCGTGCGCGGCTGACTGCTCATTATCTGCAAAGAGACAAATCTAAAGGTCAAAGAACCGTATGCGATCCTGTCTGATAATTGGACCACTTTTCCCCTAGATCTAGTCAATATGAAGTCTGCGTAAACCGTCGCCATTGCGCATTTGCCAAACTTGAATGGCTTTACCTTGGGAGATTCAAGTCAAGGAAGCACGACACTAACGTGAAATAAACCTGAAAAAACAAAACAAAAAAACAACTTACTGTAAAGTGGTGTTGAGATTAACCCTAATATTCCAACAATTTCTGAGTGAAATCTGTCGACAGGTAAAGAGAACAAAAACAAACCCCGCCCGCCCCACTGGAAGGCGGAAGAGGCAGGGCAGGTGAAACCAACAGGATCAGTGTGAGGGTCTGTCTTTGGTCTATCTTTGGTCAGTCTTGAATCTGTCTTGGATCTGCCTTGGTTCTTCTTGGATCTGCCTTGTTCTTCCTGCCTTGAATCTGCCTTGAATGTCTGTCCTTGAATCTGCCTTGAATTCTGCACTTAGAATCTGCCTTGAATCTGCCTTGGAATCTGCCTTGAATCTGCCTTGAATCCTGCCTTGAATCAGCCTTGAATCTGCCTTGAAATCTGCGCTTGAATCTGCCTTGGTTCTGCCTGGTTCTGCCTTGGTTCTATCTGCCTTGGATCCAGAGGGGACATGTGAAGTGTCCTCTTCTCGGAGTGAGTGGTCTTTCTACAAAAAGAGGCATTGTGTGGATCCAAAGCCGCCTCTGCCAGAGCATTTTTATGGCACAGTTGGCATTTGTCCTAGTGTGCTGGGTACAAGAGGAATGTGAGAGTTCAAATTTACAGATCCTTTATTTATCCCCACAGTGAGACATTTCAGTTGTTGCATGACAAGTTCCAGAACAGGAGGAAGAGGAGCACACGAGATAAATGAAGGGAATGATGAAAGTATAGCACAACTATACTTTATTAAATCTCAATATTGACTTTAATAAACAAAGTATAAAAAAACATCTAAACATCTACCCTGTGTACAGAGATTTACAGATTTTGAAGGTTCAAATATTCACAGTGATCGAACTAGTCACAGATGTACATTTTTGATAGTTTTTAAATTCGATCATTAATGTTTTATTATTCTAATTTTTTGCAATGAATAGCTGTTTTAAACCCGTATATTAAAATGCGTTATTTTTTTATTTGTGCAGTATTTTGGGAAACTTGTTTTTATAAAATGTGCTATACAAATAAAGTAGATTGTGGGTCACTTCGAGTGGGCGGGGGCTCGGGACCTGAATGTCGTATTTAAAATCGACCACATGGGGGGGCGACATACATTAAATTGAAGGTCTGTGGACTACACGTTATTAATTATAGATCCATGGGACTACATCTCTTCTGAACCGATAAGTGTGTATATGTGTGATGTGACAAAACTTTGTTTTGTCTAACTTCATGATTATACTCCTAGAAACATGCTGTGCTCTGTGCCTGACTGGCTTTGTGATAGCAGAAAACTTGAAGTGTTGGAGCTTAACCACAATTGTCTTACTGAATTACCAATACAGTAAGTGTTGCACCACGTAATGTACACATTATTTTTACTACCGTATTTTTCGGATAGTATATCGCAGTTTTGGTCATAGTTTGGCCGGGGGTGCAATTTATTTGTGAAATTATTACATTTTAAATGTTATAGTTTATTTACCATAAAATATAAAATAGCCCGGGCTATTAAAGCTATTAAAATTGCGACTCTTTATTATGCATTTTTTTTACAATCCGGTGCAATTTATAATCCAAAAAAACACGGTAATGTGTTTGTGCAAGAATAAAAAGATGGCCTGTAGTGGTGTCCCACAATTACTTGTATGCTGTCATTGTTGGTCTCAGGAAGTAGTGTTGAGCTGGTCAGAAATGTGTTATTTTTAGTGCGGCTCTTCATTCCTCTGGTTGTGTTGCAGACTGCTGTCCTCTGGGAGTTTGAGAAAACTGCTCACTGGCTGGAACAATGTGTGCCGGCTGGCTGAGAGGCTGGAGAGATCACAGCTGGAGGTGCTGGATCTGCAGCACAATCATCTGACTGAACTTCCAAGCAACTTATTCATCAAAGCACAAAGGTATTCATAGTAACATGGATCCTCAGCGGTCCACACAGATTTCCTTACTCCTCAATTGATTTGGACTTTTTTTCTTTGACTTTTGTAGTTTGCGATACCTCAATGTCTCTGCCAATAAGCTGGAAAATCTTCCTCCAGCTTGTTTGTCTGAGGATGGGTTCAGCCTCTTAGAAGAGTTATATTTGACCAACAACTGCTTGACAGAAAAGTGTGTGCCACTCCTCACTGGACACAGCCATCTGAGAGTGCTTCACCTCGCTTACAACCAGCTACAGAGCTTTACAGCCAGGTAGCTCTTCTAAACCTTTATTTCTGCTAGCATAGCTCTTTCTTGTGCTTAGTTTAAATGTGGATTCTGCAGTAAACTGGCACGACTCGAGCAACTAGAGGAACTAGACCTGAGCGGTAACCGGCTACGGTCTGTGCCTACCACCATCCTGAGCTGTCAGCGCCTGCACACTCTCTCGGCCCACTCCAACGGCATCAACGCCTTCCCTGAGGTCCTCCAGCTGCCTGAGATTAAGGTGACATTCATCATCATTATGTGTATAAAATGTATGAAAAGATAGAGGAAGTGATACATTCATGCATAAATCATTCACAATTATCTTACACTTTTCAACTTGCCAGAAAAGGCAAAAGCAAAGTCTTGTGTCACTACTCACTGTACTTTGTCTTTGAAGTGTGTGGACTTGAGCTGCAATGAACTCACAGAAGTATCCCTCCCTGAGAGTCTTCCTGTAAAACTCCAGGAACTGGATCTAACAGGAAATCCTCGCCTCAACTTGGACCACAAGAGCCTAGAGCTGCTTAAGTATGTAGTATAGTGTGTGTAGAAAAAAAGTATTTATGAAAGGCTACTAAAATAATTAACCACGTTTTTTTTTTTTTTTTTTTACCTCTGATGCAGTAACATCCGCTGCTTCAGGGTTGATCCATCTCCATCAGCACCGTGTGTCAGTGAGAGTCGTGGGGCACCTTCAGTCTGGAGCCATAGTTACACAGAGGCCTCCGGAGTCAAAAACAAGTGTGTTTCTGACTGTTGCATTTGAAAACCTACTACACCACCTTTACTCATTTAACTTTTTTTGCAGACTATGTGTGGCAGCTCTGGCTCTGGACAGCTTCTGTGGGATTCGGGAGGCGCTGTATGGAGTGTTTGATGGTGACAAAAATGTGGACATTCCTTATTTACTACAGTGCACAATGGGAGATGTTTTGGCAGAGGAATTTCACAGGGCACAAAGACAAGAAGACTACATGACCAGCACTTTTCTGACAATGCAAAGGTAAGCATTTCTCTGCACACAATGTGAAGTCTAAGGCTCCGAGACTGATGAAGTGTCTGACTGTTCTGTCTGCTGCTTTACAGAAAGCTGGGCACAGCAGGACAGAGGATGGGTGGCTCAGCAGCTTTGTGTCACATTAGGCATGACCCTGTAGCACTTGGGGAGCACTGTGGCTGTTTTACGCTCAAGACGGCCAATGTGGGTCGCTGCCAGGCCGTGCTGTGCCGAGATGGCAAAGCTATGCAACTTACCACTGTGCACACTGTGAAGGAGGAAGTAGAGTACCAGAGGGTACGACACCACAACGCCATCATTACAGAGGTAAGAAAGTCTTAGAAATGCAGAAGTTATTCCATAAAATTATTTTTACAAAAGTGCCTGATCTTGTGTTTAGGACAACAAAGTCAGTGGAGTGACTGACTGTACCAGGATTATGGGCTACTCCTTCCTTTGTCCCTCAGTGTCCCCTCGTCCACATGTGTCCACTGTGACGCTCACGCCTCAAGATGAGTTCTTTCTCCTGGGAAGCCGAGGTTTGTGGGAAATGTTGTCTCCTACTGAAGCTGTGGAGGCGGTCAGGAACGTTCCCGATGCCCTGGCTGCAGCTAAGAAGCTGGTGACTCTGGCTCAGAGCTACGGCTGTGCAGACAGTTTAAGTGCAGTAGTTGTCCGACTGAGTGTGACAGAAGACTGCTGCTGTTTCTGTGAGCCCCCGCCCCCTCCTCCAAGTCCTGGACCAGGGGTACACACAGGCACACACCCCTATCAGACCAGTGATGGAGGCATTCCTCTACCCCCACCATCATCAGGGACTGTGAGTGAGCTGAGCAGTGAGCTGAGCATGTCTGAAATGAGCAGTGAGGTAGGCTCCACGGCCTCCTCGGAGGAGCCTCCTCCACAGACTGAGCCCATGGCGACACACTTGCATCTGCCAGGGCGAATCGGAGTGAGGAGACCCGCAGGAGGAGGCGGCTTCCACAGGCAGTTCTCTGGAGCTCTGTCTGACAATGGTCTGGACAGTGAGGATGAAGAGCCCATTGCAGGAGTTTTCTCTAATGGAAGTCGTGTGGAAGTTGAAGCTGATGTTCACTGTTTGAAAAGTCGGGAACATCCCCTTCCCCAAACTAACTTTCAAACAAACCAGACTAATATTCCTCCCTCCAGCACAGGGCATCAAGAGCCTACACAGGCCTCCTACTCTCCTGTACCCCCATCTTCTCCCTGCCTCAGCGCAGAGTCTCGCTCTGGTACCCTCGGACGCAGGGGCCGGGCCAATGGCTCTGTTGCTTGTCAAGCCCGGAGCCAGGATGTGATTGAGGAGGCAGGGGATGCTCCTGTCAGGAAACAGGGAGGCTACTTCAATGCACCTGCACAGCCAGACCCTGACGATCAGCTGATCATCCCCCCAGAGCTGGAGGAGGAGGTGCGTCAGATCATCCAACAGCAGCAGCAAGAACAAATGCAGGCACACAACCAGCAAACTCATCCCTACCAGAAACCTGCGGACTACTTTGTGACTCCCCTCTAACTTCAGTTTAGGAAGGCCTCCTTCCTAAAAGCACCACTGTCTGCTTCCAGCATCTAAGATTTGACAGTGCTAGTAAGCTTTAGCTTCCACCGAACATGCTTGGGCAATTTACTTTTGTTAGTTTTTTATATTGTATGTCCCCAAAATGCAATGCAATTTTATAACAATTTGTGTTTAATGTCAAGTGAAATTTTATTTTATACCATATCATTCGTCAAAAAGCACTTTGAAAAATCTTTCTTCAGAAATTGTAACTGGTTCCATGTCAAATGGTACTTTTAAGAATGGATCATTCCATTGTTGTAGAAGTTGACATTTCTGTTATGACGTTGGCCTTACTGTCGCCAGAGTTAATGAACTCTAGAACTAACTCATAGTTTAATACTTAATAAGTGACATAGTCACTGGAGTGTACTAATATTCTCTAAGAGAAAATGATTATTTCATAGAATTGAAATTCCAGATTTGTGTTTATGGGGCTGGAGTGGAGAGTGGTGCTGCAAGTCCAAACTGAACCGGGGAAACCCAGTGATTACCAGCTCGATGAATGTTCTCTGAACAGTGTTACAAGTCTACACAAATGGCAAAATCGCACAAGAGCTACTTTTGCTATAAAATAAATGAAGATTTCCTATGTTTTGAGCATTTCTTCTTATCCTGTTTTTGATTCACGTGTTTGCGAACTTGTGTCTGTGGATATGTGGTTTCAAACAAAATGTTTTGTGGCTTTACCTGTTCAGAACATGCAACACTGTTTGTCCCTGTGTACCACAATAAGTGCATTGTGTGGTGCGGTACGTTGAGCCATGGCTTTAGAGAATCGCTCTGGAGAATCTCTTGTTAGTAATTATGTCTCGGCTCAACAATTCCATCACTGCTGAGTCTTTGTGTGTGGTGCTTTGTCCAACAGCAGAGGGGACACAGTGAGGTCATGGCTGGCAGGAAGCCTCTGGAGTGGACTGTATGACCAGACTGCGCCCCCTACATACAGTTTAAGGAATTACAATAAAACTGGGTAGTTTTATAGCATTATTTTTAATTCAGATGACTTGCGCATAATGCAGTGATATAAAAACATAACATTTGAGTTAAGTCATAACCCTAAATGTGAATTTTATAATATTATTAAAATACTGTAAAAATCACTAACATAAATCTCACATGAACAAAGACACTCAAGTGAGTAGATGTCTGAATAAACGGCGAGCAGGCATGTGTTCTTCCAGACTTTACACTGCGGTGGTGTCGGCCCTCAGCGGGGCGCCGTGTGGCTGGGACCTGTCCGCGTGTCTCCGCTTCCTCTCCTGCAGGTAGTGCCTCACGGTTCTGATGGTCTGGATGGTGAGCACGGTGCCGGCCGTGTACAGGATGGCTGTGATGAGCCCGAACAGAGCCACAGCTGCGTCTGCACCGCTCACGTCACAGCTCATCCAAGTGTATCCATTTCGAGCGTAAAGCCTCTCCCGCTGCTGGCACACGTCTGTGGAGTTGACCCTGATGATAAAATGTAAGTACAGTCCTACGGCCACAATGTAGGCAACTGCTCCCACAGCTTGGCAAACTAGAGCTCCAACAAGCAACTTTTTGGACATTCGGTGGGGTGGTTTACTGCCAGACACTACAAAAAGGAGGGAGACTACCCCAAAGGTTAAGCTGAAAGGGATTCCGCTGTAGAGGGCTGGCGCCCTCATCTGGCTGTACTGCATGTCCAGCTCACGCACTTTCTGCAGCTCGGTTCCCTGGAGGTTGAAGTTGGAGTTGATGTCGAAGCCCCCCATCCCGGCAGCAGCGGACATGCCCGATGTCACCATGTGAGAGGCTATTACGCAGATCAGCACCAGGGCATTGGTCAGGACTGCACAAATGAGGACAGTGCCTACAAAAGAAACGTTTTATGAAGGCAAATATACAGTCTATTATACAGTGCAATAATCCAATGAAAATGGAACAAAACTAATGACCGTGGGTGACATGAATTGATGAATGAATGATCAATTTTAGAAAGTCATTTAGATATAATTGCCAAAAATGTGTATTAAGGACAATTGGGATGAAATAAAGTAACTGATCTGATCTAATCCTCATAGATTGCAAGTTATCTGCTTTCGACAATCATGGGGACAAACCGGTTTTCCCTGTGGTTGCTGTATGAGGAAAGGGCTTGAAACCAAAGCATTGACATCACTCCCACCTCTCCTGGAGCAAATGTTGGTGCATTTGGAGTCAGATTCACGGTGCTCCAGTCGTGGGTCATTCTTAGGGTGTCTTGCGTCTCTTGGGTAGTAAGGAGGATGAGATGAAGACCTTAAACAAAAACCAAAGTAGTGAACGCTGGGAGATGGCAGTTTTCATTTTATTAAATTCTATGCACATTTATAGGGTATTTTTAAATCACTGTGGTTGGCCAATTCACATGGCTATATCTGGTGCACGCTGAGGTTGTCTTGCATAGATTTTCCAATGTGGTTTCACTGCAAACGGCAAATACATTTAGAATCTTGAATCAATTTGACCGGAGGATTGCACAAGGGTTAAATGGGGGCTGGTGAATACACATAAAATATACTTATAACAACAAAAAACGCTTTGGAAAGAGGAACAAGGAAAGTAGCTCACGGTAGGGCTGCATCTGAATCATTAATCTGTTATAAAACACTTGAAATATCACATTTATCTAATTGTAATTGACATTTCATAACACAGCTGCCAGCTCCAGGTTTCAATTCAAGTGAAATCATTTAGGACTTGTGTAAGAATACATTTCCAAGAAACCTCAAAGTGCCACAGATTAAAATACAGTACAACAGACAAACAAAAACATCAGGAGTACATAAAATATAAAAATGAATCATGGAGTTATAGGCTCACACCAGCAAGGACAAGGAAGGTTTCTTTTTAATGAATTCCATACAGGCCTATATGAACCAATACTACGCACCTGTCTGGGGATGAGCGCCTGTCCTCATGGTCTCTGTGGTATCGTCCGTCTCCGTTCCTGTCTCCGTTCCTGTCCCGCGGTCCCCGGTGCGTGCGCGGCTGACTGCTCATTATCTGCAAAGAGACAAATCTAAAGGTCAAAGAACCGTATGCGATCCTGTCTGATAATTGGACACTTTTCCCCTAGATCTAGTCAATATGAAGTCTGCGTAAACCGTCGCCATTGCGCATTTGCCAAACTTGAATGGCTTTACCTTGGGAGATTCAAGTCAAGGAAGCACAACACTAACGTGAAATAAACCTGAAAAAAAAACAACTTACTGTAAAGTGGTGTTGAGATTAACCCTAATATTCCAACATTTCTGAGTGAAATCTGTCGACAGGTAAAGAGAACAAAAACAAACCCCGCCCGCCCCACTGGAAGGCGGAAGAGGCAGGGCAGGTGAAACCAACAGGATCAGTGTGAGGGTCTGTCTTTGGTCTATCTTTGGTCAGTCTTGAATCTGTCTTGGATCTGCCTTGGTTCTTCTTGGATCTGCCTTGGTTCTTCTTGGATCTGCCTTGGTTCTGCTTTGGTTCTTCTTGGATCTGCCTTGAATCTGCCTTGAATCTGCCTTGAATCTGCCTTGAATCTGCCTTGGATCTGCCTTGGATCTGCCTTGGATCTGCCTTGAATCTGCCTTGAATCTGCCTTGGATCTGCCTTGGATCTGCCTTGAATCTGCCTTGAATCTGCCTTGAATCTGCCTTGGATCTGCCTTGGATCTGCCTTGGATCTGCCTTGGATCTGCCTTGGATCTGCCTTGGATCTGCCTTGGATCTGCCTTGGATCTGCCTTAGATCTGCCTTAGATCTGCCTTGGTTCTGCCTTGGTTCTGCCTTGGTTCTGCCTTGGTTCTGCCTTGGTTCTGCCTTGGTTCTGCCTTGGATCTGCCTTGGATCAGAGGGACATGTGAAGTGTCCTCTTCTCGGAGTGAGATGTGCTTTCTACAAAAAGAGGGCATTGTGTGGATCCAAAGCCGCCTCTGCCAGAGCATTTTATGGCACAGTTGGCATTTGGTTTGTAAGTAACTGTCTGTGTGCTGGGTACAAGAGGAATGTGAGAGTTCAAATTTACAAGATCCTTTATTTATCCCACAGTGGAGACATTTCAGTGTTGCATGACAAGTTCCAGAACAGCAGGAATGAGGAGCACACGAGATAAATGAAGGGAATGATGAAAGTATAGCACAACTATACTTTATTAAATCTCAATATTGACTTTAATAAACAAAGTATAAAAAAACATCTAAACATCTACCCTGTGTACAGAGATTTACAGATTTGAAGGTTCAAATATTCACAGTGATCGAACTAGTCACAGATTACATTTTTATAGTTTTTAATTCGATCATAATGTTTTATTATTCTAATTTTTTGCAATTATATAGCTGTTTAACCCGTATATTAAAATGCTTTATTTTTATTTGTGCAGTATTTTGGAAACTTGTTTTATAAAATGTGCTATACAAATAAAGTAGATTGTGGGTCACTTCGGAGTGGGCGGGGCTCGGGACTGAATGTCGTATTTAAAATCGACCACATGGGGGCGACATACATTAAATTGAAGGTCTGTGGACTACACGTTATTATTATAGATCCATGGGACTACATCTCTTCTGAACCGATAAGTGTGATATGTGTGATGTGACAAAGTGTGGAGCATGTGTTAATGGAATGTAGAAGGTCTGAAAGACAAAGGTGTTTTTTAAAGGATAGGACACGACCTGGAAAGAGACTACAGGGTCTGTTCTGGGGGGAGGGGAGTGAGAGGATTTATTAAAGGAATAGAATGGTTTCATAAAGATATAAAACTTAATTATAGATTCAAGGCCATATCAACACAGACACAGACAATACAAACTTTCAAGAGGCAGTCATACCAATGTTTCCACAGTAGGTAAGTGTAACCTACCTTTACAGTCTACAACACTTTACAGCAAAATAGTCACGGCTGTTTTTGAATCATTCAGCTTCTTCTTGTTGATTTTCTTTCTTTCACACGCCATATCATTTACAGTCAGAATGTAACCCTAAACCATAGACCGTCCTACGACAAAGGACACAGTAGGGGGCAGTATGCACGTCAGCTGCTGGTTGCCACCCGCCAATAAATCAAAGAAGAAGAAAACCACTTCCGGGTGCCACACATGTAAACATTGTGCAACATGTCCATGGATCTGTAATAATATGTCTCTGTATTGGAGTGTCTCATAGACTCTGTAAATGATGTTCCTGCCGTACAGTAGGCGCCTGCTCTTCTGCGCCTTTGGTCGCCGCTGGTGCTCTGGCCTCTCTTATGTCCAGGGTCAGAGCCCTGAGCCCCGCATCAGAGAGTACTTCTACTACATCGACCACCAGGGCCAGGTGAGACCATGTGAGACCATCTGAGACCATGTGAGACCATGTGAGACCAGTGTCCTCTCCTCTGTGTGTTTCCTTTTCTGATCTCTGATGTGTTCAGCTTTTCCTGGATGACACCAAAGTGAAGAACTTTGTCACCTGCTTCAAAGGTAACATCTATTTCTTTATTTAAATGTATTTATCTATTTTACAAATGACAAAAGAATGATGCATGACATGAAACAGAAAGGCGGACAATATTTTTTTTTTTAGTTCTCTATACTAATAATCCTATGTATTTATTTATATTTGTCTTTTAAACGTTTTTTTCACTTTTTCTTTCTGTGTGTGTCTGTTTGTTTGAATATGTACACCAGATGTGATTTAATATATAATTTATAGTTTGCACTGGAACTAAAAACCTTCACACACAAAAAAATAAACAATGTACATGTTTTAAATACATTCAGTTGAGTTTAATTATTTATGTAATTCCAGTTATACAACAAACACATACACACTAAATGTACCAAAAGCACTTTACTATTGTTGTGGGCATTTGTCTCTCGCTCCACACAGATATGGGAGCAAGTTGTCAGTACAGAACCCACATGTCAGACCTATTGTACATGTTTTTAGTGGTAGGGGAAACCGGAGCAGACATGGGGAGAACATACAAACTCCAATCAGAAAGGCCCTGTTCAGACTGGGATTTGAACCCTTGCTGAGAGGCGAGAGTGCTAACCACTCAGCCACCCATATAGTTCCAGAGGAGGTAGTATTTGGCTTTTCGGGGGCCACCATGTCTAAAATGGGAGCATTGATGTATTTTAGGGACTACCCTGGAGACCAGACTTAAATGTGCAAACATGTTAAGGTTAAAATATAGTTTAGTTGATGCAAAATATATTATGTACACAAAAAAAGATTAGTTGAAGTTTATTTAATGAATGGTAAAAACTAACACCTTATTTAAAATGTTCTTGTGCACAGATAAACAGTTCCTGGTTTTCTTCTTCAACCGGCTGCGAGCCAATCAGAGCGGACGGTATGAGGAGGACTTCCCGTTCGTGTCTCTGTGCGGCAGGGAGAGGAACTTTGTGCGATGTGACGACCGGCCGGTGGTCTTCACTCACCTCCTACAGACCGAGCTGCTGTCGTTCTGCGGCGGAGCGGACAAACTCACGGAGCCGTTCCGCCCAGCAGCTCTGTACATGCACCCGGACAGTGGGCGAGTGTACCACCCCTGCACTGACAAGGCCGGGGGTGTGGGTCTGGTCCGCTCAGCTCTGGCCATAGAACTGAGCGCGCAGTTTGTGTATGCGGCGGACGAGAGCCAGTCTGGGCAGCCGACGCACTTTGTATGGGACGGCAAACCGCAGGAACTGACCAACGAGCTGGCTGCATATTTCAACCCTGGGCAGAGTGACGACGGCCAGAATGGAGGCGTGGGATGACTCCTGCTCTGTAACCATTTAGAATATTAAATGTGGAAAGATCATTTTGTCTTTTTATGTTTAAGGCTTAGAAGGTTTTTTTAATAAGACCAAAAAAGTAAAGAAAGTTAGTACTGCGTAATTACCACATGTTTTGGTGGTACACTTCCGCCTTGTTGCTGGATGCGGTCAGTCTGACAGATCTCACAGATCAGTCAGACTGACCACGTCCCCCCTGTGTTGGGGTCTCTGGAGAAAGAAAACAGGCCATGCAAAGAGAATATCACATCATGGACAGGGACAAATACAAAAGATGGATACAAGAGGCGGGGCAGACAGACCATTGACAGAGACGAGGGGGCATTCATCTTGGCTCATTCTTGGGATTCACATTGCCAGAGAACTGAATCCCAAAATTCACAGACTGACCAGAAGTGGTCAGTCTGTCGGATCTCACCGTCAGCATCTGGCAACAACTGATAAGAGACGCGTCGCACGATCTCGTGTCCCCTCTGACTAAGCGGAAGTCTAACGCCCAAACATGTGGTTATTAAACAGTACTAGCTTCTTCACTTTTTTGTCTCATTCAGGATATTTTTGTGTAAGATACATGGTTCAGATTGTTACTTTTTCCTTTTTCTGTTGATTATCAACACATGGTTAATAACTATGACGAGGCATAATGTGGCTTTCACCTTAAATAAATAAATTTATGAAAATGTCATGTGTGTAATTTATTATTGTTGTGTTTGTTTTCAGTTAATATCCTATCTGTGATCGTATAGGCCTATAGCTAACTGCGGTGTTATGAAAGTGCTTTTTGTAACCCGCCTTCACTGACACTTCTGTCCCAGACTACATATCCCAGACTTCTCCGAGCGCCCGGACACTGAACATGGCAGCGGTGCCTGGAGACCCACGCTTGGCCGTGGACCGCTCTCTCCGGGAGCGCGTCCCTCCGCTGCTCACGGACCTTTACCAGTTCACGATGGCGTACGCGTACTGGCGGGCCGGGCGGCACCAGGAGCCCGCCGTGTTCGAGCTCTTTTTCCGGGACAATCCTTTTGGGGGAGGATTCTCTCTGTTCGCAGGACTTCAGGACTGTCTGCAGTTCCTCCGCAGCTTTCACTTCACAGATGAAGGTAAACAAAGCTGTAGATGTCTCAAAAGTCTTTTCATTCTCTGTTGTAATGAAATAAGGAAATGCATCATTGGATTGGAGTAAATCAGACCCTCTCTGTGGTCAGAGAGCGCGGGGGTCCCATGACCGCGGACCACTTGTTGCGCAACTCACGAAAACTCATGAACTTTGCCACATAAAGACACTTCAACAACTCAAGACTACAAACTACAAACACAACGTGACGTAACGAAGCGTCCTGATCAGACGTTTGAAAGAATGTGATCGGTTTTTTGCTGTAATCCAATGAATCCAATGAAGACCGACACCATGAAGGACAATTACAAGTCACAATAAAAAAAGGGATGGTATAAAACAGTGTATGTGAGAAATCTACATTGGATTCCACAGGGATTTTGATGTATAGTAACAATCAGTGTTGAGGAGTAACTGAATACATACTCTTTCTGTTACAATTACTACTTTAAAGTCTAGTATTTAGATTACAGATACTGTGGTTGTGTAGATGGAAGAGAGTGGTTTAACTGACTTTGCATTGAAAGTTGACGCAACGCATGATCCGGTCTGAAAGCACCATAATATGTAGAGAGTTATTATTATAGATCCACGAGAGAACCACACATTGTACAACAACAGACCGGGTCAGGGGGTGTGGCCTTGCACTCATTTAGTCCCGTATTCTGAAAATCCCGGAAATACAGACTTTTTCACATTACGGTTTTGTGGTTAAAAAAATAAAAATAAAAATAAAAAAAAACGTTGGGTAAATTGAAGATTCTGTGTTTTCTGGTTGTTAAATGCAGCTGTTGAAAAACACTGACTTGTTTTACAAAAACAAACAAGAACATGTTTTATTTATTTAAACATGTATTGATAAAGTAAGTCACAATAAATATGAATAATATTTAAAACTATAAATAAAAGCATTTGGAATAAAGATACTACTTTTCTAACGGAATACTATACCAAATACATTTTAGCTCAACTATTCAGTTTTCTGGAACTGAATACATTTCCAAAGTACTCCACCCAACACTGGTTACAATATACAGTATCTATGTCTATGGGTGGAATGAATGTAATCATATGACACAGTCTGGGTCAGCTGCAGATGGTCGATTAGTCTGAAATATAAGTTCTAGGAGGAGAACACGCATCATTCAGAGGGAGTTGTCTTTCTTATGTAAACATTTCTTGTTGACCGTGTCCAGATGTGGAGTTCCTGCGCTCGGTCTTGCCCCCCGTCACTGACCCGGCCTTCTTCACCTTCTTGAAGTGCTTGGACTGCTCTGGAGTCACACTGCGCTCGGTGCCAGAAGGGACCGTGGTATTTGCTCGGGTGAGTTCACAGTAAATGTCAAACGTCCGCATTACGAAGTCTTGGGTTTAACTTTCACATCTGCAGGTCCCTGTGATGGAAGTGGCCGGTCCTCTCGCTGTGGTCCAACTCCTTGAGACCAGTTTACTCTGCCTTGTCAACTATGCAAGGTAAAAGAAAAAAACAGACTCGCATGTTCCTGTAAATATCTAAAAAGGTTGTCTGATGGTGTGAGGCCTGTTTCTTAGTCTTGTGTGCAGTAATGCCGCTCGGTTTCGTCTGGCAGCCGGCCCCAGGAGGAGGCTGCTGGAGATGGGTCTGCGTCGGGCTCAGGGACCAGACGGAGGACTCACTGCCTCTAGATACAGTTACATCGGAGGTTAGTGCCCCCTACAGTGTCCATGGGCAAGACACTTCTCCCTCTCTTTGCGTAAGTTAGGTTCGTTGTGAGGTTGAAAACATGTCTGGTTAGCTGGGCTCACAACTCATTCTATTTTGTACTATTTATGGCTTTTATCTCACTTTTTAATCCCACATTTAAACCACATACTTGTGACATGTTAGTGCCATATGAACACACTTGGACTTTGAGGAGTACAGGGACTGGCCCAGCAGGAGTCCCAGCAGGAGGCCACTCCCTGTGTCCCTCTGAGGAGCACATGGACTGGCCTCCTGCTAGTGCCCGGAGTCAGAACTAAACAAGGGGAGGCTGCATTTCAGATTCATGCTAAAATCTGGAACAATCTTCCTGAAAATGTGAGACAGGCCTCTTCTCTGGCAATGTTTAAATCTGGGTTGAAAACAATTTTGTTTCGCTGTGCTACAACTGAGAGATTTTATTTTCTTATCTTTCTTTTATGATTTTAATGCTCTTTTGTTTTGTTCAGCACTTTCAGTTGCCTTGTGTGAATTTTGCTATACAAATAAACTTGCCTTGCATTATATTTCATTGACTTTATGCATTTTGTTCTGTGTTCTTAAATTGTTCTCGTTCAGCACTTTGAGTTGCCTTCTACACAAATTGTGCTATACAAAAAAATGATTGATTGATTGAATATTGCTAGCTATAGGTCTTTGCTAATGCATTGTTGTTTTTTGTGTGTGTGTGTGTGTTGTTTCTAGGCTTTGATATGACCAGTAATGTTCAGGCTGGCTTCCTGTTTGGGATCCCGGTGGTGGGGACCATGGCGCACTCCTATGTTACCTCATTCACTTCCTTAGAGGAGGTGTGGCCTCAGGTAAGCTTTTGATTGGCCCCAGAAGCTGCTATCTTGTAACTCTTCATTCTACGGTGTATTATTAGACAGCGAATCATAACAAAATATTTAGATAGACAGATATTTCATTTAACATATTTCACTCTCTTCATTATTACTGTCTAGACTCTAAATGCAGCTAATGGAGACCAAGTCGACTTTATCTCGCTGACCAAAGGATTGCTCGCCCGTGTTTGCGTCCTGCTCAAAGCCGAAGCCGGGAAGATCCATGAGGGCGAGCTGGCGGCGTTTCTCACTTATGCCATTGCCTACCCACACAACTTCCTGCCTGTGATTGACAGCTACAGCGTGGACTGGTAAGAAGGGCGTGTCTATTTGCTTAAGTACACAACTCACACACACTCAAGTTGGAGATATTTAGCTTTTGAGTGAAATTTCTGGATGGAACCTAAAAGAGAATCGTCTGCTCTCTCACTCACTCACTATAATCTTATGGTCCCACATACGAAAATAATCCTATTGTTAGAAAATCTGTCATGAGGAAATTGTATTTGTATTAGAGGTGTGTTTGTGTGACAGGGACAGGATTGTTAGTACATTTTGGCTACAGCCTACACTGCCCACATACGAATGATAAAAGAGCAGTACCCAAAACCTCTGTTTGTTGAGGAGGGAGGGAAAAGTGTTAGATCAGTTTGAAACAGTGAGTCTGTATTGTGTTTTCATTCAAGGATTGTCCCTGCAGGAAAAGCAGTGTGTGTTGGACCCATAGACTGTATACAGATGGACAATGCTAACCCCGAGCTCCTGAAGCTCATTAGGGAAGTGCTCATGGAGGAGGTTACGCTCCAACTCACTTTGGCTTCTATTGAATTACTTAGATATATAGGAGGATTTTCCAAAATTTTAGGAAAGAACAGCCCTCTCCTTTTTTTTAAACAAAACTCTCAGGTCGTATTTGTTGAGAAGAAGGATTGACAATTGGGACAATTGTTTGCTCAGTGACCGTTTGTGTCACAATCAACCGTTTAGCCTTTACAGAATCCATGGTTTATCGCTCTCTATGATCCGAGTATTTATATTGTAGTATTGTCTTTATAAATCAAAATATGATGATGGACCAATCGGATGCTTTCATTCAGGGGCAAAACTCCAGCTTGCTTGTGCAACCATCTTCGTAACAAAGCAAACCCCATCGGAAAAAATGTCCTTAGAAGGAAATTGGCTCCAGCTAGCTCATGATCCAATTGGCTTCTTCCACTTTTGGCAAACACTATAATGACATCAGCACTCGGTCAGTCCACTCATAACATACAGTCTATGATTGGTTCATGTTTTTTCTTTTACAAGGAAAGTTTACGCATTAAACAATGTTCTTGAATTTTCCATAATGTCGCTGGACAAAAGTTATTTCATTTATGTAGAAAACGCACTTAAAATGCCAAATGATACGCTTTTTTTATTTTTCATTTTAGCTTTACTGATGACTATTAGGTGTTATTTAAATAAGTGAAATTTAAAGAATGTTTTATTTTTGCAGTAGTGGTCTTTTAAACTTCTGTGCTGTGGCTTTGGCCCTCTCAGAGCTGGGCCACAGACCTGTGGGAGTGCGCCTGGACAGTGGCGACCTCTGCAGGCAGTCGTTGAACGTGCGGCAGGTCTTCAAACTCTGCAGTGAGCAGTGAGTGACCTGTGTATGTCATCACTGTCATCTTACAACGTTCTCATGTACCCTTCAACTTCAGTTTCTCTTATAACATTTTTCTTTTAGTTTTTCAGTCTCCACCTTTGATTCCTTAATTATTGTTGGGACCAACAGCTTTTCAGAAAGCACAATGGCTGATCTCAACAAGAAGGTATGATGGTGTATATATAAATATAAGATGAATGATGTACTACATGTGTAACTGAAGCTTCTTTTCTGCAGGAGAATGAGATCGATGCAGTTGGTGTTGGTACACACCTGGTGACATGTTCCAAACAAACATCACTGGGGTGTGTATACAAGGTATTCTACACTCTAAAACACATTGATATATTTTCAACAATATGAAAATAACTGTGTTCTTGTATGTAGTTGGTGGAGGTTAGAGGGCGCCCCAGAATGAAGGTCAGCGAGGACCCGGAGAAAAGCACGGTGCCGGGGAAGAAGGCTGTGTACCGCCTGCTGGGAACAGATGGTAACATTCTATTGTCTTGAAGGAAATGTATGTTCACAAAGTGTAGCATGTACCATCAGCTGTGGCAATTACCATGTGAACTTAACAAGATACAAGGCATGATCCATGCGTTTTACAGTGTTGACAAAAATAACTGTTTCCAGAGAGATTGATAATGTAAAAACAAACTGGAATGGAACTGAGAGGAAAACTTGAAATATCTACTGTCTAAACTATTTCCATTTGATCTAGAAGGTCAGACACATTTGATCTAGAGACTTTCCCTTTGCCCTAATGTGAGCACATGTAAAGTGAGGTTGTTAAAAAAGTATTATGATCTTTATTATGCCATCATCCAGTGTGTGAAGGCAGTGCAGCAAAGTCATCCAAAATATTTAAGTGAAATAAAGTATACAGCAATAATCGTGTCAATGTATGTTGACTCATATCAAATCACATTAAGAGTAATCATTTTAGATAAACTGATTTAGGTACAGTATAAGACCCCAGATCAGTGTCCTGTGACAGACCTCCCACAAGTATCTCTCTAATGAATCTGTCTCTTTGTGGTGGAAGTATCATGTCTTTTCTGTGTCTGCAGGACATCCCTTTCTGGACGTGGTGTGTCTAGCAGTGGAGCCGCCTCCGAAGCCCGGGCAGCCTTTGAGCTACTACCTCAGAGAAGAAGACACCTCACGTAGTGTCACACCCACTCAGGTCACATGTCTACGGCAAGAAGTGTTCACCAAAGGACAGGTGACTATTCACAAGGATTATTGAATTCTCAAACCCAAAAGGAATGTCTTTCCACTGGATCACGCTGCAGCAAGTTTCAATGAGAAGTCAATGGTGAAGTCCGTCCATGGAATTGCATGTACGTCGCGGCATGCACTTTTGTCCCGCGCGGCAGACGTATTGTTGCGACGTGACAGAGGTGGTGGGTACGGCGGTGGGTACGGCGGTGGGTACGGCGGTGGGTACGGCGACTAGATGCATTCAGTGAAAGCAGGAGATGAGATTCACTGAACATCCTCGCTCCATGCAGCAACCAATTAGAGAGCTGCAAAGTGGTCACGGGGACATAAGCCACTCCAAACAGGAAGACGAAGATACTAGAAAACAACTAAAGCATGAGCTAAACCAGGACTAAACCAGGGCTAAACCAGGACTAAACCAGGGCTAAACCAGGACTAAACCATGGCTAAACCATGGCTAAACCAGGACCAAACCAGGACCAAACCAGGACCAAACCAGGACAGTGGGGGACTCAGGGAGAAAACATGTGTTCACAAGCACTGAGTTGACATTCTGCTGTGACTGTAAACGAGTGCTGCTAACGTGTTCGCCGATGCAGAAGTACGGATATTAAACTTGTTAGCATCAAAGCTCCGCTTTTCATGGATGTCAACACACGTCCATGCATCAGCGGTGTGACCTCAGCTTTACAGAGACGGAGCTGACAATGGTCGAGAGTATTTCTCTTCCATTCATTTTTTTTCTGATCCAAAACTTTACATATTATGTATCATTCCCATTGACCAGAAATAGACAGATTTTATATATGTATTTTGTAATGGTTGTAGATACAGTATATCATTACAAAGTTCAATTCAATTCAGTTCAAAGCAAGGAAGGTGAGTGCTGCAGAGGGTTCGAATGGAAGAAGGTTTGACGAACTCGTGCTCTTCGAGGACAGGGCAATCTAAGCTGATACAGGATGTTTTTTACTCAATTGTAGTGTGGTGATCGAGAGGTCAAAAAAAGGAGTTAAAGACATCCTGTATCTGCTTAAATTCAATTCAATTCTTTATTTACAAAACACAAGTTATACAGATTGTATTTGTAAAGTTGGTTGGTGTTTTGTAAAAGGGAACTCCCAGGAAGCTGCATTAGTTTATAGGCAGGGCCCCAAATAACTAGTTGACTCTTCAACTAGGTCCTGGGTTCAAATCCCGGTCGGAACAGGGCTTTTCTGAGTGGAGTTTGCATGTTCTCCCCGCGTCTGCGTAGGTTTCCTCCGGGTGCTCCGGTTTCCCCTACCATAAAAGACATGCACAATAGGTATGAATGTGAATGAGAGAGTGAATGGATGGTGTTGGTCCAGTGTGTTCAGCGACTCGCTTCAGTCATCTCCGTGTGTGGAATGATTGTAACAATATCTGAACTCTGAACATTGCAAAGCGCTTTGGGTGACCTTGGTCAGTAAAATGCGCTATAAACATTACTTACTTACTTCATTGATATATTCATTTTGCGCCTGTATAATAACCCTACATTAACATATTCACAGGTCACATATCCACTTTGTAACGCTAAAGAAACTCGAGCAAATGCCCAGAGCTCCCTCCAAACTCTAGACCCGAAGCACAAGAGGCTGCAGGACCCAGATGTTTACACGGTGAGGCGACTCAAGGCAATGTCCTGAGATTATAGTATACTTTTCAAAACAACTCTGAGGCTTTACAGTTGCTAAACAAAGACTGACGGTGTTTTCCTTCGTGCAGGTGGCTGTGTCAGAGAAACTCCATAAACTGGTCTCTGAAATCCAAAGAAGCTGCACCAACAACAGCTCCACCAACTTTCTTTTATCAAATTAATGTTATGTCTGAAGCCGCAGTTGTATTTATCTAATGTGCCTGAACCGAGAACCTTTCTGCATTGCCATCGTTATTGTTAAAGTAAACTAGGATTAACAAACATGTGAGTTCAAATGTTGTGTTGATTTCCATTATGTTGAGTCAGTACCTCGACTCGCAATGGGAATTTCTGTCTGCGTCCAATTATATTTCATGCTGATTAAATGTTGTAAATTATATATAATCTAATATAGCAAGTATGAAACTAAGACCAAATCGCACAATCTGTCTATTGACTAGATATTTATTGATCCCTGTAGGAGAAATAAAGGTGTCCAGTAGCAGCAGAAACACATCCATTCATACAAACATAAGAAATGAATAGATGATTCCATCCCATTTTCTTCCGCTTGATCTGTTGCCTGGTAAGAAGAGACACTCCACACACACTTCCTCCAACTCGTTTGAAGGGACCCCAAGGTGTTCCCAGGCCAGAGAGAGACATAGTCCCTCCAGCGTGACTGCGGAGGAAGCTCTACAGAGTGACCCTACAGATAGGGTGAGGAACTCAGTCACGCTGAGGAGCTCGTAATAGAGCCGCTGCTTCTCTACGTCGAGAGAAACCAGTTGAGTGGCTCAGGTACAGTATCTGTTCCGGATGCCTCCTGGACGCCTCCGTAGGAAGGTGCTCCGGACACGTCCCACTGGGAGGAGGCCCCAGGGAAGGGAGACGGGGACTAAAAGTAGCTAACAATAGCAGCAGAGGTGGAGCAACCGCTTGGATTGGACCATTTTCTCTGCTTTGGTCCAGAATAGAATTCAGAATGCTTTGTTAGCATTAAAATAAAATCATTCCTCCAGTAGATTTCTGTTTGATCTGTTTGGTTCAGTGTGTGAATCCTCTCTGCTCTGGTCTGGATCAGTGTAAAACCATGGACACTGTACTGCAGTGACATTTACAGGTAGAAAAAAGCTAGAAAATAATAATTGTAAAGCACAAAACAACAACTGTTTCAGAGACACTTAGGACTCGCTGCCGTTTCCAGACCTTCAAAGAGTTTGGTTTTTCCTCATATCAGTGAAGACGGTGAAACACAGCCTCCAGTCACAGATGTATTTTACAGACGCTGGTGCTGAGACGCTGAGGTCAATCTGACAAACGGTAAGAGATGCACGCCCCAGACACACGCTAGTGCAGTATTCAATGACAACATGTTTTAGATGTCAGAGCTGTGTAGTGCAATAGACATTTTCAGTTCACATGGGGCAGGTCTTGCTGAAACAATGCCATATCGTCTCCTCATGAATAATAATAGTGCATGGTTTTATATAGCGCTTTTTTGTACTCTCAAAGGCGCATCACGTCATGAATAATGACGTGATGCGTCATGAATAAATGATGGTGATAAACTACTTATTGCAGCCACAGCTGCCTTGGGGCACACTGACAGAAGCAAGGCAACCAGTCTGTGCCATCAGCTCCTCCCATCACCACCAACCATTCACACACACCCCAGACTCAATCTAATGTGGACGAAGTTTCTTGCCTGAGGACACATCCACAGTTTGGCACTTTACAGCCGCACACTGTGGCACCAGGTGTTCTCTAAGGTTACTTTTCAAATTGTGATTTGTGAGAGAGACATTTGAAACTTCAAGCACCAGTTGAGACCCATTTATTCTCACCCTAGCAGCTTCCTAATTGGAAAGAAAAAGAGTTCAAATCTGCACCATTAGTTCAATTAAATTAAACGTATTTTTGTATAGCCCTAAATCATAAGTCATCGTCTCGGAGGACTTTACAAACACTAAATACTGCCTCAAGAACAATCGTCACTTTGTCGATTGTTCTTGAGGCAGTATTTAGTCTGAATCCTCTTGAGCCATTGCCAAGTCCTTTTGGTTTTAGTTTGATTTTCTTGCACTGTCCTCCCTGTACCTACATATTTCTAGTTACATGTCATACAGTAGTTACTCCATGTTAGAGTAACTTGGCCTTCACTGTTCGGATTAGTTTTTATTCTCTTGTGTTTATGGTGCATTGTAAGACTTACTTTACAAACATGCACATTACAGTGCATACGGAAAGTATTCACAGCTTCACTTTTTCCACATTTTTTTTATGTTACAGCCTTATTCCAAAATTGATTCAATTAATTTTTTTCCTCACAATTCTACACACAACACCCCATGATGACAACATGAAAAAGGTTTTTTTGAGTCTTTTGCAAATGTATTAAAAATAAAAATAAAACTACGAAACCACATGTACATAAGTATTCACAGCCTTTGCGTAATACTTTGTTGATGCATCAAGTCTTTTTGAATATGATGCTACAAGCTTCGCACACCTGTTTTGGGCAGTTTTAGCCCATTCCTCTTTGCAGCACCTCTCAAGCTCCATCAAGTTGGATGGGGAGTGTCGGTGCACAGCCATTTTCAGCTCTCCAGAGATGTTCAATTGGATTCAAGTCTGGGCTCTGGCTGGGCCACTCAAGGACATTCACAGAGTTGTCCTGAAGCCACTTCTTTGTTATCTTGGCTGTGTGCTTAGGGTCGTTGTCCTGCTGAAAGATGAACCGTCGCCCCAGTCTGAGGTCACGAGTGCTCTGGAGCAGATTTTCATCCAGAGTGTCTCTGGACATTGCTGAATTCATCTTTCCCTCTATCTTGACTAGTCTCCCTGTTCCTGCCGCTGAAAAACATCCCCACAGCATGATGCTACCACCACCATGCTTCACTGTAGGGATGGCATTGGCTTGGTGATGAGCAGTGCCTGGTTTCCTCCAAAAGCCTGGCATTCACGTCAAAGAGTTCAATCTTTGTCTCATCAGAACAGAGATTTTTTTTACTCATGGTCTGAGAGTCTTTCAGGTGCCTTTTGGCAAACTCCAAACTAAGGAGCAGCTTCCGTCTGGCCACTCTACCATACAGGCCTGATTGGTGGACTGCTGCATAGATGGTTGTCCTTATGGAAGGTTCTCCTCTCTCCACAAAGGAAAGCTGTAGCTCTGACAAAGTGACCATTGGGTTCTTAGTCACCTCCCTGACTAAGGCCCTTCTCCCCCGATCACTCAGTTTAGATGGCCAGCCAGCTCTAGGAAGAGTCCTGGTGGTTCCAAACTTCTTCCATTTACGGATGATGGAGGCCACTGTGCTCACTTGGACCTTCAAAGCAGCAGAAATGTTTCTGTACCTTCCCCAGACTTGTGCCTCGAGACAATCTTGTTTTGGAGGTCTACAGACAATTCCTTTGACTTCATGCTTGGTTTGTGCTCTGACATGCACTGTCATCTGTGGGACCTTATAAATACAGGTGTGTGCCTTTCCAAATCAAGTCAAACCAACTGAATTTACCACAGGTGGACTCCAATGAAGCAGTAGAAGCATCTCCAGGATGATCCGTGGAAACAGGATGAACCTGAGCTCAATTTTGAGCTTCATGGCAAAGGCTGAATACTTATGTGCATGTGATTTATTCGTTTTTTATTAGTAATACATTTGCAAAAAATCTCCTAAAAAATTGTTTTCACGTTGTCATTATGGGGTTTTATGTGTAGAGTTTTAAGGGGGAAAAATTAATTGAATCCATTTTGGAATAAGGCTGTAACATAAGAAAATGTAAAAAAATTGAAGTGCTGTGAATATTTTTGCGGATGCACTATTTGTTTACTCCTACATGGGTTTTTGATAAATATGTGTGTTTACAACAAGTGTGCCTTAAGTTAGTGCCTTGATCTTTTGTGTGGATTTAGATATAAACCATTATCACCTAATTGGTCAAAATAATGTGATAAGACTATTTTGCACTTTGATTAGAACGACTTTGCATTGTTAATAAAAGCTGCAGAGTTTCATTTTCTTTCATTGTGTGTTTGCAATGAAAAAGATGTGCCACGGCTCAGAGAGTTTGGGTAACAATGACTGAAGACTATTTGGGCCTGTGGGATCAAAGTTTTATTTAAACTTCAAAAAACAAAAAAACACCCAAACAACAATGAATACAAAAAAAATGACAACAACAAAACACTTATTCATGTTCATCAGGAGTAGGAAGGAGCCAAAGCTTATTAAATCCCACCCCTCCTCTTATGTTAAAGGTATGTAGAAGGATCATCAAGACTATTGGTCCTCCCAATTGTCAATCATTCTGGGGATAAGTCAAATAAGACCAAGAAGTTTTGTTCAAAAAGTGGAGAGGGCTTTTCTTTCCTAACATTTGAGAAAATCCTCCCATGTACATTTTATTCAATATATTATAAGTTGAAAACAGCACTTCATTCAGACGCCGCTAGAGCTCGCTGTTTCCCTGCTTTCCGCTGCTCTCCTTGTCTCCCCTCTCATTACTGTCAACACTGGAAAGAAAGAAAATCTGATTAAGCTTTTCCGGTCTCCAACCCCTAATTTCCTCCCGAAAACTCTGGCGTTGGAGCTGAGGTGGAGGGACGAGGCTGGCCCCCGGACCGAGCCCCGCCTGGCACGTCTCTGTTTCCACACCGCAAACAAGACACTATCTAAGGACAATGCTCACTCTCCAGCCCGCAGTTTGGTTGTAATGCGCTGAGATAGTGACAGAATGGTTTGGCTGATGGGCGCGCACCGGGATCACTCACACGCGCGTCTCTCCTCCGCGCAATCAGTCTGTACGAAGAGTCATTACATAACTTGGCGTCTCCGCTGCTCCATGTCGAGGTATTTGGAGTAAAAAAAAGAGAAAAAGGGGGCTTCGTCTTTGCATTGTGTGGCCGGAGGAGTTATGGTATGGTGTTGGATCGGTTCTGTCGTGGACCGAGGGTGGAAACCTGAGTCCAGCTGTGATGCGCACACGGAGAGCCCAAGTGTATTTCACTGGTGCGAAGCCAGAAGCATCTGGAAAGGATAACTCTCCCTTCAGAGGATCGCAGCTCAGTCATGCCTGTTAGTGTGTGCTTTATGAATAAGTGTCAGGCTGCATTGCTTATCCTGCCGTAGAGTATTGGCATCATTTTGGACTACTATTTACTCCACGCATCCCAGATTGTTACCCAGTTCCTGTACCAGCCATGGAGTGAAGATGTGCGCGGCCAGGTTCAGTAACTTTCTGAACGGCTGTGCAGAGGAGCCTGGGGCCATGGGGGCACCTGGGGGATCTGTCGGTCCGCTCATGGCCTCCAGGATGTTGGATTGGACTGAGTCTGGATCTCGCATCCTCCACAGCCTGGAGATAGGCACAGTCATGACTCTATTCTACCAGAAGAAATCCCAGCGTCCGGAGAGAAGGACATTCCAGATCAAACAGGACACACGGCAGCTCGTATGGAGTCGGAATCCAGACAAAATAGAGGGAGAAAGTGAGTTTTTTTGTGTGTTTAAACCCAGCTCCACATGTGCCCATGCTCCATATACTTTAATTTGTAACAAAAGGTTCAGGTTCACCAAAGGTTATGTCTGCAATCATGGGTCACAAAGTCTCACCAAGTGGATCCAAATATATTTACATCTATTTCTTTCTTTCTCCCCCATAACAATGTGTCAATGGTGCTGCAAATCAGAGGGAAGAGAAATATAATAATAAAAGAGTCCAGTATGTGTTACATAATCATTTTTCTGATTGCATTAGAAAGGGGGGGGTCAGGTGGTTGAGCCTGGGTTCGACTCCCTTTGGACTCCGGGCCTTTCTGAGTGGAGTTTGCATTGTTTCTCCATGTCAGCATAGGTTTCCTCCAGGTGCTCCAGTCTCCCAAACTAAAATAAACATGCACATTAGGAAAAATCCTCCAGCTCTGGTCCCCACCAAGTGGATCATCAACATCAGGGGAGATGGGTCTCCAGGCGCTGTACTACGACCAGCCCTCCTCACAGAGGCAGTGGGTCAAATGCAGAGGACACATTGACCTATAAAGCAGATATTTTTAAACAGATGAATGATAACTAAAAGCCTAACAAATAATTTCACATACATTATTTTTGGTCATTATAGCAATCCAATTGTCATACAGATACAGTAGTTTGTAGTGATTAGAATATTTATTTAACAATATTTATTGCATATAATTCAAAATGTAAAAAAACACATATCCCAATTCCTTCCCACAATGTACTTCAAATTGGCTCAAATGATCCATATCGTCACATCCTGGCCAAATAGACCCTTATATTTTAGAAATCACACACAGCACCTTATTTGCACCTTATGTGAATATAAGCCAAACTATATTGAGCATAGTCATTTTAATTTGAATTCAAGATGATGACTTCTCTCCGATACTGAAAAAAGCCCAGACCATTGCACATAAAACTAATGTGGTGCGTTTAAATCCACATTTCAACGGGCAATACCATTTCTTATCTCTGTTGACTTAGACACTGGACTCACCCTTATCTAGTTCATCCTATCATTTCGTTCACATTTTGTTCTTTCGAGTATTTTTGTTTCTGCGGATCTTTCAATGACTGGTTGTTCGCAGAAGCTGAATTAAATCTGATTTGTGAGCTGGAATCCCTTGTGTACTTCTCTGTGTTTAGGAAATGCAGTGATTTCAATAATGACTTAAGCAGAGAAAGGGAGCGAGATTCTGCTTCCTGAATGTGACATGTTTGATATATTCCCCTGTTTGCTGTGGGATGCAAGAGTCAGCTTTAAGTTTGTGACGGGACGTATAGGAGCAAACACTGGGAGTAGCCACGTCATGATGTTTGACAGTGAAAATATGGAGTGTTGTGCAATCAGAAAATACATGCAACGCACACAAGTAGAACAATAAATCCCCCTCTGCTCTGTTTGTCTTGTCCGTGTTGTGCAGGTCAGGTCCATAAAATCACCAGAGATAAAGACATTGTATAAGATGAAGACATGTGTGTGTGAAGAGCCTGTTGTGAGAGCAGTTTCTGGTAGTATTCTTTCACCATCACTTATACTTCACAATGTAATGAGTTACAATGAGGCTTAAATTAATGTTATTCTGGAGAAAATAGCTTAAATGCGTTTCCATAGTTAAAAATTTCAAACTTTGTAGTTCTGTGAAGGCACTAAAACACGTACAATGCGATTCCAGATGAAACTAGCCTGTTCTTTATACACACTGTACCATTCAAGTAGAACTTCATCATGCAAAGTTTGGTTTTTTAAGTTGGTCACACCATGACTGACAACATGAAGTTGTTGTTATTTACTGTAATATATATATATATATATATATATATATATATATATATATATATATATATATATATATATATATATATATATATTTAGTTATTTATATATTTATTAAAGTGTCAGTGTAGACTAAAATGTAAACCAAACCTGTAAAATGTGTGAACCTCCACTGTAACTATTCCTCTTGCCCCATACACAGACCACATGTAGACTGGAGCTGTCCCACTGCACTAACGCCTCTCTCTGTCGCCTCACTCCACACTAACTTGGGCTTTTGGATGTGAGTTGCCCTCTGGAGCGTTTGGCTGTCTGGGGCGTGGAGACTATTGTTTAAGTGTGTCCTGGTTTCTGAGGCCTTTAGGGAGGATTTGTTACAGCGTCTGTAAACACAGTGTAAACCTCTTGACATTCACAACTGCCCTGATAGAGTTTCTCTTCTGTCTGCAGGTGTCATTCTCACTCTGAATTACAGGCCATTGTTTATAACAATTACTTGTTTTGACTAACTGAGATAGGATAAGACAAAACTTGTTCCTCAGTGGGGACATTTCATTATCATATTACTGCTATTTATCTTGCAATTATTAATAATTCATTGTCAAAATCTATGTAACTGGAAAAAAATGTTTCTGAGATTATGTCATCTCTCTAGATTTCAAAATGTACAAATGAATGAAATGTACAGAGTCAGCCGTGTTCATTGCACTCATGAGAGCAGTAGGTTGAAAAGACCTGTGAAGCCTCTCCTTCACACAATAAGGGTAGATCAGTCTTTCACAAAGCTGCTCTCCAGAGCAGAGTGTCCTGTAGGGGGTCCAGGGTGACAGTCATGGCCCAGCAGATGTTACTACCACCTGCTGCACTTTGACCAGGGCACGGCCCAGGACAGAGCTGGGCAAAACTCAGATTATTCACATGTTTTTGACTTTGGCCGAAACCATTGAAATCAGAAAATATATAAATCTATAAAATAATGTATATTTCCATAAGGTTGAACTCACCAGCCCTGACTTTCTGTTTAATGTATGCACTTGAATTCATCCGCCATCACGTAATAGTAATAGAAACATTGTTAAACCTGAGGCCGCCACTCTGAGCCACCTACAGCTACTATCTCAGCCCCTCAGGACCTTGATATGAAAACACACATGCGCTCTCATAGGCCTGTGCGCGCACCCCCCCGTACATTCCTGGAAGTCTGTCCAGTGTCCTCCAGCTCTCCTCTCCCACCTTCCAGCCCACTCACTCCTCTCAAACCTTTGCACATGTTTGGAAGCTTCTTATTTTTATTTGCCCATTTCTGGTCTTTTCACAGTAATCCCATCTTTTGTTGTGTGTGGGATGATGTTATTCTTTGGGATGAGCGCTGGCACTCACACCGGGGTATTGGATCCTGAGGCGGAGGAAGTGCGGTGATATCAGGGAGGGCCTCTTCCTGTCTCTAACACAGGCTGGCTGCAGAGAAACAAAACATTCAACATCTTGATCAGGAAGCACAGTCATGGATGGCAAATTAGGCACTAAGCACAGTTCTTTGGCATGAACGCTTTCAGCCCCCACTGCCTAAAAAAGCTACCACAAGAAGTAAAAAAAGCAATGTTTCGACCAATTGATGTAGATTTAAAGCTGGGATTCCTAACTTTCAAACCGCATTAACAAATGTAATACAATCCATGGAACTAGTTCTACGCCAAAAGGCCTGTCACATCTTTGTTCCATCTTTAGATCGGCTTATTTAGATGGAAAAGTGATCACAAGAGGACTACCCTCACTCAACCAATCAGCTCTCAGCCCAGATACATGCAACTGAAATTAAGGCATGCATTTGAAACTAACTTTCAAACCACAACGAAATATGTAGTACAATCTATGTAACTACTTCTATGCCAAAAGGTCTATCAGCTTTTTCATTCAGAAAAGTAAAAAGAAAAGACCACCCTCCCTCAGCCCAACATCAGACAAATGCATAAAAATAGTGAGTCACAGGGCTCTTTGTTACTTAAAAATATTAGGTGGATATTCCCAAAGCGGACCAAGGAGAGGCGCGTGCCACTCGCTGCTCTTGCGGTGTCCCAAACTTTTCTGCACCATTGTGTGAAAAAAGTACGTACAACAGCCTCATATCACGAATCACCAGAATGATTGACAATTAGCAGGACCAATAGTCTAGATCAGGGATGTCAAAGTCAAATACATCAGAGATAAAAAAACAAAAACAAATCTGCTACAAGCCGAGGGCCAGACTGGTTCAATGTGTATTACAACATATTATAATGATGCATAAAACCGGTTGAACCAAGACCTAACACAGAGTTTTGAGTGTAATTTTCAACAGAAAAAACCAAACTTCTTTCAAAGAGAAAACACACGTTCTGATCATTAAATTAATAATCCAATGTATCCTTATGGCTCTGTGCAGCCGGTTCTAATACTAATCAAATATCATCCCGAGGGACAAGAGGATTCATTTGCGGGTCGGATCTGGCCCCCGGGCCTTTATTTTGACACCCATGGTCTACTCTAGATGATCCACCCGGAAGAAGAAAATCCTCCTATACACCTTTAAGTACGCGAAAGAAAAATGTTTTCTTGTAGAATGATGTCAGAATCTTGTGTCCAGGTCCGTTCACAACACTTTACTTTAAGAAAGCTCTTTCTGGTCGTGTTGTGGCTGAGTCCTTGTATAGAAAGCTGGCACCATCTTGTTTATATCCTGTTACATCAGCGAACAAAAACTTGTAAACTACATGTTTATCATCTCAGAATGCTCTTGGCACGCCATTTCTGCCACTGACTTGAAACCGGCAGCTGCCTATAATCACCACGGATGTTCAGCAGAAGGACTCGTCTTCCTTCCTCCAGCTGGTGACATCACTCTGGTGTTGGGGCAGATGGTGCACAAAACGCTGTACGATGAGAATGTTGCTTATTTACATCTTTAAATGTGTTTAGGTTATGCATATTCTGTTTTCTATGAATCTTTTTCCATGTTATTATACACAGTTTATGGACGCAGCTCGTTTTGACTGTGAAGTGTTTCCAGTTCCCATTTTGCTTCATCACGACCAAGTTTACAACCTGGCCCAGGATTAAAGGCCGTGCTGGGTTCAGTTTGTCCGCCTTCTCTGGAGAATGGGAAACTCACATTCAACGTCTGCTCAATTCAATCATTCGTCAGTTATACGTTCACAGGAATACAAGGAAGAAATCTGGGGAAAAACTAAATATTAATCTTAAAGAACAAGGATTATTGAAGGCTGTATTAAGATAGACACCCCTCTCACACACACATTTTTACACACACACACACACATGCAGACACACACGCATATGCAGACACACGCACACACACACACATATGCATACACACACACACACACGCGCGCGCACACACATATACACACGCACACACACTCATATACAGAGACACACACACACATATAATACAGACACACACACGCGCACACACATATACAGAGACACGCACACACACATATAATACAGGCACACACATATACAGAGACGCGTACATACACATATACACACGTACATGCACACATATATACACGCACGCGCGCACACTCACACACACACATACACGCACGCGCGCACACTCACACACACACATACACACACAGACACACACAAATTGTAACATGGTTCTTTAATCTCAGTCCAGATGCAGCTGCTCCTCGAGCTGTGTCCAAAGTGTGTGTTTTTATTTTCATTTCAACTGTTAAAGTCAAAGCTTTGATGTCAGCTTCAATGAACACGATTAGGATCTAAAAACAAATCGATTATTCTTGATTTACAACATTGTTTACAGCCTGATATTTAATTATAAACATTATTTCCATATCTTGTCACAAAGTCATCTTTCTTGCTCAAAATGCTAAATTCTTTATTTTCCCTGTAAAGGAAACTATGTAGAGTACAATTCATACACAAAAGAAAATAACATTCATGGCTCAACCAGTGGGGGAGGGTCCCGGCTTCAAAAGATCCATGAGCACGTGCGCTGACATGCCGCAATCTCACTCTGGGCCTGTGGGGGTGTACCTGGAAAGAGAATTACCAAATGCTTTTGTATGGCGCCTTCTTTCCTCTCGAAAACGTCATTACAGGATGGTCCAAAAGTCGCTCTTGGTCCAACTCTCCGTTCCAGATTCTGTCGATGCTGTGTGTGCTGTGGTAGATTAGTTTCAACAGCGGACATAGGAGTGACTACGTCCGTTAATATTTACAGTCTATGGGCTCAATGCACTGTTGGGTTTGAATATTGTTAGAGGACTGTCTCACATTTTTGGGAAGACTTGATTTTGACTGTGGTGAAGCTGTGATGACCCATGTTAGTTGTCCAGTCCATAATTGAAGCTTGGCCTGCACAATTTGGGCAAAATATGAAATTGCAATATTACTGACCAACATTCTGCATTTTTGTATTTAAATGTTGTTCCGAGTTAACAGCTTCAAGAGATACATTTGAAAAAGTGTAATAAAGCAATTATAAAAGACACATTTCAGAATGTTTATGCACAACCACTGTTTATCCAATAGAAATAATGCAAAAATGTCAAATCATATTTACGCTAATCATAATTAATCATAAACGCTTCATTTGTTCATTTGTTCTACTGTCAGCCCTGAGGTGTAAAACCTACACAATGTCTCATTGTGTTTCATTTAGAATGAATGAAAGTTAAACATGTATTTCAATGACGAATCTTCAAAACAGACTCAAATCAAGAGACATCTTGCTAAAATCAAGTGATGTTTTGCTCATCTTTAGTCCTTATTGTGTTAATTAATAGTTGCAGTCTTTGCGATTTAATATTTTCATTTCATAAACATTGAGATTTCCATTCAATCGTGCATTTGAAACTAAAGAAAACATATTTCTTGGTGTAAATTCCACTGGATGATCCCTGAGCTCTGGTGCTCTCAAGAGCACTGTGGGTCTCTGCTGAGGACAGGCTGTGGTCAGGGAGCTTATTTTCTTTGTGGGTGTGTCTCAGTCCTGCTGCTGCTGCTGCTGCTGCTGCTGCTGCTGCTGCTGCTGCTGCTGCTGCTGACATCATCAGTGTGGTCAGCAGGCTCGCGATACTAGACTGGCATTTTCACACAATTATATATATTTTTCTTTACAAGCTAATATAAAGCTCAGAAAGTGAATTTCAGATCATTCTTTGACCATTAAGTATCATAAAAAGTGTAACTGCAGTGTGGTTTATGAGGCCGTTTTATTGTTAGTATATTATATATTATTTACACAACCACATGGAACAATCATAACCAAAGGTAAATCAACTTAAATCTGGGTTTCTAACTTTTTAATTTATAATAATACATTTTTTTTAACAAAAAGTTAAACAAATGTTTAAAAAGTGCAATGTTGTAAACAAGTCAGACCGCAACATGCTGTCTTCATCTAATTAAATTGATGAAGACAGCATGTTGTCTTCTTCAGCCACAGAGAAAGAAGATTAAGTATTTCTTTGAAAATGCATTCTTACAAGTATTTTGCACACTTGTAAGAAAGAGCCCTTTGAGTCACTATTTGTCAATTGCAAATTGTGAATTCATGAATGTCCACGAAATATTTCTACTTGAATATTTCTGAGTAGAAAGATTTTCTATATCAAGTCATCATTAAAACAGCTCTAATGTGTCAAAGAAGAATCATGTTCTTTTCCTACTTCTTTAACTGATAACAGTAGTTCAGGGATGTACTTTATAAGTAAGTAACTTTATAAATTGAAAGATTGACAACTTTTGATTTAATTTTCCTGAGCATTCCACAGTTTTACACCTTTAATAAGCACGGTTGTTTTAACGTTGTTCGTGCAAACTGATTTTCTGACGTAACAATAAACAGTGTGTGTGTATTTTCTGGTCGGTTGTGTCTGCTGTAGTGAGAGGGTCCAGCAGCAGAGTAATCCTTCCAAACAATTGATCCTACACACCATTCTAGAGAGAGACCACAGCGATGGAAAGTAAAGGCTCATATAGTCTCTCACCTACACGTCTGCACTTTCTCCCACATGTTGGAAGGAAAAACCATGTGATTTATAGACTATGCGTGTTTGTCTTCATGCAACCTGAGCCTTCCTTTTCTGCCTCCTCCAGTTGACATCCGAGAAATGCGGGAGCTGCGGTTGGGGAAAGGATCGCGGGACTTCGAGCGCTACCCAGAGGAGGCTCGTAAAGTGGACCACTCCTACTGCTTCATCCTCCTTTACGGCCTGGAGTTCCGCCTGCGCACTCTCAGTCTGGCCGGTCAGAGCACACGCCACGAGCAGCTTAAACCACTCACTTTTGTTTCATTTTTTTTCCTTCTCGGGTTTGCTCTCATGTTTCACTCTTAGTATGCCGTTCCTGGGTTTACCCTTGCTCATCGCGTACAAACTTTAGAATTTAGTTTTTTGTTAACCCTCCAGGGAAATTTGTGTTGGAAGCCACAGTCATGCATTCCTACCCAAAAAAGCAAATGAATGGGTGCTATTTAAAAATTTAATTGATCTGTGTTTTTCCTTTGTTTATTTCAGTTGTTGAAATGTGGCCCTATTTTCCCTGGCCTTCACTTAGTTACTTAGAAATTCTGTAGATGTGTATTATATTTTTATTTGATTGGGACAGAACAAGATGCATTGTTAGAAAAAGCCAATGCCATGTTCATAGGCCATAGATAGGTTCATAGATAACAGCACAGACCTGTCTTTATAGATGCTAAACCCGATTTATTTACGAAGGAGTTCATTAAAATGCTTATTACTACTGCAAGTTGTATTATAATCTGTAATTTAATTGAAAACTTGAGCTCATTGATTCAGCTGTGTATGAATTCAGGCCGTAAAAAGTGCTGAGTAGAGACTTAGCGTGAGGCCCGCTCTCCTCCAATCACAGATCGAGGCTGCGTCCTCTAGCCTCTACAGCGCTGCTAAACACAGTAGCATGTTAGCGGAATTGGCTATAACTCCTCTGGTTGTAACTGCAGATACAGCAAAACAGCCCAAAGGACACAACAGTGAGGAAGAGAAGAGAGACTAAAGCAGACAAATGATCCAAGAAGACATCAAGCCCGGGTGAACATAGCTAGCTTACATCGTATCCTCTGGAGAGACTTGTCCACGGGAGAGATCTGCGGGACCGCCTCGGACTATCTATGCTCGGACTACATTCGGACGCGGAACTAGCAGTGATCTTTCAGTTATATATTTTGTTGGCAGTGCGTTGCTTTTGTCCCATTTCATCAGAGATTGTCGTACAGCTTAAGTTGCAATAATGCTAATGTTAGCATATGTATCAAATCGCCTACTTCACGACTCTCACTGATGACTGCTGTCGTTGTGTCCCTGGGCAAGACACTTAACCCCACTTTACCTGAAGCCTCTGCTGAATAACCGAGGCCCCTGTGGACTCACCACCTGCAGGAGGATCAGTGAGGGGCTGGTGCTCTGTGTACTGGGTGCAGCTCTGACTACCACCCCTCAGACCAAGAAATGGATTAAGGGGAAGAAAATGGATGGATGGATGGGCTCCGTGGAATGAGAGCGTAGGGGAAATGACTATGAGCGCGTTTGGGAGCGGTGCTAAACATTCAAACCTTGCAGAAATGGGTATAGCTCCTTCAAGACATAAAAATACATCACATTTACAGATCATTTAAAAAAAACACTAGCCTGGTCTTAGCCGTCTGTAAACTCCGGTCCATTATCATTTCCTACATGTACAATGGGTCTGATCCGAGTGGCTGCAGTTTCCTCGTTGAATCTCCTCCGACCAATCAGAGAGCGGGGGAGGCGGGTGTTGTAGGTTGGTGTCGGTGACGTCAAGAGTTTGCTCCAATTTGCAGGTTGTAGTTTGGCGGCGAATGGGATCGTAAAATAATCTGTTCTGGTTCGGCTCCAAATATCAAGAAACTGAAGCCGGAGCAAGAGGAATGTTTAGCAAATATCATTGCTACAAAGATGTTGTGGCTCTACTCCCCACGGGCTCCGTTAGCGACAAAGGAGATGGCTAAAGCTAGGCTCAATGCTAAATGCCTCACTCTCTCGGGCGCATTACATACGTCACAGGAAACTCAGATCCAATCGTTTCAATCTGCAAAAGGAGTTGACCCCTCCCATCTGTTAACGGAGTCAACGGAGCAAATCCAGACCTTAGTAAGAAATGAAATTAGTACGATGGTATGGTAAGACCAGGCTAGAAAAACACATAATACACTGAAAGAATATTTACAATAGAACCAGTTTGCATTATGCTCACAAGTTCTGTTCCTTTTGAGCCATTGTTCAACTATAATATTAAACTTGTTCAGGTCTGTTTTATTCAGGAAGTTCAAATGTTCCAGATATAAAATGATTGCGTCTTTGTGGTGTTCTGTGCAGCGTTCAGTGAAGAGGAGGTGAACATGTGGATCACAGCTCTGAACTGGCTCATGAGTGACACTCAACGGGCTCCGGCTCCACACCAAACAGACAGGTCTGGTCTCTGCTATATTTCATATATTTATTCCCATGTGCCTGGACATGATTGTGTGAGCCAGCTGGCCTCGCTGTTTCATGGACAGTGAATCAAAGGAGGCGCATCATTTAATACAAGACTCAGTCTGTGCCAGTGGCCGTGCACTTCAGATCTGGGCCTGCAGCGATAATCTTCTCCAGCAATTTAGTGTCACAGAGCAGTATAATATCAGACCATTATTGCACGCACCCAAACGCATCCCCCCCTTCTCCAAGAAATAAACAGGCTTTGTTCTGGTTCTGTGTCCTCTGGTCCTGGCTTCTCAAGTCCTCAGTCCTCTGGTTCTGGCTCGACCTAAATTGGGACAAAAACACAAACCAGGTTGTCTGGCCCCTGGGAAAGCCATGTTCCAGCTTCTTCCCTCTGGCGGAATATTTAGTTTGTTGAGATGCAGGACATCTCGTTTTGCTAACATCGTCTTTCCACAAACTTTTATCAGTTTAAACAGAGCACTTTAACGATCTTCACTTGTAATTAAACTGTTTTAGTCGATCGATTTCAAACTGACATATGTTTCCTGTTTTGTTTGTTTTATTTCTGTACTCAACCTTGATTTATTAATGTGCTTGTCTTGTGCTCACTGGGGACTTTTGCAAATGTATTCTAATGTGGTTTTACTGCAAAAGGAAAATTAAATAAAATGTATCTGAATCCGAATCTGGTCCTGGTGCTCTGGTTCCGAGTGTTCTGATTCTGGCTTCTCTGGCCCGTCTTCTAGACATGGCGTCTTTGGTCCTGCCTCCTCTGGTCCTCTAGCCCTGGGTCCTCTGGTGCTGGGTTCTCTGGTCCCAGCTTCCAGGTCCTCTGTTTCGCAGTCCTGTGGTCTCAGCTCTTCTTGTCCTGGCTCTTATGGTCTCTGCCTGGATCAGCCGGTCATTGATCCTGAGGTCTCCTCCTGGTTTTATGATACTTGGTCCTCTGATCCTGGCTTCTTTGGGCCCTGCATCTCTGGTCCTAGGGTCCTCTGGTCCAGCACCAGAGATGCAAGACAGAGGAGCCAGGACCAGAAGATGCAGGACTCAAGAAGCCGGGACCGATGAACCCCGGAACAGAGGACACCGAACCAGATGACTGAACACCAGAGAGGGCAGGACCAGAGGACCCAGAACAAGAGGGAATAGGACCATACCACTCAGGATCAGAGGAAGAGCTGGGACAAGAGGATGACCAGAGGATTGAGAACCAGAGAATCCAAGACACGAGGACCCAGGACCAGTAGAGCTAAGACCTAAGGATTAAGGATCAGAGAACCTAAGACCAGCAGAGCCAGGACCAGAGGAGCTTTGACCAGAGAAGTCAAGACTGAGACCAGAGAAACCAAGACCAGAGGAACCAAGACCAGAGAAGCCAAGACCATGGAGCATGGATACAAGAAAAATAATGTTTTAATCACGCTGAACTGCCCAAACTGCACTTTTTAGTTTATTTAACTCCCAGGAAACCACATAAACAGTCTGACCCAATTTGTATTAGTAAGAAATGTTTCTCAAACCATATTTATTTTAATTTGCTAACATGCATTATTATTTTGTTTCTGTGATAGTTTTAGATTGAAATGATAAATATTTTCTTTTTCTTCTCTCGTGCAGGTGGCTGAGGAAGCAGTTTGAAATGATGGACAGGAATCGTGAAGGCAGGTGAGCAGCTGATTGGTTGTTGGGTGTCAGGGGAAGGTGGGTGGATCCATCTGTGGAATAGTTCAGTGTCTATACAAGAAAAAAACACTGCATTATTTTCTTTAAATAAATCAAATTATTTAACCTGACTCTTTCCAGATCCTTGTAATTCGTTGAGCTCCACATCAGGATATGGGATTTCTCAGTAGGAGATGTTTTTCAGAAGACTTGGCCATGTAAAAAGAATCCTTGTATGTGATTAAATAAAACCACTTGTCCGTTATTTTGAAGGACGTGTAACTTCAACCACTCACATCAAAATCAACCCGTGACGCTGATGAGAGTGGCGTTGGGAAATCCAAAACAGAACAGCTGACATGTTGGACAACGACAGAGCGACAAGATAGAGAACTTTTACTGAAACAACGATCAATGTCGTTCGTGCAAAGTTTTGACAAAACAGTTGCAATAGTTGAATCAATGTGAGTGCACAAATCCTCTGATCAACTGAATGTAAAACAGGAACTGAGGATGAAGAAAAGAACCATGGAACAACATTTAATGGATTGACAACAAGAGGGGAATTTAAAGAGCGACTAAACACATGTGACCAGCCTTACTCCGCCCACATGAAGATTTGAAAATTTTCTCTTAAAAGGGCGTTGCCTGAAGGACCAAGGGACAAGAAGGGGGGCTTAGAGTTGTGCCTGGTCTGGGCTGTGATTGACAGCTCACTAGTCACACAAAAAAAAACAGACAGTTGTCATTGCTGCTTAAAGCAATAGTTAACAGACCAGAAAGTCTCATTCCACCCTTGTTTACACACTAAGATAATTGTAGAGCTACACACCTGAACCTAATCCACACAATTATCTCAGCAGCAGTGATTGTCAACTCATGTAATTTATTTCAATCCACTAGATGTCGCCAGAATACTCCAACCTGCTGCTGAGGCGTGTGTGAGAGTTGGATGGGTTTATATCACTGGCGCAGACAGACGCACGTCACACATACAAACTGACGTCATAGAGTATTACAGAGTCAATGGAGAGGCCAGGACCAAATTCAAATGTAGTTCCACCGAAAAGGTTGAGAGACGTTTTTAGGCTCAAAAGTGAGATTTTATCTAATCTGCACTAAGATGTCAGAAAAATGACATTATGTAGAGAGCACTACAGTAAACGTATTTATGCAGTTTATGAGTAAAAAAAAAAAAAGTTGATTGGGTGTTTAGTTGCTCTTTAACTGGGAGACACAGGTGTAACACATCAGGGCAATACAGGGATCAAGAGTTCTGAGTTTCCGGCTCGACCCAGCACGGCATTGTGGGTAGTTTTGTCATAAAAGTGGGCATCAAATCACGCTCTCCTATTAGATTACCTGTTGCCATCGATTGTTTTAATCGCTACAATAATCACCAATTTCAGACATTTAGAAGGTAAGGTAAAGATTTTTTCATGTAACAAAAAAGCAATGCATTTTTTTTTCTGTAGTTTTAGATGTAAACACAAACAACTGACGATAGAGCTACAATGTTACGAGGATCGAATGCTTACACGCGAGCTTTATAAACTTACCCAAAGCTGTCCTTTGGACATATTTGTCTGGTGTGGAGCTTCTGAATGTAGAAGGCCAAATACCTGGGGCACGACATTCAGAGACAGCACTGTAATCTGTATGGACAGGCTAACACTTAAGCATGGAGATTTCACATGTGTACAGATAAAGTGAAAATAACTTTGTTTAAAGCCTACTGCACACCTCTCTATACTGCCAGCTCACTGTTTGTTCTTAATAATGTCCCCACTCTGAATGCTCTGATCAGAAATGTTATTTATAAGTTCATGAAACGCTCTGAGGGCTCTATGTCCAAAGTACAGCTTTGGGTAAGTTTATAAAGCTCGCGTGTAAGCATTCAATCCTCGTAAGTCGCATAAGCTGCGTGTAGCTCTATCGTCAGTTGGCTGTGTTTACATCGAAAACCACAAGAAAAAAAATTAATTCCTTTTTTGTTACATGAAAAAATCTTTACCTTCTAAATGTCTGAAATTGGTGATTTTTGTAGCGATTAAAACAATCGATGGGCTGGAAAAAAGAGACAGATCACGCTCGCAACAGGTAATCTAATAGGAGAGCGTGATTTCATGCCCACTTTTTTGAGAAAACTACCCACAAGTAAAACTCAAAAAGACACAGAAGAACATTTAACACAAAATAAAACTAAAAAGTGACAATGCATGACAAAAATATTATTCCGGTCTCTTCCAGTAATTGTTCCGGTTAAAGTAATTCTGTATTCGCTCCTTCTTACGGTTGCCTGGGCCACACTTTCCACTTCAACAAAAATTCTCCAACTGATTATAAATTGGATTGAGTCTTTGTTGTCAACAAAAAAAGTGCCAAGTAAAAATCTCGTCTCGGGTTCGCTGTGATAAAAACGCAGCCTTGATAAAAACACATGTTATGATTTGTTTAAACCAGGGGTGTCAGACTCTTTTTGGTTTGGTTTCTTACATTATGAAAGTATTTTGACATGACTTTAATGTGACACGAGTTTCACAATTTTTTTAGGTTGATTCTTGTTTTTTATTGTTTGTATTTAACTAAAAAAGAACAAATACAAACTTAAACACAATACTGCAAGTTAATATTAATAATTGATAATCATTTAAGGGCCACTAAAAATGCTTTGCGGGCCGGATTTGGCCCACGAGCCTGAGTTTGACATGTCTGCTTATAACGCTCAAAAAGGCCGACTAACAGAAGCTAGACAGGAGGAAGCAGGAAGGACACAGTCTGCTCACACGGGGCAAACACCAGTGACCAACACCGGCCTCTGGCAGCTGAAGCTAATGCAGGAAACACATGTGGGCCAATGCCTCAGTGATTGGGGGAATTTAACATTTCTTCCAAAACTACAGTATAATATTCAATACTGCAGCAGCATGATATTGGTCACTTTAATGTTTCAGCAACAATTCTGTACAAACCATAGACCGTCAGTGAAGTCATTCAAATGATATATTAGTTTTACATTGAATAAGAATGAGTCTGGTATGTGTGTGAATGGCTGGTGATGGTCAGAGGGGCCAATGGCACATGCCTCGCTTCTGTCAGTGTGCCCCAGGGCAGTTGTAGCTACAGGAGTAGTTTATCACCACCGTGAATGGAGTGAAAGAATGACATGTGAAGAATCATCATTATTTTTATTATCCATCCATCCAATTTCTTCCCCTTAATCCATTTCTGGGTCGGGGGGTAGCAGTCAGAGCTGCACCCAATTCACTTAGCTCCAGCCTCTATTATTATCATTAATATTATTATTATTATTATTATTATTGTCATTATTATTATTATTAAATTCAAAAAGCAAGGTCTGCTACATAAGTCTATTTTGTAGTGAAAAATTGTCTCCATGGTGCTCTTCAAAATCATAAAAAGGAGAGAATTGAGGCACTCAATGGGTAGAGAAAAAGTTAAAAAGCCTTTATTAATACATGGCTAAAAAGTAAAAAAACACCATTTACTTATGTTATTCAACTATTATTATTATTAATAATAGTTGAATAAGAAAAGTGAATGGGCTCTTTAACGATATTCTATTCTTCATCTGCACAACTTTCATCTGTTACTGTTTAGTTTCCGTTACTCTGTGTTTTCTTTAATTAACCATTTTACTGTGACTTGACTTCACAGTGTCACGGTGAAGGATGTAAAGGCTCTATTGCCTCAGATCAACTACAGGGTTCCCAACATGCGATTTCTCAAAGACAAACTGCAGGTCAGACTTAAATATGTTGTAAATCCTTACAATATTACTATTGTTTTCATAAGAAACAAAAGTTATATGCTTCACTTTCAGGAGGTGGAGGCGAGAAACGACTTGTCCTACCCACACTTTGCGCAGCTGTATCGGACGCTGATGTTTGATGCACAGAGGACGGTGAGTACTTGAACTTTTATACAGGCGGGGTGTGATGTCACGCTCTGGTATTGGATATTATTGAGTGTTTGTAAATGTGACTTAAAGCTGAATCATCAATTATCTTAAGTATGTTTGCATTTATTTTTCAAAAACACGAACAAATAATAAAAAAACCACACACACCATTGTCGATGACACCATTTTGAAATCGCAAATAAAATTCTATCTACCCGTTGAAACTAACGTGCCACCACTTTTGCCTTCTGTGGTCTTCTTTAAAATGGCCACGGGCCGGAAAATGTGAAAAAATGCAGTTGCGCTTTTGTTAACCGGCACTAGCCCCATTCATTTAAGAAGTGCATTCAAAAGTCCACAGTGGCTAAACTAGACTGTTCCAATAAAAAACGTCTGGAACATAGTGTTGGGCCAAGACTTTTGGACCATCCTATAAAGACGTTTTTGAGAGGAAAGATACATACAAAAGCATTGGGTAATTCTCTTTCCGGGTACACCCCCACCTGCAAGGAGTGAGATTGCATACTGTCCGCGCAAGTGCTCATGGACCTTTTGGAGCTGGGACCCGCCCCTGTAATTTAAAGTGAATAATTTGGAGTTTTCCAACTTTAAAAAGTGGAGCGACATATATTATTTAAAACTGTCTATTCAGGTCCTTGCTCTTACAAACTCTTTGCTACATCACAAAAATTAACTTCTCTGCCCGAAGTGACTCACCGCCTGCACAAGTTTGCATGTTAGTTGAAATGTTGTATGTAAAAATGTAAACACAAAATTTAGATTATATTGAGTCTTAAGTTCACACTAAAGTCACATCATGGACTCCTCTAAACCTGTGTAATATTGTCATTTCTGCACACTCCACTTGTTTCACTGCTCTCATGGATCCTTTCCCCTTCACCCTCTCACTCCCTCACTCCCCCCCTCACCCCTCCTGTCTGTCATCTATGTGTCCTCAGATTATTGAGCAGCTGGACCTGTCCTTTCCTCTGCGGTGAGTGTCTCTCTCACACACACCTCAGGTTTCCTCTGTCGCATTGATCAGATGTTTCTATGACTATTGCTCCATCACCGCCTCCATACAAGGTGCTGGTAAACTACTGCTGTAGCCAGAGTTGCCCTGGGGCAGACGGACAGAAGCGAGGCTACTTATCAGTGTCAATGATCCCTCTGAGCCCCAACAACTACATCACACATACACACTCATTCGGTAGACATTGTAGGTGACATGACTTGACATGACTCAGGCTTTTTTGATTTGAGTATTATCAGAGTGTCCCTTTCCTATTCTTCTTTACAAAATTGTACCTGGCGCAATTTACAAAATCTCAGAAAAATAAGTGAATTTTTGAAAACCATAAACAGCTGTCATGTACATTTACCTGTTGTGTTTTTATAGGAATGTGGACAGACCCGAGCTGTGCCAGATCTCACTCTATGATTTTCAGAAGTTCCTCCAGATGGACCAAAAGGTAATGATTCATGTGCAGGTATATTCAAGAATTTAATGTCCAAACTTACAGATGTGGTTTATGATGATTAAATGAGCATGTTCCATTTTACCTTGTAAAGTTTCACGGATCTACAGAACCACACAAAAGTGAAGAAACCTTTGGGCTTGAAACTCAAATGCCAGAGGGCTGTCCCACCTGTCTATTTAAGGCAGTTACACCTGAACCAAAACCTCCCATTATAGACTAAATAACAAATGAAATACATTAGCAGTTAGATTAGCAAAAAGAATATAAAAGCTTCCCGATTGGCATAAAGAAGTTTGGTGAATAAACTGAAAATGAGGGCTGTGCAGAACCAAAATAAGGGATCAAAATAATTCTGTTAATTTTTTTCAAATCCCCCATACAATCGCAATAGTCTTCAATCATTGCAGGCGAAAGCAGGACAATGATTATAAACAAATTGTTGACGTTATACAATATATATTTGTCTGACCCTGTGTAGGAGTCTTGGGCCTCAGACTTGGGTCGTGTGCGAGAGTTTCTCATGAGCTACATGAGAGGCGCTGCTACACCTGAGCCTCTGCTGCAGCTGGACGAGGTGAAAACAATAATAATGATTAATCAAACTTGTATAGTGCTTTTTTGGACACTCAAAGACGCTTTACATGGGGAATAAATTAAAAAAGGGGGTTTGCAGAAAAGCTTGTCTGAGCAGATGGGTTTTGAGACTGATTTAGGGTTTGGTAGTGAGTCACAGTTTCTAATGGGCAGTGGGAGTGAGTTCCAGATTTTTGGGGCCTCACCGGCAAAGGCTCTGTCCCCCAAGGTCCGGCGGTGAGTGCGGGGGATGGGAGTGAGGCGGTTGGAGTCGGCTGATCGAAGGCGACTTTTGAAACAATAGAATCAAATGCAATGTTTGACCCTCCACACGTCCAAAAGGCCTAAACTAAATGTTGCGTTTTGATTTTCAGTTCTTGACGTTCTTGTTCTCAAAAGAAAACAGTGTGTGTGACCCTCGCCTCTCTCCCCTCGTCCCTGATGATATGAAAAGACCACTGTCCCAATACTGGATATCCTCATCGCATAACACGTATGTCTTTGGATACAATACTTTGGTGGTCGTAGCCTGGTCTTATCCATCCATAAACTCTGGTCCATTATCATTTCCTACATGTACGTCTGGGTCTGATCCTAGTGGCTGCAGTTTCCTCGGTTGAATCCCCTCCGACTAATCAAAGAGGTGTTGTAGGGAGGTGTCGTGATGTCAAGAGTTTGCGCCTGTTGGTTGTTGCAATGGCGGCAAATGCAATAGTAAAGTAATCTTGTGGTTCAGCTCCAAATATCAGGAAATTGAAGCCGGACCAAGAGGAAAGTTTAGCAAATTTCATTGCTGCAAAGATTTTGTGGCTCTACTCCCCACGGGCTCTATTAGTGGCAAAGGAGATGGCTAGCGCTAGGTTAAACACTAAAGCTAGGCTTTATGCTAAATCTAGGCTAAATGCTAAATGCCTCACTCACTAGGGGTAGGGTTAGGGTTAGTTACATACACCACGGTAAACTCAGATCCAATAGTTTCTGCAAAAGGAGGTAACCCCTCCCACCTTTTGACGGAGCTCAATGCAGCAAATCCAGACCTTAGTACAAGATTAAATGAGTACGATGGTATGGTAAGACCAGGCTTTGGTGGGCGTAGTTATCTGCTCAAAAGTGTGCATTCCAGCCCGCTAACTTTATTTTCCCTGTGTTCTCCTTTAGGTACCTGACAGGTGACCAGTTTTCCAGTGAGTCCTCTCTGGAAGCTTACGCCCGCTGTCTCAGGATGGGCTGTCGTTGCATCGAACGTACGTCATCAAAAATAATAATAAAGAAACAAACCTGTGTCTGATTATAGGAGACAATTATCCGTCTTATAGAGTGACTTGTACTGGCACTGTTTAAAGTAGTTCTCATCTGGTGGGTCTGGACCAAAAAGTGTCTTGTAAGATAATTTTTAGGGGGTCCAAGCCTTTCCTCTGCAACCTTTTCAAATTTAGAAACTATATAAAGGCTTTTTTATTTCAGAACGTTTTATTTTAGAAAGTACAGTCTAATAAAAAAAATGTCATTATTATTTGTTTAAAATTCAAATAGTTTATATTTTTCAGTGGACTGCTGGGATGGGCCTGATGACCTACCCATCATATACCACGGACACACCCTCACCTCCAAGATCAAATTCCTGGATGTTCTACACACCATCAAAGAGCACGCCTTTGTCACGTCTGAGTAAGTCATTTTAAAATTAAGATTAAGAAATCCTTCAGAAATTTCAGTGTTACATCACAAGTTAAATGTATGATAACGCTATATTAAAATAAAATGCATTTAATTTTTTTGTTTTACCCTAACCTTAACTGTAGCATAAAATGCAGCAATCTATACTTAGTAATCTAAAAAGAAAATCTCTATATTTGCATTTGTGTCCTTAGGAAAGACACTTCACCCACATTAGAATGAGTCTGATGTGTGTGTGAATGGTTGGTGGTGGTCGGAGGGGCCAATGGCACATACTGGTTGCCTTGCTTCTGTCACTGTGCCCCAGGGCAGCTGTGGCTACAGTAGTATCAGCACCGTGTATGGAGTGAAAGAATAATGACATGTGAAGAGTCTTTGAGTGTCCAAAAAAGCGCTATATAAAACCAATGTGTTTTTATTATTATTATTATTATAACTTGGGCTAAACCAACTTTATTAATTTATATCAATTTAAAGAATGATAATTTTGCACTAGTACCATATTCTTAACGTATACTAGAAGAGAATGACTCGTGTATGTGCAGGTACCCCGTCATCTTGTCCATCGAGGACCACTGCAGTGTCGTCCAGCAGAGAAACATGGCCACTCACTTCAAGAAGGTCTTTGGGGATTTACTGCTCACCAAAGCAGTGGACACCAGCGCAGAGGAGCTGCCCTCACCGTACCAGCTGCGACGCAAGATTCTTATCAAGGTATAATATTAGCTGCAGAGTGAGATAGCCTGTGTTTTATCCTCCAAGGGAGACATTTCTTGTATCTTTTTCAATCAAGATACTTTTGCTTGTCCCTTTGGCAAATCTTGTTTCATGGCAGTCAAAATTTCCTCAAATTAAGATACATTTAGGAAAATTTGAGCAACTGGAGAACCAAAACAATTATAAAAACACCAGGCAAACTGGTCCAGCACCTGAGGAAATACAAAATCGCGTTTAAACAAGTCCAACAAAATGTGTTTCTCAGAATTTCAGAATTGGTTTTGCTTCTACCGCAGTCAAAGGACAAACTGGCTGCGGCTGAGTGGATTTCCAGCTTAGAAATATCCTCCCAATTTGGCCTGAGGGGAGACTGGTGGGCTCTCCTCACCTGCAATGGAGGAGGAGACTCACAGGCACACAAGGGGAGAGGAGGAGGAGACACAGGAGGAAGGAGCAGCAACAACCTGCCCTCATGACATTTATGGAGGTTAAAGGAAAGCAGGTGTTTCAGTAAAGAGTCTTGTAAAGGAACAAACTACGAGAAACTAGCAGACGTGGTGGAGCTGTGAGCAAAAAGGAAGGCATTTGTTTAGTATTCAGAAACAGATGGGAAAAATTTAAGAATTGAAGATGTAGTTTTGAGAATGAGTTTGATCCTACAGGGTTAAATAGTACATTGTTTAGAAAAGGGAAACATTCAACAGGAATGTGTATATGTGGGCAGGGACAAGAGACCACTAAGCATGTGTTAAATAGTTGTCCGAAATATCAAAAGGAGAGAAATGTGATGCAAGAAAAATTGAAGGAGCAGAAAGTACAGTTTAATCTTCAGGTCTTAGGTTTTCACTCAGCATTTAGAGTAGGTAGAGAAGTTATTAGATATTTAGTTAAAACTAAATTATTGAACAGATATAGTCAAACTCAGGTGGCGGTAAATACACACTAAGTGATTGTTTGCCCACCGCCGAAAAAACCCATAAGAAGAAGAATAAGCATGTGTTTTCAAAATGAGTCTTCCAGATCAGAGAGGGTCCTCATGAATAAATCTTCTGTGCTCCATCTCCAGCACAAGAAGCTGGTGGAAGGCACAGCGTACGAAGAAGTGTCCACCGCCAGTTACTCCGAGAACGACATCAGCAACTCCCTGAAGAACGGCATCCTGTACCTGGAGGACCCCATCGACCATGTGAGCTCACAAGATTAACAGATGTTTTATTAGTCCCACAGTGGGGAAATTTCAGTGTTGCATCACCAGTTACAGAACAGTAGGAAAGATAAATGAACAATAACTCTTTACAAAAATTATTATAAAATACAATAAAATCTCTAACTCTAGCATAATAATAGCCTGGTCTTATCCATCTGTAAACTCGTGTCCATGATCATTTCCTACATGTACGTCTGGGTCTGATCCTAGTGGCTGCAGTTTCCTCGGTTGAAACCAATCAGCGAGCAGATGAGGAGGGTGTTGTAGTGAGGTGTCAGTGACGTCAAGAGTTTGCGCCAAATTTGCTGGTTGTAGTTTAGCGGAGAATGCGATAGTAAAGTAATCTGTTCTGGTTCGGAAATTGAAACTGGAGCAAGAGGACTGGTTAGCAAATGTCATTGCTACAAAGATGTTGTGGCTCTACTCCCCACGGGCTCCGTTAGTGGCAAAGGAGATGGCTAAAGCTAGGCTAAATGCTAAATGCCTCACTTGCTCGGGTGCATTACATACGTCCCCGTAAACTCAGATCCAATGCATGATTAAGAAGCTAGACTTAAGTACAAAAACCCCTGTCTTTCGCATAATAAGGAGCAAGTATAAAATGCTGTATATTCTAGTGCAAGTGATAAATAGTTGTACTGTATGTTTACATCTGTACATTAGCAGCATGAGGGTCAGGGACACGTTTGGTTCTATATTGCACCTTCTGACATTGTTGAAGTATTAAAGCACAGATGCGTAAATTAAAGTGACAGTGACATATTGCACATTCTGAAATTAGTTCAAGATATTGCACCGATGCATGCTGTGTGAGGTCAGGTCGGCAGTGTTTGTTAATCCTCATTGTTCGATATGCAGTAACGTCTTTGTTTTTGTGCAGACGTGGACCCCACACTATTTTGTCCTGACCACTCACAAGATCTATTACTCCGAGGAGACGTCCCACTACCAGACAGCAGAGGAAGAGGAAGAGGATGAAGGAAAAGAGGTATTTCATTTATAATTAATGGGAAATCACTGTTAATCTGACGAGGCAGGGAGAAAAATTAAAATTGGATTGTAACTATTGCCAAGACCATTTTTACTTTTAGTTTTGTATTTTAAATATTTAATAAATGTACAAATCATTTAATAAGAAAACCTTGCAATCGATAAATAAAAAACATTTCCATGGTCACACGACCTCACTCCTAGCTGGTGGGGGTGTAACCGGAAAGAGAATAACCCAATGCCGCCTTTTTTCCTCTTGAAAACGGCCAAAAGTTGGTCTTAGACCAATGCTATGTTCTAGATGTGTGTCAATGCTGAGGGGAGTATTTTGTTTTGACCCAGTCTAGTGTAGCCGCTGTGGACTTTTTTGAGATGGGCGTGACTACGGCATAAATTGTAGCCTGTCTCACATAAAATTTGACAAATACCATTGTAGTCCAGAATAGTATGTATGTTTGTTTGAGTGTTTTAAGTGAGATTTATATAGTTTTAGTTATATGAAACTAATTGTATAACTTGTGATTAATGATGTAAATGCATGCAAGACATGGTAACTTTTGTGTGTGTTTCTTCTGAATACTATTGGGATCACTCTACATTATCAATAGGAAAAACAATCATTTACCTTGGCTGCATTTAATCACATACTGTAAATGTAAACGTGACCCTTTCATGTTTTGTATTCAGTAGTCAAAGTCTCTTTGTCTCAGCAGGAGTGTAACAACAATGACCAGCACTGTGCCGAGCGCTGGTTCCACGGGAAGCTGGGCGGCGGCAGAGACGGGCGACAAGTGGCTGAGAAGCTGCTGCAGGATTACTGTGAGGGAGGAGGCAAAGACGGCACCTTCCTGGTCCGAGAGAGCGAGACCTTCGTGGGAGACTTCACTCTGTCATTCTGGTCAGCGACAGCTGTGCCACTAAATCAAACCGTAACTTCAATCGGACTGAGTTCGCAGATTTATCACCTCCTCAAACCATAGTACATATACACACACAGTACAAATAGATACATAATACATATAGATACATTGTACAAATACATACATAGTACAAATAGATTGGAAGACCATTTGGCAAATACAAACTACAGTGGTCCTTTGTTTATTGCAGGGGTTTTGTTCTAAAGATAACCAGCTACATATATAGGTGAAATCTGCAGTAGACAGCTGTATTCTTAACAGTTATTGAATATGTTGTATGGCTTTAAACAAAGACGAGGCAGAATGTTACAATTACAAAGAAGCAATGACAAATTTGTGCTAAAAGTGCATGTGTGAGTATTTTGTGTGTGCTGGCTGATCACTGGGACAAAAAACGTACAAGAGGCGGCAAATATCTTCATATTTCATATATTTATCGGTTCTGGTGAAGTTCTTCCTGTGTGTTGCCATGGTGATGATATTTGCTTGAAAAAATTCCCAAGATCTTGTTAAACAGATCCTTCTTGAAACCAAAAAGCATTCTTATCAAATAAAAGAGAGGTTCATCCCAGAGTTACAGCGCATAAGTACAGTAGGAAAACAGAAAGCGTAATGATTACGATTATTTAGTTATTTTCTAATTGGTGGTTATTAAAGAACAGCAATGTAACGTCATAGGAGACTTTGACTCATTTTGCTGGTGTTGGGCAACCTGTCAGGCGCAGTGGTTGCCATAGTCCATTAAATTAATTAAATTCAATGTATTTTTGTATAACCAACAGCAGTCATCGCAGAGGACTAGACATGGCTGATTCACAAACAAAAGATCAGATAATCAAACAGTTCGAACGTAGGAAATACAGTTATAACCAGAGCCAGAGGTAGTGGGACAAGGACCTATCTCCGTTATGCATTATGTGTACATGAGTGTGAATAATAAAAACACATTTGACCATCTTACCCACTCAACTTAAACTACACAAAGCATATTTAATCAGTTGAGTATTTCTTTCATGGGTTTCCCTCCATCCCTCACACTAAAGACTAAATGTGTCTGTTTTCCCTGTGACAGGCGCTTGGGCCGTGTGCAGCACTGCAGGATCCACTCTCGTCAGGAGTCTGGCTCCACACGTTTCTACCTCACAGACAACCTGGTGTTCGAGAGTCTGTACCGCCTCATCTGCCACTACAGGGACACGCCGCTGCGCTGCAACGAGTTTGAGATGAGGCTCGGAAACCCTGTGCCTCAGCCCAACGCCCACGAGAGCCGAGAGTGAGGGTCTTTGGAAGCAAATCTATTATCACTATGTTGTCAAACTATGGTGACTATCTACTGTATTATTTACCTTTCAGACATATGCATTAAGAAAAACCCCAAAAGTAGTCAAATTATCATGTGTTTTCAAATAGAAATGGACATGACCAGATGCCTGTAGCCTCAAAAAATAAATCATGAATATTTTGGAGCGGACCGATAGAAGGAAACCAATGGGATGCATTCAGCTTGTGTTCACTGCGTTATTACAAAAACAGCGTACATGTGCTGGGGGTTGGGTTTGGTGGAAGACAGGGGGAAGGGGGAGTGGGTTTTTTTGACTCTGTTGCCAATGCTAAGTTAACTTGAATCCTTTACTGCACCTTTACCAGTCATATGTTTTATGTATATAGAAAAACATCAGATTCAGATTCAGGCAGACTGAATAGCCTCATTCATACTAGGTAATGTGGGTGTGTCTTGCCTAAGGACACAACAGTTTGACACTTTGTTTTAGCAGGAGTGTAAGGTACGCTTCTTATGGAGGAGAAGGAAGAAAAGAGTACCCTCTATGTCAAAGGTTTATTTTAAGTCTGAATCCAGGATTACTTTAAACTGATTTGTATCAGCACAGATTAGAGAATGTGGAATAAACATGGAGCAAAATCCCACTGGCACAAAGCCACTGATAATGAAAGTTATCATCTGTGTCAAACCACAGTATAGAGGGATTTATTAGATAAAAACATATGTTTAAGAATATGGCTCAGTAAAAGCAAATATGCAAACATATTTGTAAATAGATTAGAATAGTTTTAAACTAATAGTGAATAGTTTTAGTGCATACATTACAGACGAGGTTGATGAAGAATCAGTAATGTGATTTGTAAAGGAATGTTTCAAATGTGGTTGTTAGTTGTGTTTTCTCTGAATTAACGTCTTCACAGGAATCCTGCCTGAACTAAAGAAGCATGGATGCTGTCACTCATGATGTCACGGATGGATGAGAACGTGGATGTGACCTATTTATGATAGGTCAAAAAGAGGGAGTGTTGTAGAATTATAATGTTGTATACTAATGATTTCCAGTAGGTGTTTGCAAACATGTCTTTGTGCAATATTAAAGCCTGGATTTAATGGAATTCAGACAAGCACCAAGGACAAAGGCTTCTGTGATAAAAGTATCATTTTCAGGAACAGCGTGTCTCTAGCGGCCTGAGACAAAACCAGACTGGGACCAGCCTGAGACCATATGACGTCATCGGAGATTCTGATAAAACCGTTGGGAGGACACATTGGGAAAGTTAGAGCACAGGGATAGTGATTTAGGGAGTAGCTCCGGGAGTTCTGTATCAACATTTAATTGTAAAGAGAAATAAATGTACTATTGGAACTCTTGAATCTTGGCCTTATTTCTGTACCAAATTCTGAACACGTCGGTCAAATCATTTTTGACAACATACTACATACAAGTTGTATTATAATCCGTAACTAAATTGAAAACTTGAGGTAATTGATTCAGCTGTGTATGAATTACAAGCAGTGAAAAGTGCTGAGTAGAGTCTGAGCGGGACGCTCATTCTCCTCCGCTCACAGAACGAGCAGCGAACAGCCTGCGTCCTCTAGCCTCTACAGCGCTGCTAAAAACTAGGGCTTCGGCTTCGAAATTTGAATATAATTCTAAAATAAATTGTATATATATATACAGTATTTGGCCCCCTGCAGTTCATCCAGAGTGATCATGGGCCTCTTGGCTGCATCTCTGATCAGTCTTCTTGTTTGAGATGAAAGTTTGGAGGGACGGCAGGGTCTTGGTAGATTTGCAGTGGTCTGATACTCCTTCCATTTCAATATAATTGCTTGCACAGTGCTCCTTGAGATGTTTAAAGCTTGGGAAATCTTTTTGTATCCAAATCCAGCTTTAAACTTCTCCACAACAGTATCTCGGACCTGCCTGGTCTGTTCCTTTGTCTTCATGGTTTTCTCTGCGCTTTAAACAGAACCCTGAGACTATCAAAGAGCAGGTGCATTTATACGGAGACTTGATTACACACAGGTGCATTCTATTTATCATCATCAGTCATTTAGGACAACATTGGATCATTCAAAGATCCTCACTGAACTTCTGGACTGAGTTTGCTGCACTGAAAGTAAAGGGGCCGAATAATATTGCACGCCCCACTTTTCAGTTTTTTATTTGTTACATTTTTTTAAATTATCCAATAAATTTCATTCCACTTCACGATTGTGTCCCACTTGTTGTTGAGTCATGACAAAAAATTAAAATGTTATATCTTTATGTTTGAAGACTGAAATGTGGCAAAATGTTGAAAGGTTCAAGGGGGCAGAATACTTTCGCAAGGCACTGTAATATATATATATATATATATTATATTCGAACACATATTAGACAGCCCTTACAATTCGAAATGTATTCAATAACTTCAAATAAAATAGTTAGCTCCCAAAGGTTCCACCGGGACGTGCTAGGCAGGTAACAGCTAAGCTAGCTAGCTCCCTGGAACTACATGTTAATGGTAACTTCCGGGTTTTTCGCGATCGCTTTTTGACACATTAAAATAGTAATTTGGTCATGAAAACGATAACAAGAAATTCTGAAAAAGTCCTTGAATGTGTGTTAAGGATGTATATGTATACTGTATTGTCCGATTAACATTTAATGGTGTCGATTGATAGATATGTAGTTGTTTATTGAGCGTGGCTAGCTACGCTAGCTTCTCTCATTGTACTTGCGGAGTAATGGCAGTATTTTACACACCTGAATTACAAACAGAGATTGCATTGTCAAAGGGCAGCGGCCATTATTGATTTGAGAGTTCTGTTATCAAGAAAAAATGATCGGTAGAATTACATTCAAGTCAATGGAGTGTTCTACTGCTGCTGTGGGGAGCTGGATAATAAATTATAATTAAATACTTGAATATATTCTAATGTTTTAATGAATACATTTGGATGCGAAACTAGCAGTATTCTTTTACCTATATATTGTGTTAGCAGTGCGTTGCTTTAGTACCATTTCATCAGTGATTTTTGTACAGCTTACAAGAAGTTGTGCTAATGCTAATGTTAGCATACATGTCAGATCGCAAATTGAACAGATGGCTCTGTGTTATGAGAGCGTAGGAAATGAGAAGCCATTGAGCGAGTTGGGGGGCGGTGCTAAACATTCAAACATTGCAGAAACGGGTATAGCGCCTTTAAATGCATCACTCACTCACTGCATGTCACACGCGCAAAACACACACACACAGTAATGACCACAGTTTAAGCGTCTACCTTTCGGCCAATCAGTGTCAAAGGGGCGTAGGCTTGATCACAGACGTTGGTTTAATGTTGACAATCGCCAGCGTGGGCCGTGCCCGCAGCATCATCACGGCAGAAGTTTGGTAAAGTAGCGTCATTTTCCCAGATTCTGACTTCCGCAGTCAATAGCTCACGAAAGCTTCTTTGTTAAACAAAAGTAATTGTGCTAAAATGATCATGTCTACGTTGATTTAACAAATTCAATGCGCTGTTTTAATGCAGAGAAATCCTCTGAATCCAATGCACTGCAAGAGCTACTCTTAGCTACTACCCCACTTCACTTCCTGTTCGCGGGGAACGGCTTGAGTTAAACTGGAGTTCAGCAGTGGTTTAAACGAGTTTCTCAAATAATGCTCAACTGGGAATTAAACTGTGAGGATACTGGGCATTTTTGGGACACAGCAATGCTCTTTGATTGTGCTGTCATTGTGTTTTTATAAAGTTTACAAATCTCTCTGAGTGGCCTCAGTCAAAGCTCTACCTCAGAGTGAAAGCACAGCGACACTTTTGGGTCAGTCTCACAGCTGAATGTATCAATCTAATTACTAAAAAACGTCACTAAAACCCACCTAAAAGCCATAGGATAGCATAGGCAGGAAGTGAACAGGCTGATCTGTGTGAACAGGAAATGACGTCACGCCTCCCTGTGCATATAGCCCATTTATTCAATTTCATTTTTGACTAAGGATTTGTTTTTTGTTTTTATATGTAGTCAATAAATTACAATCTAAAAACTGTGATTATGAAATTCCATGATTACTGTGTAGACTGGAATTAGTACTAAAAAGTGCTCAACCCGATCCACCCAAATGGTGTCCCTTATTTTTTGTTGTCGGCAACCCTACTTTACAATCGGTCTTCTCACATATATTCTAGCCATTGTGTTACAAGAGTCATTGTTCATCGTTATTCGCACAACTGTGAGGACCATGGTCTGGGACTGTGAGGACCAGGGTAATGTCTGAAGTTGTATCCAAGCTTCGTGCCCCGAGGACGGCTGCGTTCGTTGCAGCCCCCGCTGTTAGCTTACTGCCATTAGCTTAACGCCCCTGGAGCATAACAAATCACCGAAAAGACAATAAAGGGTCATATTTCACGCCTCAAATGTTGTTAAAAGTAAAATGTGTGCCCTATTTATTGTATTATTGATCAGAACTATCATCTCAGATGTGGTTCTGTTGATACAAGAGTGACGAGCTCCACTGTCGTCACTATAACAGCTGCTTAATCCTCCTCATTTTTGTAAAAATTGGACTCATTCAAACTCTACAAGGCGTACGCTGCAATGAAAATAGTTTTCACTCAAAATAAGAGTGATACTAAGCCACAAAAAGCTCCTGTGTGTGCGTTTTCACGCATCGCCCATTCTATCTGATAGGAGAAAAATACTTCCTGTCCTACGGCCCCATGCCACGCCCCTTTTTGGTTTTTCAATATTGCCCTCTTTCAATAATCTCTGAAGGAAGTCTATAATCTTTTTCCTAAACCCACTGGTAGGGTCCCTCTTCAATGCTTGGTACGTGTTGGTGTCCAAGAGTAAATGGTTAACTTTGGCCTCATAGTCTGAGGTGTTGAGGATAACTGTGCATCTGCCTTTGTCAGCTGGTAAAATAGTTATACTCTCATCCTTTTGTAATGCCATTAATGCTTTTTGCTCATCTAATGAGACATTGGATTGTGGGGGCTTAGCACTTTGAG